TGGGGGTGACGAGGACCCCTTATAAATAAAATTTAATAAGTATAAATTTAGTAATAGCTTATTAAAAAGCCTTATTTTTAATATTAATAACTTTAATATATAAATGCTTTTTAGTATTAAAATAAGCCTATTTATAAGCTAGTTTTATTACTTTAAGTATAACTGCCTTTTAAAAGGTAGCTATAAGAATTTTCTTTTTTAGCCTAATAGTACTAGCTTTTAGCTTTTTTATCTCTAGCTTTTTAAGCTTTTTATTACTTAAAGCTATTTAACTTATAGTTAAGCAAGTGCTTTTTTAAATACTTATAAGCGCTATAGCCTTAAATACTAGGCCTTTTAATATTATTATTACCTTCTTTACCTTTTTAATAACTATTTTATTAATATTACTAATATTACTAAAAGCAGCTTAAAGCTATTTAACTTATAATTAAATAAATACTTTTTTAAATACTTATAAGCGCTATAACCTTAAATACTAGGCCTTTTAATACTATTATTACCTTTTTTACTTTTTTAATAATAATTTTACTAATATTACTAATATTACTAAAAGTAGCTTAAAGCTATTTAACTTATAGTTAAATAAGTGCTTTTTTAAATACTTATAAGCGCTATAGCCTTAAATACTAGGCCTTTTAATATTATTATTACTTTCTTTACCTTTATAATAACTATTTTATTAATATTACTAATATTATTAAAAGCAGTATATTTTTTATAAACCTTATTAATAAGAATATTAATAATCTTTCTTATTTAAAGGCTAGCCTTTAAGGGTTTTAATAAATTAATATACTTATATTATTTATAATAAAAATAATAAAAATAGTATCTTAACCTTAACCTAGGCTAAGTTAATAGCTAATATTATTATAAGTAAAGTTAGTAGCTAATATTTAATGCCTTTTTAATTTATATATTATATAAAGTAAAGATTTAGCCTTTTTAATTTATAAATTATAGCTTAGCCTTTTTAATTTATAAATTATAGCCTAGCCTTTTTAATTTATAAATTATAGCCTGGCCTTTTTAATTTATAAATTATAGTCTAGCCTTTTTAATTTATAAATTATAGCCTAGCCTTTTTAATTTATAAATTATAAACTAGCCTTTTTAATTTATAAGTTATAGTTTAACCTTTTTAATTTATAAATTATAGCCTAGTCTTTTTAATTTATAAATTATAACCTAGCCTTTTTAATTTATAAATTATAGCCTAGCCTTTTTAATTTATAAATTATAGCCTAGCCTCTTTAATTTATAAATTATAGCCTAGCCTTTTTAATTTATAAATTACAGCCTAGCCTTTTTAATTTATAAATTATAGCCTAGCCTTTTAAATTTATAAATTATAGCCTAGCCTTTTTAATTTATAAATTATAGCCTAGCCTTTTTAATTTATAAATTATACTTATATAATAATTTTAGCTAATTAAAGTAGCAGAAACCTTTAATATAATTTACTTTATATAATTTACCCCCTGTATTTTTAGCTTTATACTAAAGGTTTACTATACTTTTTACTTAAACTATAAGATTATACTGCTTCTTATAAAATAGTGCTTTTTTAAATACTTATAAATGCTATAGCCTTAAATACTAGGCTTTTTAATATTATTATTACTTTTTTTACTTTTTTAATAATTATTTTATTAATATTACTAATATTACTAAAAGCAGTATATTTTTTATAAACCTTATTAATAAAAATATTAATAATTTTTTTTATTTAAAAGCTAGCCTTTAAAAGTCTTAATAAATTAATATACTTATATTATTTATAATAAAAATAATAAAAATAGTACCTTAACTTTAACTTAAAGTAAGTTAGTAAGTAATATTATTATAAGTAAAGTTAAAAGCTAATATTTAATGCCTTTTTAATTTATATATTATATAAAGTAAAGACTTAGCCTTTTTAATTTATAAATTATAGTTTAGCCTTTTTAATTTATAAATTATAGCCTAGCCTTTTTAATTTATAAATTATACTTATATAATACTTTTAACTAATTAAAGTAATAAAAACCTTTAATATAATCTACCTTATATAATCTACCCCCTGTATTTTTAGCTTTATATTAAAGGTGCACTATACTTTCTACTTAAACTATAAGATTATATTACTTCCTATAAAATAGGCAGTAGTAAAAGCAGTAAATAAGGCAGTAAAAACAGTAGTAGTAAAAGCAGTAATAAAGTAAAAGGACTCTTTTTTATTAAACTCTAGTTCTATTACTACTAGGATTTACTTTAGAATGCTTCTGTATTTAGCATTTAGTATTATATATAATATCTGCTGCCTGGTAAGCAGTAGCATATGTAGCGACTTGGAGATGTGCAGTAATTGTCACTGGGAACACAGAGGTGTCGACAATGCGAAGCTTCTTCACTCCCTTCACCCGAAGGTTTGTGTCAACCACCTTGCCCATAGCCGCAGTTCCCATGGGATGGAATGTAGACCTAAAGCATGATTAGCACTGGTTGTGGGTGGACTTAATCGAGACTTACGCAAGGCCAGCCGTGATACGGGAATCAATATATGCATCAGTAGACTCTGTCGTAAAGGTTTCGGTAAACCCTGTAGCACCCAACTCTCCCGAGATAATGTCCCGACCGAGAGCGGTCTTGTTCGAGGAGAGGAACTCAATCTGAAGACGCATACCCTCACGGGCAACAAACTTGTCGACTTCGGTAAAGTGATAGTTGGGATTGATGTTGGGAACGTCATTGATGTCGGCAGAGTTGAGAGTGACACTACCCTTCGACGTAGGCAGCAGGTTAATGAGCATGATGGTAACAGTAGTTCCATCTGGTGTACCAGTGTACATGAAGACATGCTCGTTGAAAGTGCGGTCGGTCTTGAGCAGAGGGTGCGTCTTGGGGTCAGGTTTCTTGCCCTCGTCCTTTTCGATAGCAACGGCTAATCCAGCCTTGTCCTTGATGCTAGTTGTGACGAGAAAGTCTGCTGGCGTTCCATAGCCGTATTGTGGTTGGTTCCATAGCGGGTTGGGAGATGTAACAGTATATCCTGCCGAAGGGTCCTTCAATGTCCACAGTGATGCAAAGAGACCATGGTCCTGGAAGTTCTTGCCAACGTCGGGTTGTGATACGCGGACGGGGATGTTGAACTTTTTCAGCTCGTCGGCTGGTCCGATCCCAGAGAGCATGAGTAGCTGGGCGGTGCGGATGGCGCCAGCGGACAGGATGATCTCCTTCCCCTTGATCTCAGTTCCGTTGGCGAGCTTGACACCAGTGGCTTCGGGATTCTGGCCGGATGCAGTGGGAGTGCTCAGAAGTACCTTGGCGACAAGGGTTTTAGTAAGGACAGTGACGCCGCCGAGCGGGAAGTTGTTGGACGCAATTTCACGGCGTCCCTTGAGCTTGTTCTCGAAGAGATCGCCGATACCGAGAGGGTTGCCAGCGTTGCCGTCAATGTTAGGAAGCTGGGTAACGCCAAGTGCCTCCCATGATTCAAGAGTCTGGTTGCGGAGTGGGAATTCACGGTGGGTCGAGACAATTCCCTGAATAGGCAGTGGTCCGTCTTTGCCGTGCTCTTTGGGGTTGTCGACGGGGCAGTCCTCGCTGAGTTTCATGTAGGGGAGAAGCCCAGCATACGACCAGCGGTGGTCGCCAACAAGGTCGCCCCAGAGGTCAAAGTCAAACTTGTCCCCGCGGATCCAGCCACCTGTGGGGCTACGTCAGCTTGTGGTCTCATATATTGAGCTTTTTGCAACGTCAATGCGCCAAGGCGAGACAACATTGACGTAGTTGCTTCGACTTGGGGTTCTTCACCTGAGTTGATAACAGTGCCGCCTCCAAGTGCCTTGCCACAAGGCAAGTCAACGTTGCGATTGTTCAGGGCTACCTGCGGGACCGTCTTGTACTTCCAGTCGTACTCTCCGCCGATGAGATTGGTTGAGTTTGGCCACATGACGCTCTCGTCGTTGTTGGCGTTGCCTCCGGCCTCTATGACAAGGATTTTGAGAGACGAGTCGAAGTGGTGGAGGCGGTTGGACACCACAGAGGCGGAGAGGCCACCGCCAACAAAAATGTAATCCCAGAGCATGGTGGACGCTTCCTCTGCCGTTGTTTGGATAGGTTGGTTAGTCGACTCTGCCATCTTGAACTAACAAGAGCGGTCGAACAGGTTTATATGTGTAGAATGCGTAAAGAACACCGAGATGGTCGAATTGATGCTTCTATTGATCGCCCTTCCAGAACACTGGGGTTAGGCCAACAGCAGAAAATCGATAGTCAGTTTCGAAAAGGAGCTTCAATATAATACACCCTCAGGGATAGATGCTTGCTTCTGCACGTCAGCTAGCTTGTTGCGGGTAACCCGGCGAATGTATTGGCTTGGGCTCAATGAGGCAGTAGAGAATCGGATACAAGATGCGCAATGCGTATTCTTGAGCGAAAAAGAGGATACAGTCTCGTCCTTTAATACTCGTTTGTTTACTGACCAACGCATACCCGCCAAACTTCGCCAACGTCCATTCGGCTTCCTATCGTCGCTCGCGTCGCATCAACTAGAATTGTCGTGCCATACACGTCCAACACTCCTACTGAGAAGTCTCAACAACGAAAGATGTCCTGCGGCTTGAGAGGGGTAAGGGCACCACATGGGGAGAGCGTGCTCGGTATGGGGAAATTTGGGAGGAGGCGAATGAGAGCCTCCGCATGGATGCAAGTCCCTTGCGCCACTGTCAGCATGTCAGCCTTCCATGCGCAACCACTTCTGCGTATTGTCCGTTTTGGGCATCCGCGGCCGTTGGTCCAGGGTCTCGTACAAGATTGTTTGCGCGATTTACCCAAAAACCTGTATGCGTTATCAGGTTCGAATCGCAAGTAGACACATCGACCGCGACCCCTGTGCTGATCGATAGTAGGAGTGGACTTTCCCTTTCCCTGCCCGGTCTGAAGCCGGTGATATACGCACGTGCTTCCTGCGGGATCGCAACGCTACGGCATATAAGTCGACTGTCAGCTTTCGAGGCACAGACCCCAAGACGCACGGGTGACTAGGGATCCTCCCTAGTTGCCGCTTCGGCCGCTTCGGGTATAAAACCTAGTCTCATCCCATGTTATCTCCTGCCACTCTAGGCGCTAGTGCACTTGGCTTGCCGACCCCAATGGCACACAGGTGCTTCGCGTCTCGTATGAGTTCACAGGAAGGATCTCTCAGTGAAACCCTCTGCGATCGTCAAGGTTGCAGCGGCACCCACGGACGGGTAAATTTGAGCTCTGGATTTGACGCACTGGTTGCTGTAGTACAAAATGGACTATATCCGTTTCGGTTTCTGTCTGGTTAATCGTGATCATCGCTTATCGAAGGTGGTCGCTGGGGTCCGTGTCCTTGTAGTGTACTGTGGTCATGTCGAACGAGTGGGCGTCGTAAATGTAGGATTATAACAGTCAGCCACATACCCTTCGTCTCTTGTCCCCATTTTGATCAATTGTGCATATTATATATGTGGAGTGGACATTGGATCTCGAGAATAGTGCTCAACGCTCTCCCCTGGTCGTATCAAGGCCTACAGAGATCTGTACTTGGGCTGTAATCGGTCGTGAAGACAGATTATTAACAGACGTCTTTATGGTATTGCGACTCAATTATTGCTGAGATCGCAGCAAAAACAAAAGCAGCCATGGCGACACCAGAGGCTTCGCCGGTGGTTGGGAGCGAGCTCCCTCCGATCAATCATTACGGTGCTGGCATCGTGGCTCTCTCGGTGGTGATGCCGCTGATTGCCACTGGATGGTTGGTGCTGAGAGTGTGGACTCGCCGGTTGAGAGGGATTTCGCCTTTCCTCGTGGAAGATATCTTTTGCTATCTTGGCCTTGTAAGTTCAACTGAATGATAGACGCGATCTTGACTCTTATGGAACAATACTGACTGATTGATGTGTACAGTTTTTCTTCTGGGCAATGGGTATCAACGGCATTCTAAGTACGTTGCGAGCTCCTAGAGGCATGGCAATTAGAACATAGCCTTCGTGATACTAACGGAAGGATCTCAGTGGTCGTTTACGGTGGTCTCGGAAACCATCTTCGCCAGCTCCAGCCGATTCAGATCCTCCGATATTCTCAAATTCTTTTCGCCAACCAGGTCCTATATGCCTCTGCCCTGGGTTTTACCAAAACCAGTCTCGCGCTCATGCTGAAGCGCATCTTCTTTACCCAGTCGTATAGCTGGGTCGCATACTGCGTCATCGCGCTCAATGCTTCCTGGGTGATCCAGACCATTCTGACGGGTATCTTGATCTGTCAGCCTGTTACTATGAACTGGGATCCGACCGCGCGAGGCCATTGCGGTAACCAGACGCTCGCATTTGCGGCAGTCAGCATTGTCGACATCATCACCGATCTCGCAATTATGATATTGCCGCTTCAGATGGTGTCAAAGCTACACATGAAGAGGACGTATAAAGTCGCTCTGATGGGTGTATTTGGTTTGGGTTTCGTGTAAGCTCCGCCGTTGTAACACGTATTCCGACTCATGCTTGCGCCCAGCCACTGACTCGCCGATCAGGACAATCATCTTCACAGCCGTCCGCCTTTACCTTGTGTTCAACGTCGACTTCCTAGACATCACATACTCGGCGATACCTACAACAATCCTCGGCATTCTGCAACTGGGAGTTGCGAACATTGTAATTTCTGCGCCGCTTCTGCGTCCAGTACTGGACAGAACTCTGGGCAAATGGTTCTCCCTCTCTGTCGTCAATGGCTCGCGCGGAACGCCTGCGGCTGGCTCTCACCCAAGCGGTATATTAAAACCGGGCAACTCTGCAAATCTGGGTTTGCACAACAGCATCCACGGTCGTCCAAGGGCGCCAGGGAGTAAGAACTTCCAACGAATCACGGAGAGCGAAGAAAATTTGAGATGGGAGATGGATGTGATGCATTCTGACAAGGGGAGGACCACATACGCGGCGTGGCCAGAGGGGAGCCCAGAGAGCGTATTGGAAATGGGAACGACGCCGCCAGCAGGTAAAATCTTGAAGATCCAGTCCACGGAAGTGACACATGAATAGTAGCTGTTGGAGGATACCATTTGAGTTAATCAGTGCAGTTGAAAATGGCGTTTGGCGGACCAAAATCTACCAGGACATCAGCAGAAAGACAGATTACAGTCTGAACCTATTCTATACTTAATCAGACTACCTAGTAATTGATTGTAATGTCAGTATCATGAGAATACCCGGCATTGCTTTGCAGAATCACGCCCTGTTGAGAGATTGGAAGGAGAGGTTAGCACCATCTTGCTGCTATTGGGGAAGCGTAGCTCCAGTACGACTGAGCAGTAAAAACCCTCCTACTTCAGGGCGCGTTAACTGGGACATTTTCTCCTTGTGGTGGACGTTTTTGTTCCAGTTGGGTATTTGGAACCTTGGGTCTACGGCTTTCTGGCTGACGCCATGTGACAGACTTTGCTTTAGTGCTTAGTGCTGTGCGACATGACTCGGGCTTGTCAAGCTCGACATGGCAATGATCGAGGTTTGAAGTAGAGACCGATGTTACCAAGCTTCTCCTAATGCGATATAAAACGGCCCGAGAAGTCTGTCAGTCTCTTTTCATCAAGTTCAGGCACAGAGTCGAGCATATGGGTCACAAAACGGTAGGAAGAAAGTCTGGCTGTATCTGTAGTCATTTTTTTTTGTCTAGCGCAGATCATGTAAATTGAGTTGGCGATCCATTTCCCAGCAGCGAATGGTGTTGTATCCATGTACGTCTTCCGTTCCGTTGCCTTGAGTCATCTTCGGCCAAAGCCGATGGAATTGCCAAATCAGTCGAGGAACGCTTTCGTTCCGGAGACAACCCGATCGCCGAACCATTCGCGGATATCTCTGAGCAGCAGGTCGGGTACTTCGTAGGCTGCAAAGTGACCGCCATGGTCGTGGACGTTTCTCTTGATCACATTGCCACCACGTCTCGCCCATTCAAGAGGCAGTCGATAGGCGACATCATAAGGAAACTGGCTGATTGCCACGGGGATTTTCACCCACGGGATAGTGCCAAAGTCAACTCCGTCAAGGGCGCCGTCATTAGCCACCTCCCTGTAGAAGCGCATGCCGGCATATGGTCCCTGGATGTAATACATCATTGACCAGGTAATGATCTCTTCTGGCGTCCAATTCTTGATTGTTGGATCAACGACCTCTGCCATCAGAGCATACATCCACATCGCATTGCCTAGCGGAGAGTCCGACACTGCAAAGGCTGATGTAAGTGGCTGGGTCTGTTGAAGTATGCGATAGCCGGATGCCTGGTTGATATAAGTTTCCAGCGTCGCAATGTATGTTGTTTCATCAGGAGTTGCCAATCCTTGCGCGAGCCTGCGGAAATCGCTCTGATCCGGCTGGATGATCCAGAAATTGCTCAATGCAGAAACGACATTGTTTGGGAAGAGATGTGCCTGGAAACGAAGAATGACGCCGCCAAAGTCCCCGCCCTGTACGACGTATCTTACGTAGCCGAGTTGCTGCATTAACTTGTTGAAAGCATGTGCAGCACGAACGGGTCCAAATCCAGGGCGTTCAGGGGCAGGAGAAAATCCAAAGCCTGGTATCGAAGGAGCTACCACGTGAAATGCCGGCAAGGATTTGTTAGGTGGGTGTGTCAACTCGTCTATGATATTGCTGACCTCGAGGAATGACCCTGGCCAGCCGTGGATGAAGAGGAGGGGAATGGCATCTTCGCGCGGCGAGCGATGATGGACGAAATGTAGTGGGATTGGACTGGTGTCGTTGCCTATGGTTGGCTCAACAATTGTCGTGAATTGCTGCAGTCTGGTAACCTTATTAATCAAGTACTCAGCAGCCACAGTTGAGACGCAAACTCACTGTTTATTAATAGATTCCTCGACCCTAGTCCAGTTGTATTCTTGGACCCAGTACTCCTGAACGTGAGTAAAGTTGTCCCTGCTCGGACCTTCGTAGGTTGTAGTTTCAAGGAAGATGGGAGACCTGGCGGTCAACACCCGCTGTCTTGTATCGTCGATGAAGTCTTTGTTAACGCGAAGTACGAACGGCTTGGGCGACTTGGAGAACGTTGCGTTAACATTCGGAATAGAAAACGCGTTTAACGTCCATACAAGATTGAATAGGACAGCGGTATAGAACGGGAGCATCGTGACGTTTCCTCCTCTTGCGAAGGTTTCGTAGTAAGCGAAGTACTCTCCCGTCCCCTGGTATGCCAGCTCGAAGGGGAAGAAAATTTATCTTGTCGGTTGGTTTCAGTGCTCCAATTAACTCGGGCGTACTATACAAGCCGAAAACATGCGCTCTGTCTATTCGTACCTTGATGAGTCTGAGAAGACGTAATATATAGTAAACACATCGCTCAGGCCTCGATTGACCCTCCCCATACCGTTTTTCCCACAGTCTCCAAAGCCCGCAGTTTTGAGTATGAATTTCTAAGCATTGCTGCTCAACAACCTCATACTTCCGAAGAAGTTTGAACGTCAGGATGGCTTGGCTACTCCATTACCATATCCCCAGGATATACATCCGTAATAGGTCGGATGTAGACGTCAAATCCCTGTGTTACGACAGCTCCCCACAGAAATTAGCAGAAAGAAAAAAGTCAAGAGCGGACCCGATGCTATCTTACGATACTCGTCTCTTTTGATGGCGCATCTATGACCTCTATTCTCCAGGGAACTGGTGGAACCGGTACGATATTTAAAGCTGAGGGCTCTCTCGCTCTATATAGTTATCCTTTTGCAGTCACAAATATTCAATCGGCTCTGGTTCTTGTCGTTCAAATTATCAACATCCTTCTTGGCCTCGGACATCACAGAGTTGTCTTGCGAGAATGGCTACCATACACATCGGCACTCTTGTCTTTGCCTACCAAGTCGTCGACAGCGCGGGCCCTACCGACCTCCTCACGTCCGCACAAGGGTCCATTCTCAAAGCCGTTCAACAGTATGGACCAGTCGATGAGGCAGTCATATCCAGAGCACCCGAATTTCAATTTCATTACATTGGTGTCAACAGAGACCCAGTACTGCTAGGATCAAGCCAGTTGACGATTGTGCCTTCAACCACGGTCGATGAATGCCCCGAAGTCGACATCCTTCTCGTCCCCGGCCCGTATCTCCACAACTTTGAACTACACCCGAAGCAAGCCGAATATATCCGCAAGCATGTGGCAGCGGGTAAGCTTCTATGGACTACGTGTACGGGATCTAGCCTTGCGGCATCTACAGGTGTCCTGGACGGAAAGAGGGCAACTGTTAACAACGTCGAGTACTCCTGGGTTCGCAAACGCTGGCCAAAGGTGAACTGGACTAGAGAGAAGAAATGGGTCATTGATGGAAATGTTTGGACGTCTTCCGGGGCATGTGCTGGGGTAGACATGATTGCGCATTGGCTGAAGGAGAACTACGGGCTCGATCTGCTCATCCAGGCTAGCAACAGCCTTGATTATGAGCCTCGAGACGCTGATGGTCTCTACACAATCTTCCCCCAGAGGTACGACGCAGAAGGAAACAAGCTGTCTACTCATGTCTACCGATACTACGACGACGCATAGGTAGTCCAATTTGTTGTTGAAGCGTTGCGCTCCCCACCAGGTTACCTAATTAGAGCAGTTCTTCTATTAGCATGTGGAAAATTCCTGCATTGAGCATTCGTCGTCTGCTGCATCCGTTTTGTGTAAGAGTATGAGGATCCAGTGTCCCAGAAGATCACTCTATACTATACACGCTGCGACGCTTTTTTAAACTCATATTTGATATATAATCAGTCTTTGAACATTAGCCGAGTAATCAAATGCTCCAACAGTGGCATACATTAATCTAATCCCAATAAAGCAGTTAAAAGTTGACGTCAAATTGACGTTACTGATAACGCTATGCACATCTGAGGGCTTATTCTACTATCTCATTTCGCATATATTTCCGGTAAGCGCTGAGGTTGCGTGATGAATGACTTACAGAGGTTTGCATCGGTTGTTACGATCAGTATCATGTGGTCTCTGAGACAGCGTCGTCAAATCAGGGACCAAGTCAGTCGAGAGCTCGGGACCACAACACAATCAACACATGACCCGGTGTCGAATGGGCCTCTCAATGTCGACGAGGGTCGTCCTCCGTGGCCGTGGCCCCGGAACACGACACCTGCTCAAGATACAGGTCCGGAAAAGCGAACATGTTCGCCAAATGGGCGAATAATGGTTACGTGTGTGCCGGAAGACACACTCAATCCACAGAATTGGCCGCTAGCTGCAAGGTGCAAGAATATTGCCATTTTGGCATTTCTCATCTTTGTACAAGGATGGGCAGGCGCGTCAGAATCCATGGCGAACTCGGAAGCAAGCTCGCACTTCCACGTGAGCCAGGTCGCCGAAAATCTGGATACCGCAATGTATCTATTCGGCGTTGGCATGGGGTCACAAATCGCCGGGCCCTTGTCGGAAACGGTAGGCAGAAACCCTGTATACTTGTTAGCCACCTTCTGCTATCTCTTCTTCGTCCTGGGCTCTGCAAAGGCGGCGACTTTCGGTGGACGCATTACCTGTCGGCTTTTTGTGGGCTTGTTCTCAAGTGCTACCTTGTCAATCAACGGATCGAGTGTCAGGGATCAGTTCAGAGACGTAAAGAGGGCTTTTGTCTTTCCAATCATCGCCTGGGTTAACGTGATAGGTAGGCAACATGAGGAGAGACTACTCTCTTGAATGCCCAATACTGATGCTTCACGCAAACTAGGCCCTGTGATTGCGCCCATAGCGAGCGGCTGGCTGGTGGCAAACCCCAGCCTCGGTTGGCGCTGGCCGGACTGGATGACACTCATCATATCCGGCGCCGCATTCATGATCGCACTGCTATTCCTCCCTGAAACATACCTGCCACTGCTTCTGGACTGGAAAGCCAAGGAGCTTCGCCGGCTGACAGGCGACCAGAGATACTCTTCCGAGCATGCATCGTCTGCAAGCCTCGCTGGTCGCCTGAAGCACAATATCAAGCTTGGTGTTACCTTTTTTTCAACAGAGATCATTGTGACAGTGCTGGGATTATATCTGCTACTCCTCTATACGCTTCTCTTTACTTCGCTTTCAGGGTTTGATTACATCTTCAAGGAGACATATGGGCTCTCTACTGGCCTCACCGGTAGCTGTTTTGCCTCGATTGCGGTAGGATCGACGGTTTTCACTTTCACTGCACCGAGCTGGTACGGTTGGGCTCGCAGGGCAACTGCACACGTGCATGGGGCTTCCGTCAAACCGGAATTTCGACTGTGGCCTGCGATTATTACTTCACCCATGTTGCCTGTTTGTCTTTTCTGGCTTGGGTGGACTAATTACCCAAGTATTTCCATATGGAGCGGACTGGCCGCTTGCTGTGTTTTTGGGCTCGTCTTGACTGCATTTTACGTGAGCAGTTACGAATACATTATAGACAGCTACGGCGATCACTCGGCTATCGCCCTTGCGAGCATCACATCTCTTCGCTACCTGGCCGCAGGAGGCATGGTTATGGCGACCCGTCCAATGTACACAGCCATTGGAGTGCACTGGACAATGACCATCTTGGGCTGCGTCGCAACAGTGCTCAGTCCTGCACCTCTCCTATTCTGGTTTTACGGACCCAGTCTCAGACGACGTAGCAGGTACGCGAAGGATCCGCAAGAGGATACACAGGACTCACGCCATGATTGAAAGCGATCATGATGCCTACGTAGGTGGGTGGTCAAGACTTGAAGTACATTGGGGTTAAAGAGTTTTTATGTCAAATCGGACCAGGCTGGCCTAGAAAAAGCCTGTCTAATTGGATGGACTTTCTGGATCTTCCGTCTCACAATGTCTTTATTTGCTATCTTTGTTGCTCCAAACTAGTAGCAAATCGGCGAGGCATAGGCGCTGATTCTTGCTGATTTTCGCCAACACACCTCCTATCGGACCGTGAAGTACCCCGGTTCTCGGTTCTTTGGCATCTATTCCTAGTCATACTTTTCGGCATCCGACTGGTCAAAATTCCGAATGAAGTCGTAATAGAACTTCACCATGTTCACATGCTCACTCATCAACAATTTCTCGTTGACACCATGGACATTGCCGAAAGATTTCAGGCTTCCTGGGCTCCATCTGTATATGTTCTCCGACAGATCTAGTAATTGAAAGTTAAAGAGTCAGCATACAGGAAACATGTTGATGGGCCCTTTAATGTACAAAGACCTACTGAGATAATGGCGCGTGTCCGTATTGCCAGTCATGGCACCCGGAGTCGGAACGACTGTCTTTGCCTGGTCGGCAAATGTGTAGCGGACCGTGCCGGCGTATACATCCCACACAGCACCGTGGGTTGGCGATTTACGTGTGATGTAGGATCTTTTCCTCCCCTCCAAGGTCAGCTTCCCGTTATAGATGGGCTCCCACGCTGTGTGCATATTGTCGTCTCTAGAATTGGGCACATCCCCAATGGAGAGGAGATAATCCTCGTAGTCCTTGTCACCCTCAAAGGCCTGCACAGTGAGATTGTACTTCCTGACAACGCCTTGAATTAGGTTCACGATGCGGTGTTGGATGCTGCCAACAGAGTCCTGGGGAGCAAAGCGGTGATTCACACCCAGAGTGGTAAATTCGGGCAGAGAATTGATCTTCTGACCGCCTGCAATCCAATCCACAGCCTGAGACGTCTGGATGAAATACTGCGCTTCTCGTTGCACTTGCGCCACCAGCCGAGCCGCCTGATCGAGCAGACCCAGGCTGACGTAATAGGTCAATGTCGGCAGAGCGTAGGGTGAGTAGCGTGTGAAGCAGACGAGGGCCTCGTGAATCGGGCCGTCCTTGATAATCTTTGGTTCGAATGGGCTGGACTCAAGAGCAACGACGATTTCCGACATCATACCGATGGAAGTGTGTGGGGTGGGCGTTGAGCTGTGCCCTCCAACAACGTCGAGGTCAAACCACACATCGAGATATCCCTTCTCGTATACAGCGGGTGCTGCATAGAGAACATCCCCGACAGTTTGTAGGCCAGCACCGCCTTCGTCAAGGATCACGGCGATTCCGTCTTTGCCATATCGTTTTTCAAGCAGCTTTCCTATCGACGCCGCACCTCGGGGACCTGAACACTCTTCGTCGAACCCAAAGGCAAATATGACCGTGCGACGTGGCTTGTAATTTTCCTGTGAAAGGAGAGCTTCCATGGCAGTCATGAGAGCTGTGATGGCTGATTTGTCGTCCGAAGCTCCACGACCATAGAGATATCCGGTAGATTCGTTGTAGTGTGCGCTGAATGGTGGATAATCCCACAAACTCAACGTTTCGCTCTCGACCGGCACGACATCCTGATGAGCCGTCAAGAGAATGGGTTTCAATGAGGGATCCGAGCCATTGACTGTGTATACAAGTCCAAACGTATTGACCTTCTCGACGGATGCGTTGCGATAACTGGATTTTAGTTAGCGTATGAAGTCGACGAACACGGAGTTATGCGGCACTCACACCAGTGGGTAGTTGTCCTCTAGCGCCTTGGAGATGTTACAAAAGGGCTTCCATCTTTGGTCGTCACGAGGATCTACCACATTGTCATCGCAAATCGAGTCGCCAAAGCCTCCCAGATCGTCATAACAAACGGAACGAATCTTCACGAGAGGCTGATGGCGCAGAACCAGTGTCTCGATCGTATCCTCGGGTGGGAAGAGGTCCTCAGAGCTGTATAGCCCGTCGCTAGAAGGATCAAGAGGTTTAACTAAGTCACACTTGAATCGCGACGCATCGACGTCTTTGTGTCCGAAGCCCAGAGGCAACTGGTTCAAGAAGCTAGACAGGGAACTCGCGCGCGGAAGTTCATATGCCGCTGATGATCCCAAAATGCCAGCAAGCAGCACTTGCTTGGCCGTCAACATGGCGAACACAGTTATCAAAGTCGAACAGAACTTCCAAAGCATGCAAGTAAGGATGTGGAAAGAGAGTTTGAAAGAGGAGAAAGAACCGAAGAGATGGGGATCTTCTTATACCAATCTCAGCCCCGACTCCATCATGGACCACGTCAAGCTTGTCATTTGGCAGACAATAGGCCTGACCGCTTCAATTCCGAGAATGACATAGGGGGCGCCTGTACAATATGCAGGGCGACATAGATTCCGAGGTTCCACACCGGGAAACAGGGGATCGGACAACAGAGAGCGAATCGTTTCCCGGTGGACAATGGAGAGCAATTAGAATGAACACGTTGGCAATGCCAACCTTCCGAAGTTCCACAGCGAATAAGTGAAGACCGGGAAGCAGATAGCGGATGAATTGCCAGTTGGCCAAAGCAGCAATCAAGTTGAATGCTTGTCGCAGCCGATGCTCATGCACAAGCAACTGCGGGTATGGGGCTTGGGCAGAATGGAACTCCTTGACCGATATGCAGTAGATATCACGCAGAGAATGGCCCTGAGGCTGTCAGCCAGAAACTGAGAACAGGTCCTTCTAGTAGATGATATCATACGATCGGGTTGATGCACGGGATACGACGTTAGACAAAACACGTCTCCGAGCACAACACATATATGTACGTTGCCAGGGTCTTCTCACTTCTCCGCACAATCATCCCTTACATGCCTTGATACGCTCGGGTCAGTGCATGAAATACGATGCGAAACAGAACACGTCGCCGAGCACATCACACATGTACGTTACCGGTTTCTTTCCGCTTCTCCGCACAGAGTCTAGTGGACGAACAGTATTCCTGCCAATCTGGCCAGGACAGCATATGGGGATACACCTAAGGTAAGGGGAAGAGGGCCGGGGTTGATGTAAGGAGATGCGAGAGCAAATGGCTCGATTCAAAGGAGGAGTCTTTGTTGCAACACTCACGACAACTTAGGTGCATGGTTTTCAGCCCCCGCTTCTTTTGTTCAGTAAGTGAATTGGCCACTCTCCATATGGTACTTTTCAGTCCTGGAAATGAAGACTGAAGCAAATCGATGGTTACAGATGCCCAGTTGATTGGGAGGGGTGAAGGGCATCACAGGAGCTCCGCTCAGTTCATGAGCTACGGGGTCCAAATTCACATGTAATCGGATATGTCAATCCTAGGATAGGCGCAAGAGCGTAAAGCATACTTTGGCGCCATGGGCAAGCACATACTTGCAACGTAAAAATTCAAGAACGCCAAGCATATCTGCGCCCCAGCTACGCCTCATACCGGAAAATAAACTTGAGACTACCCCTAAGCTGATGTAGCATCATCAAGCATGCTGTTCTCCAAAAGTCCCACGCGAGACAAAGGTGGTCGAGACAAGCTTGACTTACCTTAGTCAAATCTGTGGTTGTTGGAAAAGTTGCCATGTCTCAGTGGAGGACAAAGTTCCAGGTGTAGAACAAGCTACGTTGACGTTTAACCATTGGACAGCAACCGTAAATACACATACTGCGGAGTTTCCCAACGTGGCAGTTGTTCCTTTTCACAGAAAAGAGAAGCCTATGTTTCATTGATCTTTGCAGAAGTCAACCTTATGTTTACCTCCCGGACGTCTGATTGGCGCGCATACGACAACTCCAAACCTGGGGTAAATATCCCCAAATACCCACCTCAAGGTTAGGCAGAGTGCTTTTTCCACCTCTGACATCTGCGAAAGCCAGACTCATTTGCGTCACAGGGCCTTGTTCATGCAGCATCGAGGAAGAAGAGTAGTATTTCGGACAAGGCCATATAGGCTCTTTGCGTCTTAGTCTGCGGAATAGCGGTAGTCATGAGCAAATGTAGGCTATAATGTGTATTTGGAGACAACCCTTGTCTTTCAAAGTGAATTTCATCTGATACCAATCGGGGATATTTTAAAAGAACAAGAGAAAGGTATAAAAGGGCCAGGCATATACCTCTTCAGAGCAGATTTACGACTTCATCCTCACCATTATTTGACTACTCTGCTACAGTGGCTATTGAAGCTTTCTCGCCCAAGTTCAGACTTTTCTTACGAGCCTGCCTTGCTTTGAAGTTTTCGCCCCTGGCATTACAATGCTCTCCAACGCTCGTATCATCGCAGCGGGCTGTATTGCTGCAGGCTCTCTCGTTGCTGCTGGGCCTTGTGACATCTACTCCTCGGGCGGAACGCCTTGCGTTGCCGCCCACAGCACCACTCGAGCTCTGTTCAGCGCTTATACCGGCCCGTTATACCAGGTAAAGCGCGGCTCCGATGGTGCCACAACCGCCATATCGCCCCTCTCAAGTGGTGTGGCCAACGCTGCCGCTCAAGATGCTTTCTGTGCGGGAACTACATGCCTCATTACCATCATATACGACCAGTCGGGTCGCGGCAACCATCTCACCCAGGCCCCGCCGGGCGGCTTCAGCGGCCCGGAATCCAACGGCTATGACAACCTGGCTAGTGCAATTGGGGCGCCGGTAACACTCAACGGCCAGAAGGCGTATGGAGTTTTCGTGTCTCCAGGAACGGGGTATCGGAATAACGCTGCCAGCGGCACAGCCAAAGGAGATGCCGCGGAGGGCATGTATGCGGTTCTCGATGGTACACACTACAACGGCGCCTGCTGCTTTGACTATGGCAACGCCGAGACCAACAGCCGCGATACAGGCAACGGTCATATGGAGGCCATCTATTTTGGCGACAGCACTGTCTGGGGTACTGGCTCAGGCAAGGGTCCGTGGATCATGGCTGATCTCGAGAACGGCTTGTTCTCAGGCTCCAGTCCCGGCAACAATGCCGGTGATCCGTCCATCTCGTACCGGTTCGTCACTGCAGCGATCAAGGGGCAGCCAAACCAATGGGCAATCCGTGGCGGCAATGCTGCGTCTGGCTCGCTGTCAACTTTCTACAGCGGCGCTCGCCCACAAGTCTCCGGATACAATCCGATGAGCAAAGAGGGCGCCATCATTCTCGGCATTGGCGGCGACAACAGCAACGGCGCCCAGGGCACATTCTATGAGGGCGTCATGACCTCTGGATATCCTTCCGATGCAACAGAGAATTCAGTGCAAGCCAACATCGTAGCTGCCAGATATGCCGTCGCGCCGCTGACAAGTGGTCCTGCCCTCACCGTCGGTTCGTCAATCTCTCTACGAGCCACAACAGCTTGCTGCACGACTCGCTACATCGCTCATAGCGGGTCTACGGTCAACACCCAAGTCGTCTCATCATCCAGCGCCACAGCCCTCAAGCAACAGGCCAGCTGGACGGTTCGTGCCGGCCTGGCAAATAACGCTTGCTTCTCGTTTGAGTCCAGGGACACGTCGGGCAGCTACATTCGCCACTCCAACTTCGGTCTTGTGTTGAATGCCAATGATGGCAGTAAGCTCTTTGCTGAGGATGCTACCTTTTGCACGCAGGCGGGCATTAACGGCCAGGGAAGCTCCATTAGATCTTGGAGCTACCCAACGCGATACTTTCGCCACTACAATAACACGCTCTACATCGCGAGTAACGGGGGCGTTCACGTATTCGATGCCACTGCCGCTTTCAACGACGACGTGAGCTTTGTGGTTAGTGGCGGTTTTGCTTAAGTCACCTCCCTTGCCATGGGGTGATGCGAACGTACCCGATGTATATAGCGAATCCACTCCTTACTGTGTGACCTACATATGGGGCATTTGCAGGTAGATAGCTGGTGTTTGATCAGACCTGTCTGGGGGGCGAGGGGGATTTTCTCAGTGGAGGTCAGACAATCGTTTCTGTTGTGGCTATTTGTACCTATTTCAGGCTTTCGTTCGAATACACCTAACGTATACTGTACTCTCCTCTGCCCAAATACTCAAGAGTCAATATTCAGATATGCTTCGTTTCCTGTCGCTCAACGCTCAGGTAACCGCGTATCACCACCCTCATCTTCCTGGTCTAGACGGTGACTAACACCCTATGTGAGCAAGTACACCTTGGCGGTGGTTGCGAACAGGTAACACAACACCTCATTGCCAACCACTGGCAATGCATAAGCTACAGCATGGCAGCAAGTACCACCGTCTGACATTCAAGGTTGACTATCTACCTAGGCATCCAGTTATTCTACGTAATGCGAAGTGCCTTGCTTGCAAATTACCACAAAAACTCGACAGCACAGGAGATTGGGGGAATATTCTGCCACTGGATTCTCAAGCACATCCTGTCAAGTCGTGCCAACGTAGAGCCCATCTTCCTGTTCCGTCAGTGACCCGCTTGGGGCGACAAACCATGCGTATTATCTGAAGTCAGAACGAGTTTTGGGAAATTCTTTCGAGACCTTGACATGGTAACCCTACTGCGTAGTCTACGCGGCAGACGCTTTTCAGGGTAGCTGTGTGAAGTGGGTGCTCTGTCACAGACTCATGACATGGACATGACAATAGGGTCTCTGGAAAGATAGAATCACGGCAGGTGGCTTTCTGATAGAAAAAGACGCAGAATTAGAGGTCTGAAGGAGAGGCTCATGGGTATGGCTACTGGAATGCATCTAGAGACTGTACATAGCCTTCAAGCTGAGACTTGTTGATGAAATATTGACAAGTGTGGGGGCATCGAATCCAATTCCTCAAAGAGACAGTATCCGCATACACGAGATAATACACGCTCTATAGAACTCATCAATACTCGCTAATTTTACCTCATGGAACATACGAACTAGATGGGCCATTTCCCGCCGTTTGCAGAAACGGTGCTCCCGGTTACCCAACGTGACTCCTCGCTGGCGATGAATGCCGCGATCTGCGCAATGTCATCTGGCGTGCCGCTCCTTGGTGCTGCAGCAGTAACGCGTGCATTTTCCTTGCGGTAAGCTTCAAGGCTATCGGGAGAAAGGCTTTGCACCATCTCGGTTTCCACAAACCCCACAGACAACGCTTTATTCAATTGGAGTCAGCCGTGAAGTAATGCAAAGATCACATAAGAATCCCGAGCTCACCGTTCACTGTAATTCCCCGCGACTGACCAAACTGAGATAAAACACGTTAGGTCTTATATCTCAAATTCGAGCTGATTGTATAAACTCACTTCGACGGCCCAATTTCTTGCGAGCGCCTCAATAGCTGCCTTGCTAATCGCGTAAGCTGTCTGACTCATTCCGAAAGAGAATCGCCGAGCTGCAATGGAGGAAATGAGAATGATACGCCCTCCGCGCGGGATATGCGGGAGCATTGTCTTCGTAAGGAAGAATGGAGCACGAATGTTTGTGATCATTGTATCATCGTATAACTGTTCCGAAGTATCTTCCGTCGAGACAGGCCAGGCGACTGCTGCATTGTGCACTATTTCGGTCTGAGTGTTAATGCATACAATGCAGGGCAATGCAAGCTAAAGAGAGCTATCCATACCAACAATATCAATATTCGTAACACCAAGTCCTCGCAGCGTCTCGTCAATGATCTTCTGATAATTTTCGAACACCTTTAGATCGGCCTGAATGCCAATAGCCTTTGCGCCAGAGCCAAGTAAGAGGATGTCATTGACTGCTTGATTGGCGGTCTCAGTACGGCTGGGATTGGCATACACCATGGCGACGTTAGCACCTCGGCGAGCAAGTTCGAGGGAAATGCCTCGCCCGATGCCTCTGATGCCACCGGTGACGAGAGCTGTTTTGCCAGCAAGTGAAAGATGCATTGGTGCCATGTTGTACTATTGGATGATGGATGTTGACGACTGATGAGTCTTGGAAATTGGCTGTTGATAGACTTTTCTCAATTCCATAACTCTGACAGAGCCCTCTTTATATCCCGAAATTTTCCTACAAGAGCCAATCTCCAGATATTTACTATATCCATAGAGGTACCCGAAAGATCAGCTTGCATAGAAAGGCAGCCAATCAACCACGAACATCAAGAATCAATATTTGATACATTATCTCCGGCCAAACTGATTCCATTGAGCCCCCTTTTCCTTTTTAAGTCCTATAAGCGGCAAGTCGTAGCATACATCCAAGTGACGTTGTAATAAACAGACCAATCAAACACACAAAGAGTGTCCCACACTGCTTCTGAAGACCAATACTTCCCGGGATTACGGAGATAAGATGATCTGAACAGCAGAATATTGAAAGTGACGTCAGTCTATAACTGGCTGCATCTGAGCCTCAATTGATACCTGGTATTTGCTCTACTCTACGAAGATAACTGGAAATTGGCGAAAATATGAGGAGGCAAATTCACTACAGATTCCCCAAAGTCTCAAGTTCATCTACATCTACAGAATCAGCGGAAATTGGCTCTACTTTGCATGTTTTGTCGCTTAGGAGACAAAAGAGATGGCGGTCGTGCAGAGAAAATGGCGCCTCGCGGTGCAACGATATAATGTGCGAGTTGTTGGCGGCAATCTACCATTGTGGCTATTCTATTGGGATAGATGCAGTTCATTCCACTGTCACTAAAGCCTCCTGGGTAAACGCTCTACTCAAATCGCGTAGCCTTACTAGTGGATGTCTTAAATCATCCCACTGCCAAAGTTGACCTTGTCGCAAAGTTGTTCTCTAAAAGGCCGCCCTTTAGATTGCTATATAGAGTCTACTCGACGAGCTTTTTTGGATTATGCCGTGACTTGAAACAATGCGGATGAGTACAAAAGTGGATGAGGTCCTGATAGGAGAGGAGACAGAAGGGGGAAGAAAAGCTGCCATCTATGATGCGCAAGTGATATGACTTCTGATACCTGCAGCTTGAGAACAGTTGTCGCAACATCGGTGCAGTGGCTGCAGGACCCATGACTTGGGGAAGGTAAGGTGGTTCAATAATATTCTCAAGTTTAACCGGTGTTATATAAAGTACAGCATGTTTTCAAGAGCTATTCGCCTCTCCAGAAGATTATCTAGTTATCGAAGTGATATCAGCATTCTCATATGCTGCGATGTGCCATGTTTCTCATACGGGGACATCGATTGGCAATACCAACAGCAACGCAGTCAGCGTGGGAACTAGTGGCAGTGTAATATCTGGGTAGCATGGTAATGACTTCCGTACTGCCGAGGCGTAACTGGATTAACACGAGTATAAAAACTAGCTAATCACACACCAAAGCACAATGTCTGAACCAATCAGCAATGTTTGGACAAAGTAGAGAATGAACGTGCGATTTATGATTTATCTGAGTAAGCCCTTGCAGAACGCAGACCGCTTCATATATCAGCGGCTTACGTATTTTTCGCTGGTAGCGGATAGGATGCTTCGTGATGACATTGATTATGGGGACCATAATCACTAGATATCAGACACATCAGCCACCAAGATATAGAGTTTCTGCGTCGGTTACGTGGCACAGACAGAGGTGGTATAAAGGAACTGTAAGGCCTAGGCATAGCATTCCTGTCTGTAGCTCTTTTAGGTCCGCCAAATGAAAGGGCACGTATTGCGATACAATTTGGCCGTATTTCGTCGTACAACGTGGCGGCAAACACTCGACAAGACACGCGCATCTGATACAAGTTGACTATGGCTCTCATGGCCGAGCACGGGGTTTTGAGGCCTTGGCCAATCCCGTATTCTATGTTCTTTTCCCTTGCTGGCCTATGCCTCTTCGTTTACTATCTCTATGTTCGGCACCTGCCCAGACCTATCCCGGGCGATATTCCGTACAACAAAGAGTCAGCACGGCGCCTCTGGGGCGACACTCCCGAGATTCGACGGGCTCAGAAAACTGGGAATTTCAGGCAGTTCTTCCACGACCATAGCGCGAAGCTGCATTCGTCCATTACTCAGGTTTTCATGTTCCCATATCCGAAGCCATTTGTCTTGGTAACGGACTTTCGTGAAGCACATGACATTCTGTCGAAAAGGTATCGAGAGTTCGATCGGAGCAAGCGAAATGCGGACGTTTTTGGAACCATTACCCCAGAGTTTCACCTGGCCATGCAGTCTCGTGATCCGCGGTTTAAGGGAAACAAAGAACTTGTAAGGGATCTGATGACGCCCGGCTTCCTCAACGAAGTAAGCTATTCCCTTACTTGAGAGTCCATCTTTCAGATGCTGAGCGATACACAGGTTTCTGCTGTGCATATTTACGACATTGCCACAGTGTTGGTTGACATGTGGGCGCTCAAAGCTGCTCAAGCTCAAGGCCATCCCTTCTCTGCCCATGAAGACCTCCATTATGTAGCGCTCGACATTATTCTCGCCGCAGCCTTTGGTATTCCACTCGAGCAATCAGTGACGGAAAAACAATATGAGTTCTTGCAGCTACAACCGCCTGCAATGCCTTCGCCAAATTCCAAGGACGATCCGGTTGTCTACAGCCGCGCTCCGGTACCGAGTTCTCGCATGTCGCTGATTGAGGTCACGGGGACTGTGGCACTTGCGTACAAATCTCCGTTCCCGCGCCTTCATCACTGGCTCCTGCGGAAGACGATTTGGCGCCGAACATTTGCTGAGAAGGAAGCATTCATCACAAACGAGATAAACAAAAGCGTCGAGAGGTTGACTTCCGAGAACAAGCAACAAAATCGTATGCGCTGTGCCATGGACATGATGCTTCTGAGAGAAATGGGCCAAGCCAAGAAGGAAAGCAGAACGCCAAATGTCAATGCGCCCAGGATCCGAGATGAGGTAAGACTGAGTCGTGCTATGGCGAATCAAGCTGATGAAACATTACTGACTGTGAGACTCAGCTCTTCGGCTATGTAGCCACTGGGCATGACACTTCATCCACGACGCTCTCGTGGATCACCAAGATCCTGGCCGACAATCCGTCTTCCCAGGCGAAACTTCGTCGCCAATTACACGTTGCCTTTGCAGAAGCAAATGAAGAAAACCGCCAGCCCACGGTGGTTGAGATCATAGAGAAGCCAGCGCCCTATCTAGACGCCTTTTTGGAAGAGTGCTTGCGCATCACAAAGACAATACCTTCCATTCTACGCGAGACGCTGACGGATACAACCATACTGGGTCATGCGGTTCCAAAGGGCACAGGCGTCATGATTTACAACCATGGACCTGGAGGCCAGCTGGAATCTGGATTCGGCATTCCTGAGTCGGTCAGATCGACCACATCACAAGACTCAAAAGACCGCGTTGGTGAGTGGAACGAGGATGACATTGGCCAATTTCGACCCGAGCGTTGGCTCCAACGAAAGACTGGAGCGCAAGAGTATGGGGATGCGCAAGGCGAGTTTGATGAACTCGAATACAACGCCTATGCTGGGCCTTTCTTGACGTTTGGTGGCGGACCTCGAGGCTGTTTTGGCAAAAAGTTGGCGTACATGGAGCTGAGGATCGTATTGGCAATGCTTGTCTGGAATTTTGTATTCGAAGCTTGTCCCCCCGAACTCAGCTCCTACGAGGGTATCGACACGGCGACTGTGGTGCCAAAGCAGTGCTTTGTGAGGCTGAAACAGCTACTTTGAAGAATGAAAAAGGTCGATGTTCCAGATGGACTGCTCTTCTGCTTAGCTGTAATATCCGGTGGACGCTGAAATGATACAGTTTGAATGAGATTGCAAAGGCTCCCAGAGTGAATTGCCGAACCGCCAAAATGTCCAGTAATACAGCGCCATTGAAACCTTATGTAGCAAAACGATATTAGTAAATTCGTTTCAAGTAGAGTAGGTACCTACCTAGGTAGGTAGCGAACGTCTCAGGTACCTGCCAATTTATAGGTATTCCCGAGTCTTGCTTCGCAGGCAACTGTCGGCTGGTGCTGAGAAAATGCCGCCAAGCGGAGCGACACGGCCGTCCACGCAAGCAAGCCAGCTTGGTGCAATTGCGCAAGAAAAGTTCCACTAACCCTCACGGGAAGAACGGCTGTGTTGCTTCGTAGGCGTCGCTATCGTGAGGGGTTCGAGACGGTGATACATATGTTCCTCAAATTGCAAGGCGTCTGGGGCATGCAAATAGATTTGGCGCGATGAAGGAGAGGCGAGGGACAACACTGTCGTTGATTGGCGAGCTCCGTCATGCAGCATCACGGCCGGGGCGGAGAGAACGCAAGGGGGCGGCGGAAGGGAGAGGACCAACTGGGAAGCCAGGCCACCAAAAACCACCTACCAACTACCAGTTTGGAGATGATGAGTCAATTCTAGCAAGTCACGTAATAAGTCCGACTGTGAATCAGTCATCATGAGCAATTACGGCGGTGGGTGAAACCAGCACTTGCAACACCAAGTAACACCTGGAACATTGGTTGCGGGTACGGAGTACAAAGTTGCTGCCTCGACGGGGTCCCAAGCAAAGAAAATAAGCCTCAGGAGGCCGTCACAAATCACAAGATCGACGCCGTATCATAAGAACGCAGGATAAAACACCTAACTTCACCACCTTTCCAACAGACGCGGATGATCCCTTTTGCTACCACATGAATGTCCTCACGCAGCCGCCCGGCTTCGAGTCAACGGTCAATCACCTACAACGGAGGGCTCAATAATAGGGGCATGCACACGATTCATACATCTTAAATTGAACATCTAGATGCCGATTGTAATTGCATCATCCGTGGGCCAGAAGTCAGTTGGTGGTACTCCTCCGGAAGAATCGTCCATCAGGAACTAGGACAACCAGATATCAAGCTAGGTAGGTGAGATCATCAAACCAGTGGTGGTTACCGGGTCGATAATAACAACTACATGGAAGTGCGGCCTCAAAGGCCTCTTTTCTTGCGCAAAATTTGATGTCGGCTCCTCCGCCAACGCCATCGCGGGAGTAACACGCAGTGTAAAAACAGAAATTTGTGCTGCTGTGCGTATATCAATGATTGAAAAAGGTCTTAGTTCAAGGAGATCCAAATGTCGGTGGCAGGGCCCTTCTAATATAAACACTTGACCGAGGTCCGCCGAGACTGACCGGAATGGGGTCACCCTGCAGTTCACCGCGCAGAACTGGGGCAGCCTCATCGTTCATGGCCCTTTCGTACTTATCGGGAGCGAAGTCTCTCCCATGATTCCTTGCTGCAGTACTTTACACATTATCCGAGTACCTCGCCATGTTCTCTCGAGTTCAACATCAGTTATCCTCCAGCATGGCTTCCACGGTTGGGAAATTGGTGGGGAGACTGTTGCCCGTCGCGAGTACAATCTTCTTCGCAAACTCAGCGATCTTGCCAAGACTTTCTTTATCACCTCCGTGCCTGATGAACCCTTTTGCGTGCCAAGTGGCTTGGACGGGGCAGTTCATAGCTATCAAAACCGTGACCAACAATGCCATGGTCGCTTGTCCATCGTGTACCGAATAATCGGACAAGAGGTTCTGCATCGAGACATTCATAGCTATATGTGCTACGATGTCCATCTTATCAGTTCTAGTACTTGCTAAGGGGTGATAGTAAACGACTTACCGACGTCAGGTGCATACGCACTGGCGGCCTTGAAGGATTCGGCCCAGCCATCTCCATGTGTCAACCTCGCATACTCCCAGCCTCTCGCCGAGTTATCGGCTTCCCAGTCAGACCTTTTCACAAACGCCAGGTCGTCTTTGTCGACCAAGGGCATTATTGCATACAAAGCGTTGAGCGTCTTTGGCATCCCGACGATGATACACATCTCTGAGAGTGCATCGATGTAGCGGCGCCACAACAGGTGTCGAGACTCGACAGGTGCCTTTTTAATGGCCGAGTTGTAAAGATAAGCCCCGTTGTGGCCTTGGTTTACAGCCGTAAGGCCAACAAGCTTTTTGCCATTAGCTTAGTATAGGATTGAGGGAGTGTAAAATCTTCATACAGCCAAGCAGTCCCATAGTGTATGGTGGCCACCTTCGATTTGTCGATTGAGAGCTTCGTCAATCAATGCTTCAATTTGGGCCTGCTCCGCCATGTTGGGTTCAAAGCGTTTCTCTCCTGGGTGAGAGATCAAGTCATAAATAAGATTCGGTGGAGCGGGCACAAACTACGACGAATGTAGGCTGTGGGTATAGGTTGGGGTCAACACCCAGCTTTATGTTGCAAGGAAACCGAGTTTGAGACAGCCACCTGGATCAGCACTAAAAGCAAGTTTCTGAAGGTAAGCTCCTGTATTGTTATCTGTCAAGGAGGCTTTTCAGGAGACTAAGCAGCCATAACACCTGGGGTTAATAGCGAATGACAAGACGACTATTGACTCTTTCTTTTGCTTTGGTGAAGCTATCGTGGTTCGTGTACCTAGGCAGGGATTATATGATGCACACAAAGCGAATTTGGGAAGCTTCATGATGTCAAATTGACATCGAGGCCACCGCTTACTTCAGCTTTAACATGTATGTTGGCCGTATGGATATCTTATAACTACTAAGCGCGAAGTAAGTACTATAAGATATAATGGCTGGAGAGCAATAATGGTAACATGACACTAGGTACATGACAAAATGATTTTAGAGCGAAAGGCGTTAGGCATAAGCCGCCTGATGGCCTGACTTGTCATCACCCATATATAGCAACTGTTTGCCTAGTCCAAACTATCCACCTCCAACCAACCTTTCAGGTCGATTAGTTGTTTCGCCCAAGAACACGCTCCTCCATTTCTGTCGCCACAGGGCCTCTATGTTCCCAATCCGTATCGCCATTGCGGCAAGTGCCTTGCTAAGACGTCTTGCTGTTCTTCGACCGACATCATGTGTCGCGTCTTCTCCATATTACGCCGATTATGCTACCATCTTACCCCCGAGGTACGGGGTAGCTTACTCCGAATAAATAAGGATGAAGAAGATTGAAGATGTGTAACATTACATTGGTATCCGGACAGAATTATCTCCTGTTATTATGCGTAGAAGTGTGAAACTAGGTAGTTGCAATCTTGATTCGACAAGTGCCCCAACAGGTCTCACAAATAGAACTTTCAATTACTACATCTCACAACAATCTCTTTGCCATTCTAGGCTGTGCTATCTATTTCTTTGAAGGTTATGAGGGAGGCATGGAGCATAATCTTCCACCCTTGGGTGTTCTCATAGCATAGCGTATGAGGAAGCCATCTCAACGCGCTTCGTTGAGGATCAAGAAGCTGTTACCCATGTTTTTCACTATATATAGATACATCATCAATGTCTCAAAACTAAGTCACAGTCTAAAGTCTGTTCATAACGGTTATTGGCTACCTAGGTACTTGTGTGAATGCAGAAACTTCAGAGTGGCAAGAATGTCTTCATCGTCGAACTTTCGGCCAACAATCTATAGACCAACCGACATCGTATGAATGCCTCGGCATCACCTACTTTCCGTCTTTGGTGGTTCTGTTTATCGCCTTATACCGAAGCTTAACCCAGAAGGCAAAGTCGCTTGCGGGAGTGCCTGTTCTCCTTGTCAATGCCACTCATGAAAGTCTCCTATTATCCTTGATGTCAATGCTCTTGTCGACTCTTCCTGCGGTAGATGCTAAAGCTTTCTTTTCTAATACTTCACTGTACTGCGCTTCTTAGCCGCGTCTGGGCTAACCCGGGATGTCCATTGAGCTCTTTCAGCCAAGGGTTCATCTCCTCTGTCCCAAACATCATGTACGATTACTTTGTACATGCCTTTAAATCTTCTCCGAGAAAGAGAGAGAGTGCTGGCTGGCCATGTGGCAAGTGGGTCTTGAAGTGGAATCTCTCATATAAGGGGACGTGCTGGCAATACGGCATGGTCACAGGTGGAGAGACTTCAGTGGAACATATGCTTGTTGTCTACCAAACACTTCCAAGCATTTTCATCTTTATCTTCGAGTCTCAACAATGGCATATACCAGACACAACGTTCACTGTTTTTGCCAGGCGAAGGTCCTGCTGCAATTCTTCCCCCATGGCTTCGGCGACAAACAAATCGATCCGCCCACTTTAGAAAAGAAATATCTCTAAGCAGCTCTGCATGGCTTTCGGAACCAGCATGGAAAGGGGACCTCAATTCTTATGGATTCTCAACTTCGGGAAGCCAATATTTATTCGAGAAAGTCGCGGTCCAGAATCGTTCCCACATGAAGCCGACTTCCGGATTTGTTGCGTTGGCTTCGACAAACTTTTTCAGGGCTCTTTCGTATACTTCTCGAGGCTGGTTACGAATCGTCTCACGACGCACCGCAAACGTACCACCATGCGCAGCTCGAATAGCTGGGGGATGATGTTCCCGTAGCACAAAATGCCAAAGTTCTGCAGGTGTATAGGGCGCAAAAACTAAAGAGGCCAACTGGCTCGGCGTCATCCAGATGCTTTCTTTTGGATCTGTCCAATTGATCTTTGCCCAATCATTGACATCATGGAATAAAGCTGGGTTGAAGGGATTCACTTCGTTGCGCTTAACTTGAAGCGCCACCTCGACCATCTGAATGGTGGAATTGACCACATCGCCAATGAGATCAAACGGAGCCGCTTGACAGAATATCATGTAGTCTTCGAGTTTATCATAGTGGTGTACGATGTGATGTAGGTGCGTCTGGCCCTCCCGACCGAGGTTCCGAAGCTGAACGTAGGAGCGAAAATCGTCGTGGTTGACAGTGTCGTTTGACTGGGGAATATGGCCCTGGTCGTATACATAGGCATATTTGGAGACAGGAAGCCAAGGGGTCAGATCTTCCTTGAATCGAGCAACGACAACGCCGAGACTTGCTGTGGATACCGGCCATGGGAGTGTGGTAGGAGAAGGAATGACAGAACCCATTGTAGTAACAATAGACTTAAAGAAACTTTTTCTTCTTATTTAAACAGCCTGGGGGCTCAATTGTCGTATGAAAATGAACAAGATGTTGTAGGAGGCCAAGTCTACAACTCTTAGATTCTTATACCAACTTGGAGCAATTCAGGAGAACCTTGTCAAAGTCAAATCGAGCAATCAGTCAGCGCTAATACGCTTCACCTCCACACCGGAACGGAGTATGAAAGAACTTCCTTGAAGGCGGCCCACCCGGGGCGGTAAGCAGCATCAATTGGTATATCTTTATTCCCTACATGAGTCTGGCCCTCCTTCAATTCGCTACTTGGCTGTAATAGATGCAAAACCTACTGCTGCTTGCTGGAGTTGACCCATTGATCGTGCTCTTCTGACCCATGCCCACATGGCTAGTTAATTCTTGGATCTACTTGATAAATCGTCGCATGCTTGGGTTACGGAAGGAATACCTCCATCGGATCTACACGCCGCGGCAACCCCCTAAATGTCTCAGAAAGCAACATCAGCCGCCATGCCGTCATCCTTCATTTCATATTCGTCACATACATACAGCCAGATTCCTCCATGCAATAGGGATGTTGAATGCGCCTTACGAGACGAGAGCTCATACTAACGAAGATCTGCCCATCTTACACAGCAAGTAACGCGGGCAATGCCGTACTATTCAGGCGCTTTGTCACACGTATCACACGTGAACAGCGCCTAGCTTGGATACATGTATGCGTGGACGTGGATAGCCATTTTCTTACTGCTACAGTATCATGAATTATCTGGTTAGAAGATTTCATTGGCTCCTAGAGGATACCAAAGAACTTTGACCAGGTTTTTGAAGAGTGTGCTTAGCATGCAATGCATGATTGGAGAGAACCGGCGAAGACGGCAAAAGATGATAACTTTAGGATACCGAACAGAGATGAAAATGTGATAGCCGGGAACGCAAGGCAGTCCCCAGCTGGAAGATGAACTATGTGTCTTGTCAGGCATTATTTTCGGCAAAGCAGCGTCAAGCAACCAGCTTGCTCTCTCAAACGGCATTATCTTTTTTGCTTGTTGACGTCGTTACAGATCAGGTCAAAAAGTGCTTGAATATAGAATGGCTTTCATAGAACATTTACGAGCGAGCATCAACTAGAATCTAGGCGAGGTGCGATACCTCGCCTGGGTGTCCGATCGCAGCTGTATGTATGCAGATACCAGACCAATAGGAAGTATTCCTGCCCTACTTCAAAGTGGCAGCATCTTAGCGTTTGGCTCAGTTGACCATGAGTAAAGTTCATATACGCTTCCTGAGCCCGGTATTCAAAAGTCCCGCCAGCACTGGTATGACCCATGTCATTGACAACAAATAATTTCGAAGTTCTTGACCCTGTATCATACACTTACAAGATCAATATCGAGCGCGACGGAGGAATAAATGAACATCATGAAGGTGACATGGCGCAGAATTTAAGTGAGCATGATCTAGTATCTATTTCATCTAATCTCGCCTTCTGAAGGGGAAGCTTCTCGGACGATTCTACATACGTGCTGCGACGAAAAGCGCTGTGCAATCGTCAACAACTGGGAGGAACGGCTAATAATGTCAGTTGGCTACATGCAAACCAGTTGTGTCTTGACCTACACCGGGCCCAACGTCCCCTTCTCTCAACAGAGGACCAATTTTGTAGGCCGGCATCTCTGTGAACTCCAACTTGGGGGGGTGGTTCTTTGGGCACCAATACAGAGTACCATGTCTCAGCCAGTGTGCGTACGTCCCGGGAACATTATCGCTACCGTCGTTGTTCCTCCACAGAGAACCCAGTGTTTCTCCCATGACCCTCACAATCATGCCCGTTGCAAGCTTCATGCCAAAGCTCTTGGAGAGTACTTCTTCAATGATTCGGCGTGCGAGTCTTTGATCGTCGCTCTCTGCCTCTTCATGTTTAGGAATGGGCAGTGACATGAGCTCAAACTGCTTGGGGCCGTTCCACGCCGTGATCTCGTTGATGAGCTGCGATCCGACCATGTAATGGTATGCATGGACGTGGTTCGCCACGTATTTCGGCCCATTCCACCCGTCCTCTTCATCGATCAATCCCATGACCATGGTGATAACCTGCCCTTGAATAATGTAGTCCGTCAACATCTTGGCCGTTTCCTCACGTCCATATACCCTACCGTCCTCTTCCATCGAGAGCCCCGTATCCATCAACGGTAGCCCTTTGAGTAACGGACTAGCATGCATACCCTCCGTGTTGGTCTTTCCCCCGTCGGCGGCCCACAGTGCAAGCAAGAGCTTATGGCATCGCAGGAAGAAGGGGTTGTTTCGCCCAGAAGCCAAAAAATAGTTCGCCATGCCGCGCTCTTCGACGCCGCCCATGTTGTAGGTCAGGATCTCGTACGGGGAGTTCGGATCTCCGATCGTGGCGTTCCAAACTTGGTCCAAGTCTCCGATCTGAATCACTCCCACGTCCGCGTAGACACCACCGTATTTAAGCAAGAGGGGAAATCTCACGAGATCCGAATAGTGCTGGTAGGCGTGACGGCCTCCGATCGTGCCTTCAGCAAAAGCTTTAGGAAACCAGTCCGAATCGTGAGTGTCGAGGTAATTTTTCACATTCAAAGGCGATTCGGCCACAAGGTCAAGAACGCGGACCGCCCAACCCTTCTTTGAGAACCTCCTGTGCCAATTTCGAACAGTTCGCCGAGTGTAATTGTGCATTTTGTCGAACCCGCTGTGCCAAAAGAACCAGATATTTTTCTCATCTGAAACAGGCTTAGGATTCAAAAGATCATGATCAACTTCAGAGTCTGGTCGAAGGTCGAGCTGGTCTTTAGGAATGGCGTAGACGCCTTCCGGCATGGGGTATGAAAGGCATGAATCCATGGTCTCGGGTGCAAGTAAAGTGAATGAGGGCAATATTCCAAACATGCACCTCTTATCCTCAGAGGCTATCTTGAAGCTTAGACAGCACAATACGAACCAACCCGTTGAGGCCGACAGACGCCCACCACCTCGTTTTTTATGCGTTTCGTGGGTGCCGTCCCAAAAATGAAGCCGAGTCTGTGTGCCGCATAAAGCAGCGATGCGGGGCCAGATGAGTCACATCAGGTAGGTACCGAGCAATATGAGTGTAACGAGGGGAAGCGCCATGGGTAAGGTCAGTACTAGTACATGAGGAAGGAGTCATTGGGCGCAAACCTCAAGTCACAGCGCACGAACGTAAAATTGAAGCAAGGTCGTAATGGAAATTGGTGGCAAATGTGTCCAGGAGAGGATCCATCAGTAGTTGGCGAAAATTGACCAAAGCTTCGCGAAAGAGTCACTGCGATCACCTCCAAGCGGCTCAAAGACTGGCTTGGCCAGCTACATAAGGTACAAAGTGCTAACATACAGGTACCAAAATACTACACCGCCCCATTACTACCTACCTATCAGCGACAGTCGAGAAAAGCTTCCGCAGAATGGGGATTTCGAGAAACCTTAGGTGGTATGGTCAATGAGATGCTCATTTTGCTGTCCATAAAAGTGGATGGACAACAGGTGCCATGTCTACTAGAAGATGCTGGTGTTGAGCGTGTCCCTTGAGATGTTCATTGAATCCCCATGTAGAAGAGACTTCTTTCAGAGCTCCCATATCTCTATGAGAATACCTAGTTATTGCAGAACAGCCAGCACAAGACACCGCTGACCCCTGCACTACGGACTTTCAGGCTACCCTGTTGAAGTTACAAACATGATAGCACCACTAAGATGAAGCAAGTCAAGCTCGGAAGAGCGAGCGCACGGCTTGCGCTGCCGCCAACAGGCACGCTGGGGGCGGTAACACCACCAGTCGTTGGAGTTGATGGTGCCGTCCCAGTATCGACGGTCGTGTTCCATGAGAAACCAGGCGTTGACTCTGTCGCAACAGCGGTCGGAGCGGCGGGGACGCTTTCAGAAGTTCTAAAGATTGTCAGCCAGGGCTAAAGCTGCGTGTCAGGAAGAGAAATACTCTACTGACATAGTAGCTCCGCTCGAGTTTGTGTCCGTGATCGTAGTTGCGCCAGTCGCAGGAGAAGATGCTGCCGTAGCCACGCTAGTGGATGAGGAAGAGCCGCCCGATGAGTGGCATGTACGTTTGGAAGTGTCTCTCTTTAGAAGAGTGAGCTTGTCGCCGGTCGTGCCATCAGAGCCAAGGACATAGTTCCAGGAAAGGGCTGTAGCATTGTGAACAGTCAAGCCGCCAAATCCGAAATTTTGTTGGTCAAGGTAAGTGGTGATATCCAGCAAAGGACTTGAGCCAAGAGTGCTGTGGCTCTCAATGTTTCCTGCCGCTCCGTTGATGATATGGGCCATTGAAACACCCGGATTTGTCCAATAGGTATTGTTATTGATGATGGAGGCCTCGTCAATGGTACCATTACTTCCAAGAGGAAGAAGGCGCTCATACCAGTGAATATGTCTACAAGCAAGATTAGCACGAGTGATCATGTAGGGTGGGTCAAAGCATCCTCAATATACCCGGACAGATATAGATCGACGCCATTCTGTAGCATAAGGTCTTCGAAAGCTGCACGAATGCTCTTCTGGTAAGAGGACACTTGGGAGCTATAGAATGGACGGTGGCTCATGGCAATGACCCAAGGTGTCTTGCAGCGGTTAACACTCTCCAAGTCCTTCTTCAACCATCTGTACTGCGCATAAGCCTTGTTGTCATTGTAGTCGCCATCAACAGCGCCAAACGGGCCACTGTCGGTGACGTAGGTCTGGTTAGCAAATGGGTGCGCCTGGTCTCCCTTGACGTCCTTGGCAAATGGCCACTCGGGGCTGTCGGCGTAGTCCGTCTCGCCATCGAGTGACACAAAATGCGCCAGGCCATAGTCAAACGAGTACCAGAAGTTACCGACACCTCCAGTCTCAGCTCCGGGCATGCGGAATCGATTCTGGAACGCGGTGAAGTTCCTTCAGATGTATTAGATGTATCCAAAACAACGTGATCAAACGGAAAGGGCGACACAATAGAATTTGACCGTATGGGGAACATACCTCTGGGAAGGGGGACAGCTATAATAGGTGAGCGAAGATTTGGCAGCAGTCCCATTCGGCTGGGCCTTGTTCAGATAAGCTGTCAGAACGTTTCCGGGGCCGTCGAATTCGGCGCAGCTGGCCTCGTGATTACCGGGCAAAACCATGTAAGGAGTCTTGAGAGTCACAGGGTTCATCCACTGCTGCCACAAGTCCCAATTAGACTCGTATAACACACTCATATCTCCGCCCTGTGGGCCACCCTGGTTGGCAATCTCTCCAGTCGGGAGAGGAGTGTCATACTCCTTGGGAACATCGCCGTCTCCAGGGAGGCGAGTTGAGGTGCCATTATAGCAGACAGGCCAATCGCTCTCGCAGGGAAGGATGCCCGAGTACCAGTCATCGGCATAGCTGAGGTCGCCTCCGTGCCAAACGAAGGCAGTGCCGCTGTTGATGGCTTCGTTGAGGTACTTGTAAGTCCCGCCAGCATTGGTATAACCCATGTCGTTGACAACTGCGACAGTGAATTCGGAAGAGTCACCAGCCTCCTGCGCCGTTTTGAAAGACAGAATGTCAGAGGCAGTGGTGCCATTGGCCGCCGGAATCCGGTAGAAGTAAGTAGCACCAGACTTGAGGTTGGAAATTTGGACATCGTGGAAGAATTCGCTGCACTGAGTAGTTGCAGCGAGAGAGCAAGGAGGGGTACGGCCATATCTAAGGAGGTCGTTAGCTACATGTAGGATCGAATCAGAGTACCCAAGGAGAAGCCGTCAGTACGTCACAGTTTTCCCAGTAGCGGTGTTGCTGAGATCTGATGCGCTGGTGCCCCAGACGACAGAAGGGGCCTCTCCCAATCCAAAGGGCGTCTGGTAGTGGATATTGATGCCATTGGGGATGTATGAGACCGAAATCACATTGACGTTGTTGCTCGGGTTGGTGGACGCGGGCATCACGGCCGGTGGCTCGATCAGTCGAACAAAGCCTTTCCCATTTCCCTTGACCGTCGGGTCCATCCAGTCTCCAACTGGCACTTTGGGTCCCGTATAAGGATAAAGCTCGTCCACCGTCGGCGCTGCATCAGCAACGACGGCAAGGAAAGCTGCCAAGATAGACACGGTCTTCATTTTCAGTTGGTGGACATTCCGTTCTTCCGCTCCTGAGTTCAATTTGGCGACTGAAAATTGCTGAGGGCAACCTGACTTGCCTTGAATGCACAACCGCTCAAGTGTCAAGGCAAACAATCGCAGCGTTGCGACTGTGAGATGGGGAGTCAATTAATAGATATTCACCCACCGCCCACAGAGCACTTCCCTTTGCTCCCACCAAGCCCTTGGCACTATCAGCTATCCCGCCCTTTACTTACCTGCCATTTGAAGCCGTCATGACCGCATTCGAATTCGGCGCACTTCGGCCGCCATACCGATCCGGCTTGATGTCCATCATATTTCCCTGATACGGTTGATTCCATCCAATCCAAGCGGGTGGCATATCAACGTGCAGAAACGGTTCTAGCTGAAAGGTCTTTTACATTCGCCGAGCAGCCAGCGGATGTGGATCCAATGTTAGTATTTCCCACAGTACCCTAGCTTTTGTCCCGGGTCTTTTTGCAGATAGATCGGTTAATCGGCAAGCAGTTGCTCTTTTCAGGACACGCTGCCACGTCCGAGTGGTGAGTCTGAGCGCGTACGTTGGAGATCGAAAAAGCGTTCTCATCTTTCTGCACGACTGATCAAGGGACTTGCTTTACATGATGTACGGGGTAGGCTGGACCTGCGAATTCTGACTTCACCGCGATCAAAGACAGCAATTGTTTCCATGTTGGACGCTAGATTGATAGTCATCTACGAAGTCATCATGTTGTATCATTGTCTTTGCCGCCGGTCGCCTTTCTGGTCAACAGTACTACGCCAAGAGATTTCCACAATCCGCAAACAGTAGGCCAGAGCACAAGTTGGCTAAGTCTGCCGCGTCGTTGGTCCAACAAATGATAAGCTTTCTATCCCCGTCATGTACCAGTTTCCTTGGTCGTATGTTATCCATTACTTGGGTCGCACATGCTTCGTAGCGCTTTACCTACCCATTTGCCCAGCATACCTTTACAACAAATAAACCTAGACCGAGGGGGCTGTAACTGATACTGAGTCCTCAATGGCACGTGGCATTCTTTACTGTCCAACGTACTTTCCAATGCCTTTTATCAAGCCAAGGCGTGGATAAAGACGGGCTTTCGAGTTGTCCCTGAACATAGATCGAAATGCTTGTGAAGCACTCAATCTTAAATCGCAAGTTTGGGTCTCATGTGACTGGTCCCAGATAGCATATCCGCAAAACGTGTATTTGGAGACTCATCATAAGTAACTCATATTATACCGCCACTCTGGTCTGGTTGTCATTTCCAGATTGCGGAATGCGCCAAGTTGGCCAGTCTTGCACAGAGCAAGGCAAATTGATATGTCCCCCCACAGCGTCGCCGACTTCCTTCTCCCGAGACAGTCGTACTGTATATGACTTTTTGCAAAGTGCTATTGTCATTTCTCTGACATTACTCTATAGACGGCGCACATGTCCTCATCCTCCAGTCCGGATTCCATTGCCTGTCGATACAAAGAGTTGCAAACTTCGATGAGAGGTGTTTTTGCTTCTGCAGCCTTTGCCGCAGCCCGAATAAGCTCAGTGCTGTTGTAGCAGTCCTTTACAGCCGCTTGAGGAGACCAATCGGCTTTGGCCATCTTGGCCAGCTTTATTCTCGAGTAAGAAGAAGCCAGAGGGCCAGCATCCAGCACGCTACTGAAAGCGTCAAGGTTGAGACCTTGCGCCCGAGCCAAATTCATCGATTCCGCGAGGCCAGCTGTAACAGTTATGAGAAAGGTGTTGACTGCATACTTGGTTCTCAGCCCAGTTCCAATAGGTCCGCAATAGATGGCGGCGCTAGTTATCGGCTCGATAAACGGTCGGATATTCTCGCACTCAATCTGGTCGCCAGCCATCATTCCCACCAGATTGCCTGTTTCAGCCGGCACTTTGCTCCCACTGACCGGCATCTCGACAAACTTGCCCCCTGCTTCATGAACCTCTCTTGCCATGCTATGACTGAATTCCACAGACACTGAGCTCGTGTTGATAAGCGTCTTGCCTCGCAGCGCCCTTCTGAAATCATCGTCAATGACAGATCGTATGGCAGGACCGTCAAACATCATGGTGAAGATGACGTCGGATTGTTCAACCACTTGGGCTGGCGTTTGACCGAGTTCAGCACCAGCTTGTACTAATGCTGCACATTTGGAAGATGTTCTGTTCCAAACAGTCGTTGGAAATTTGCGGCACAGATTGAGCGCCATTGGCGTCCCCATTACGCCCAATCCCAAGAATCCAACACTCATAATGTATGATGAATAGGCTGTCTCTTGATTTTAACAAATTGGCTTTGACTTCTCTTGGATCTCTGCTCAAGGGCCATCTCACAGAGTATATTAAAAATGCTGAGCGGTCGTTGGCAGGGCCAATGAGCAGTTCCGGCCTCAACCGACAAGTAGTCTTTCGCAGGGCGCGCCTATGGGACTGCGGCTAGATGCGGCCTTGGATAGCTTCGTCATGCGGCGGGTCTCCTTCCCTAGCCCCCCTCATACGCGTACATAGATAACATGCTTACTATGAGATCGGGTATGTGCCTCGAAGGTTGGTCTTTAGTTTACAAGGGTAGCCAGACGAGTATCTTAGCTCTAAGAGATCAATAGCTGACATAGGAAAGAGACGGCTCTCTGTGCATAGTGGAGAGCGAAGCAAGCACAAGGGGATCAAGCTTGAAGATCGGCTGGGGAACATGACACATGGCGGGTGCTTCTGTCGTCAACTTTTTCGGCCTACATGTATGTCCCCTTGCAGGACTCATGAGAAGCCATTCAATAGGGCAGGGTAGTAAATTTGAGCAGGATGACGATGCAGAGAGATTGGCCAACGATGGGACGAGCGATGAGAGACAACAAAGAGATAATGCATGGTAAGAGCTCAAAGTGAACCGTTGGGAATCAAGAATGAAGGATAGCATTTTTGGTTCCATCTAATGCCCATGGGGCGGGAAGTCATGCGGATTTTCGTGAATATTGAGCGAGGGCTTTTAGCATGCTTCTTGAGTTACTTTGGATTTGATAAAGCCGCATCCGTGCTGCGGCGCAGTTTGAATGTTCTCTTGAGCATCATACACAAAACGAAGCACATGCCCAACGGGATGAATAAAGAGCGAATTGACTCGGTTTGCTCATCCAGCGAAGTCGATAACATTACACTTTGGGAAACTCCAAACTCATCAGTTTGGGTTCAATACTCTCCAGGGTACCGGGAGTGTAGTAGTACTGCCTAATGTTTGACAACAATCTTTCCTCCGGCGTTATGCGAATCCAGCATCTCATGCGCCTTCTGAATGTCCTTATACTCAAAAACAAAAGCTGGTCTTGCATCCCAGGCGCCATTCTCAATCTTTGTAACAATTTCCTGGAGTGGAATGTTAGACATGGGGAATTCCGGCGAGCCCAAAACTTTGCTGTGAAATAAGCTAAAGTGAACGCCAGAATCCATCTCGACCATGGGGTTGAAGTTGGCAACGGGCTCCAATCCGCCCAACCATCCCGCCTGTAGCATGCGTCCGCCAGCCCGCGTCAACCCAATAGATTCGAGGAGAACGCTGTTGCCGATGAGGTTCAAAACCTTGTCAAACTTGAAGCCGCTGGGTAATTCTGAGCGAAGATCTTTGTGCTCCAATTTGGCGTCGGCGGCACCCATATCCTTCACAAAGCTGAATCGCGCCTCGCGTCTGGTTGTGGCCGTGACTCGAGCACCAACATCAACAGCTAAATGAAGAGCTGCTTGGCCGATGGTAGAAGTAGATCCGCGGATGAGTAACGACTCGCCAGGCTGCAAGTCCAGGACGGTGAACAGGCAAGAGTATGCCGTGGAATAAACCTCGGGGATTGCTGCAAGATACTCCCAGGGAAGTTCAGTCTTGACTGAGACCACGTTCGCAACTGGAATATTGACAAAAGAACCGTAACCCCCGGGACGGCTTCTCCCCATACCTCCCATGACTCCAGCGACCTTGGTGCCGACCTCGACTTCGCCCCCCGGGCACGTTGCGACAACCCCAACACACTCTAAACCGGTAATTGGGTTCCATTCATCCCATTCACCTTTGCGCATGTGCATCTCCGCGTGGTTGACACCAAAGGCGAAGACCTGTATCAGGACCTCTCCGTTCACGGGTTCTGGTTTGGACACTTTCTGGATCTCGAGGACCTCGGGTCCGCCAAACTTGGAGATTACAATAGCGTCCATGGTGGTAACAGCCATTCCGTTCAGCGATAGGATAATGGCGGACGGTGCGCTGTATTTGTGTACGTGTGTGTGTGCGTATGTGATAATTGTCAAGAGTTGAAGAGTGTCACTCACTCTCTTTGTTGCTGGTAAGGAATGTAGTTGGTATGCAATCTTAAAGGCGAGCACAGTTGTAGCCACGAGTTTAGAAATGGATGATGGACTGGTACAGGTCTTCCATCAAGGCTGGCCGCCCTCTATTTATATGAGAATTCGGAAAGGCAGTGACGCCACCAAAATGTTCTAGATGTGAAATATCCTACCTATTTATGTACTTCTTCCCCGCTACGAGCTTTCTACCATTCTCGAGTTGGTCATCAAACGAGCATATTCTACAGCGCCTTGAACGTAATTTGTCAATCCGCTGTGACAAGTCTTGCAGCTGCATATCCAGTAGCGTAAAACCATGATATAGAAGTTGAAGCTGTATGATATCACATGGCGAAATGCGTTGTTCAAGCGCCATTATAATCTGGTAGTCTCCGAACAAGCTCTCTAGTCCAAGCCACCTGGTTGAGTCAACATGCAAGGCCAGGCGGCAGCATTGTCTGCTTTTTACCTAGCGTTCAGAGCTGTAGTAAGACCTTGTGAAGCCTTTGCAATGGAACCGCGTATTCCGATATTCCCGCCAATTGACGAAGCGCCTGAGCTCTACACAGGTCCGCCGAACTGCGCGTTAACGATGCATGGCCAATCCTAGTCCTCGTGAGAGTATCATCAAGTCATCCTGCTGTTTTCTGAATACAGTCAGAAGATATATACTACCGTGTAGGCGAGTTCCGGTCGACAGATGACCGCAATGAATGACTTGCTGGCGTACAGTTGTCAGTGGAAAGCAATGTGAAACAGCGAATCGCGGTTTGGCTACGTTAGGTCAGTATTCTCCCACCAATTCAGTCTTCCGATTCGTTCTCCTCCCTCTTTCCCATCTGTCTCACCGGCTCTGGGATTACGTGAATTGGTAAGCCAGACCAATGTAGAACCTGTCGGCGTTGAGCCAGCGTTTCCCACATGCGGTATAGCGGTGACAAATGTGGCGTTGGAACATTCTCTACAGCGAGGGGACATGGAAAGAGATTCCACAGCTGTGACGTTTCCTGTCCGTCGCTCACGGTTCAGCTATTGCCAGATAAGTCTTCATCGGAGATGGGTGAGCTTCAATCGGGTAAGAGAGGGCCCTATAAATCAAGCCCAAGGAACTCCATTGGGAACCTACAGCAGCAACATCAATTGTAACAGCTTCACGGCAGGAGCAACAACTTCTTATATCGATCGAATTACACTCGAGAGGCGACTCATCAACCAAGTCTACTACCGCCTGAAAAGACACAACAATGACCGCGACCAAGAACATCCGAATGGCATTGCCCAAGAGTGGCGTGGATATCTTCTATCGGGAACAAAGCCCCGCAGATCCCTCCAAGACCATTCTACTCCTTCATGGCTTCCCGTCTTCGTCGCACCAATACCGCAATATGATACCATTACTCGCTACTCAGTACCGAGTCATTGCGCCAGACTTTCCTGGATTTGGCTTTACTGAGGCGCCTGCAGGATTCAAGTACACGTTTGAGTCTCTTACAGACGTCCTCTCCGAGTTCATAGACTCGCTCTCTGTTGCCAGCTTCGCTGTTTACGTCTTCGATTATGGCGCACCGATTGGTCTGCGTCTAGCGTTGCGTCGTCCTCATGCTGTCGACGCAATCATCACCCAGAATGGTAACGCCTACGTCGAGGGTTTTGGCGACGTCTGGGGGCCGATCAAAGACTACTGGGCCAGCAGCAACACCTCGGATGATCGATCCAAGATTGCAGATGCCATGTTGAGCTTTGACATCACCAAATTCCAGTATGAGAATGGCACACCGAACCTTCAGAGCATCGCACCAGAGTCTTATACACTAGACTATGCTCTGCTGCAGCGCCCTGGAAGGATGGACGCTCAACTTGATCTCTTCATGGACTATCAAAACAACGTTCCTTTATATGAGAAGTTCCACGCATACTTTCGATCCTCACAGGTGCCCCTGCTGGCAATTTGGGGGAAGAACGACGTGTTCTTCATTCCAGCTGGAGCTTTTGCCTTCAAACGAGACTTGCCAGAGGCAACCGTGAAGCTTATTGAAGCCGGCCATTTTGCGGCTGAGAGTGATGGGCCGTCCATTGCGAGGGAGATTATACAATTCTTAAGCTAGGTTTGCAACTTGAATGAAGCTCCATATTATCCTCATTTCGCATGCATCTGTAGTTTCTCTGCAATACTTCATCTTCTACATCGACGTCCACTTGCAACGATTGTGATGATATCTCAGGACACAGCAACTGGGCGACCCCGGCCATGCCGATGAGGGCACACAGTATCTCCAGCAAGGGCGTATGAATTGGACAGCAGCGGAACAGAGCAAAGCTCGGGTCCTCCGTCAATCAGGGAAATGGTGTGAGTGGAGCGCTTCTCGGGGCAAATTTAGCTCGCATCTAGTTTCCTACCATTTGATGGATGTCATAAGGAAGCTCTCAGCTTATCCCTGTGTGGGTAGAACACACATTCGTCACAACCCTTTGTCATCTTGCATGCAGGTTTAACACATGACTATTTTGGACATCAATCGATCACAAAACTGCTGATGGATGGCAGGAGAAGTAAGTCCAGAGTGTCGTGTCATTTATGCTATAATGCCCCAGCGGCTGATTCCCAGCCAGACAGAGAGCAGCACAACACTGGCGGTAATCGCCCACAATTCGAGTTCATAACAGTCTCCGGAACAAACATACGCGGCGATAGTGAAACTCGAAGGCGAGTCAGAAGTCGGGCCCAAGCTGATTATCGGCGGCGCAATCCTCCTCCTCCGCGCAATGCTATCACAATTGACCTTGATGTCGGATCGTGGCTTCAGACGTTATCGCGCGATGCAGCTCTGCGGCCAGCCCAGTATGCTCCGCTGCCGGTGACTTCGCAGTCTACGTTGCAAGCGGGAGAAACTTTCCAGATGAGCACAGCGGAACATGGTATTGTAGATGGGAGACATGGTGCGGGAATTTTCTTGTTGATACCTCCAGATCAGCGGCCGCGCGCCCGCCAGTTATGGAATCATTGTTCGTACTGATACCCCTCGCCGCTTGTTCGACAACTCTTGCTTAGCATTCTCTTTAGTATACGGAGGAGGCTGCGTTATCTTCAAGTCCATGATTGAGATCGGGTATCTCGACATTCTGCGCGGAAGCGCATCACTGACACAAATGCTATCTTCGTCCGCGTGGCACAGAAAACGAATGAATATCGGAGACCACGAGAGCAGTATAGATTATGCAAGATACTCCCTCATGGCCACAAGGTCGTTGCGTCGGCAACTAGATGATCCTGCCCAACGAACCAGTCTCGAAACTATCCTAGCAATTCTCACATTTGCTGCATTTGCGGTATGTATGAATCAATGTGCGGCAACTGATAGGGGTCCATGTTATGCTAAGAAGAAATTGGCAGAATCTCAAAAGCAACTCACAGCTCATTAACGTGCACCTTGACGGACTCTCCCACGCAATCGGTGGTGTTGATGGCCTAGTGATGCTCCAACACCTGCCTGTCATTTGGCTAATGATATACTGGTATGATTCTGCGTGTTGATGCCGATAGATGCTTGAATAGAGGGCTCATCCACCCATCAGGATCGATATTCGCGGCGCTTATCTGCAGGATACGAAACCGCGCTTTCCTCAGCCTTATGATACCTTGCTGGCGGAGAGCAAACTTCGTATTACCCAGATGCCCTCACCAAAGGCCCCCAGCAGCAACTGTACCCTGGCAGAAGACCCAGCCGTGGTACACATTTTTGACTCTATTCAACAAGTCACCAGTATCGTTAACTCGGAAGCAGAGACCCAGGGTCATGCATTTTGGCTAACCGTTCTGTTTCCTGGCTTTCACTTTGCTCCTATCCTTCATGATCTTTTATCGTTACCTCGGGACCCGACCGGCATAGCCAGCCGATTCTCGAAACGCAGGGAGTGCTTTCGGCTGGCTAGTATCCTCTATATAAGTGAAATACGAGCAAAGTTTGGGATGGACAATACCGGGGCTACATCGTTCGCATACAAGCTACTCAGGCTGTTGAAGAGCCGCGAGATGCTGGTCTCATGGGGAAGTGACAATTTCTACCTCCTTTGGGCGTTGATGATCGGGTCTGTCTCATTATGCGTACCAGAAACTTTACGCCTCGAATTCATGGAGCTATTGTCAGAGTATCCATCTGTCACTGGCACTGCGTCTCTGCGGGATAGCTTACCAATTGTCTCTGGAGTGTTAATTTGAGTCTGGATACGCACGGTCTATGTTATTTAGGCAACCTGGTAACGATGCTTGCGTAGCTGGAGAGAAGAAGTCTGTGCTTTTGGCTGCTGATAGACAATACCTTAGTTATAGCTGCATGCCCGGGTGGGAATGAATGACCAAGGCAATAACCGCCAACGATTAAATGTGCGAGGAAGAGCGTTACTCAACATCTGGCCCTTATACCTAAGGTAGAAGGGCGAAACTATACCTAGTAAGTTGTCACCAATAGTGTACCGGGGGCAATCAAATTACAACGCCGACCCATTCGCTGATTTGAAAAAAATAACATAAGGACCCGTGAGGACGTGACCGAGTATGTGATTGAGTGAGAAAGATTAGATACACATATCGAGAAATGGCACTCCTCTTAAGGTATATGATCTGTACAACCATTGTGATTATATATAGCGACTTCTTGCCTGATGGCTTTGATGAAAAGAAAGGTAATGCCGGTAGATGTAATCCATGATACCCCGACCCCGCGAAAACTCCCTGCTAGGCTTTGAGGCGTTCAAACGTGATAGCTCCGGAATGGCAGATGCAATGACTCCACCAAGGCTCCAGCTAGGAAAGCCAGAGAAAGTGACAAACCGCTCTCTGGCTGTTGAGGGAAATTAGATCGTATGCGTAGCGGTATGGACAGTCAGCTGAAATAAGGGTGGTTCAAGGCTTCGGTAGCAGTGAGTCGTTGCTGTGATGCCAATGTAAGCAAACAGCGGATGATGATTGACGCTTTGAGATCGTGACACGATTTACCTTGTGATCCCATTGAAGCAGCTTATCCACAAGATCCATAGCTTCACTGCTCGATAACTGCTCGTTTCGCTCATCAATGAAGCTCCGCCACTCTCTCTTCTCGAAATATGGAATAGCATCAACGTCATCCGGAGTTGTTTCTATGTCGTACTTCTCGACGTAGTTGAGCAAGCCCTTTGTCCCCAAGACACTGGCAATCATCTGCAGGAGATGGAAACTGCTTATGCCATGAAAAAATGGCTCTTTCCTGAAGATGACAGACGCAAGAATCACGCCCGTATTCCAAATATCTAGACTGCAGTCATATTCTTCGTGCTGTAAAAGCAGCTCGGGCGCCTTCGCAAAGCCTTGGCCGACACGGACGCTATACCTCGAGCTGGCAACGTAAGCTGCGGAATATTCCCAGCCAAAGAGGCGCAGCTAGGTAGTGTCGTACCTTCCATCAGCCTATGCTCTACCACAGCCAAACAGGAAGACCACAGTTGGAACAGAAGGGTACCTTGCGTCGACCGTGGTCAATCATTATATTGTGAGGTTGAACGTTTCGGTGCATGATGCTCCTGCCATGGCAGAATTGGAGAGCCTTCAAAAGCTCCTTCATGTAGTAGCGAGCATCCCCGTCCCCAAAGGCGGGATACAAGCGGCGGAAGTCGGTGTTCTCCACGTACTCAAACACCAAGGATGGCGTTCCCATCTACTATCTACTCATCAGCGGGTACCTGTGCCATACTCACCGGCAGATATCATCATCACGTCGCAGCTTTGGGGGTGCGGCTTACCTGATCATCTCGAACAATATCTTCAAGCTCCAAGATGTTTGGTCCTCCTTTCAGGGAGAGAAGAATCTTGATCTCTTGCTCTATTCCAGGCCTTCCCACTTGCTTCGCAGGTCGGATAATGCACGACTTTAGATCTAACACTCGAAAGGCTTTGAATATGTCTGCATGTTTTCCAGAACCTTGGTGCATGGTTTGCCTATCAGGTCAGTTGCTTCACCGAGAGAACTGGACCTGGCATACTCACCCATCTTGTACACGATCTCATATTCATCACTCCTCGAACCTTCCCCAACCGCTGATCAGTGTTCGCCCTGGCAAAATCATCATACTTAGAATACAGGTATGCTATCACTATACCTCCAAGAAAATCCGACATGGCCCTTGTCGTTGCGGATATGCGCGATATTTTACGTTGTTGATGATAATGGCGAGCGGGGTTGAGGCTGATGTGTGTGGTGGTGGCGATGCTGAGATGCAAAGCTCAGTAATACACCCTCTCTCACACGGTTGCCCATGCACGGGAGCTGCAAACATTACACATACACCATTTTCTCATGGAGCGTTGTAAGGCAGATTGGAAGTCATGACAAGTCGCGATCATATCATAAATAGATGTATGGATTCTGTTTCGGGGGCATCTTGAAGTGTAGGAACGGCGATACTTTTTTGTGCAAGACCACTCGCTCCAATATGACCCATGGACCTTAGGCAACAAAAGGCATTCGTGCAAGCAGTAGTACTGTCACGGGACGCTTCTCGCTCTTCCCTCTTCTCCCCCCATTGTCACTTATAACAATCCTCTCAATGGTCAAATGTAGTCCACAGGCAATGAGCGATCACAGTTGACAAGAAACATATTATCGTTGTACATTATCGCTGTGTTGTGTTGCGGATCCTTGTCTTAGAACTACCTCTTGCGCATCGGGTCCATCAAGGCCCATCAACATATTGAAAGACGGGATTATAAACGGATCTGGCCAAGAGGAATCCCAATATCCCGCCCGGGCCAAGGTTCTTCATCCCACCTCTCATTCGGACCATTCTAATGACTGCTTCACCGTGCAGCCGGTGCTCCATGCCCCCGCAGAGGAACTATTCAGCATCCTCCTGTTAGCTGCATCCTCTGCCCAAATGCAATCGAGTTAGAAATACTTGCCTCTTCCGTCGCCAACACCAAGGCCAAAGCAATGGTATAATCACTGATACATCTGTCGGGAGTCGATAGCGCTCCACGGAGTATTTCGAAGCATTCGCTCTTATACTTCAACAGCGAGACCCTGTATGAGTCGTTTTCGGGATGCAAGGTCAACAGACTTCGACAAGCCGCCATAAAGAGCCCAGCTAGCAGGCCTCGTTCTGTCAGTGACCATGGTACAAACTGTGATCGGACCTTCTGAAGAAGGGCTTGCTCTGCCTCGGAATGAATACACTCGGTATAGCCATGGTCCACCACGAAGGTGATATCTGCGAACAATTAGTGCTCCGGCTGCGACTCCCTGCGAGAATAGAAAAAAAATCGCTTGACAACGGTGAAGAGCTGGAGCCTTACAATGATCCACCAGAGCATCCTCCGAGTCCGATATAATCCTGGCTGAGGTCTGGAAGGGGTTCTTCCTCGTGGACGTTACAGAGGTCTGTGGGTTGGGTATCCATGTGTTAAGTTCGATCATACGAGCACCCTCGCGATTCTGCCGCTGCCGTACACCTCTTGCTCGGCCGGGTTCCTTGGCCTCTGGCTGCAGTGCCCCTTGCGGCGGGCGATCGCTCGTCTTGCTCGATTGGATTGGACAGTATTGGCGGATCTCCAAACGAGCACGCCGACTTTGTTGCTTGCGGCCATGCGTGTTCTTCGCTACATGAGATCGAATCACAGCTAGTGCATCCGAACTGGTAGCGTCGTTGGGATTTGTCAGGTTGAGAAATTGTACGTTTGACTGCTGCCCCTTGCGCCCAGAGGTCGCCGTCCGTATGGTGTTGTTTTGCTTCATGGAGCAGGTGGTTGTCGTAGCAGTGGGAGGAGCGCTGGGATGGTTCTTCTCAAAGGGGATATGTGCAACTGCTGGTTTCGAAATGGAGACTTGGAGCAAATGGCTCTGATTTGGTCAGATCCGTCGGCCTCCACAAGAGATATCATTTTTTTTTCTGCTTACCTTTTCCGTCTTTGCCGGCTGGAGAGAGACGGGCAAGAGTTTGACACTTACCTGTACAGCGTCCTATCCCTCGACTCAATCCGAGAAGTTGTATCAGGCAGGAAACACTAAATGACAGGATTCTGTCTTCACATATCCATTTTACTTTGGCTATGTAACTCAAGCCAAAAGCAAACGCTAGCGAGAGCCGTTCCAGCAGTGGATCTCTGGTGAGCAACACTCCGCAATTTCCCCTGATCTACCTATTTCGTAGTAGCTGTTGTTTTGAAATCGTGGTCACGATAAGGCACGCTTAAGGTGAGCCTAAGCAGGGTTTGCTCTTTAGTGTGGCCCCGGTGCCTAAAAAGGAGGCAGTATATTTGGCTTCCCGGCACCAGCAGCTCGATAGCTCCTGTGCATGAGCAATCAAGAATAACTAAGGACAAGTCTACAGTCAATGCTAGCTACATTAGAATCCGAAAGATTCCATGCTATACTCGACCATTTTCTGCCACAGCTCGTGAGATACGTACTACTTTACTGACGCTCGTTAGACGCATAATTCGTTAACTCCAGCCTGTGTGTTTCGACACTTTCGCTAAAGCGCAGGGGTCGAAAGCATTGATAGCCATTTCCAAGCAAAGATACGGCACTCATTCCCGTGGGCACTGTCTATCGGCGCAAGTCACAACTTTTGTTTGTGCGCCTAAATACTTCGTTGCTAGGCCTTTTCTCTTCTTTTTGGTCCGTCTTCCAACGCTGCCTCACAACGACTTGCAGCTTGTATTGATGCATTGCTACGTTGCTCAAAATGCTCAGGTGCGTCGCTCGACACGCTCAGGGGGGCACAATCACTTGATTATGCCTACCTAGGTACTTTGCTTTGGTAGATCTTAGAACCTGATTTCCTTTGGCTACCTTATACATATGAGCCAAAACGACGCCCGATTCCGTCAGTTTCTTTCACTAAGCTCAGTTCGTATGTTCTAGCTGCGCTCTTTTCCTCCTTTTTTTCCCCCTTCTCTTCTTACACTTCTTCTCTTTTGGCTCCCTTCTGCTTGCGCCGAATTCCATAGCCAACAAGCAGGCCCTCGGTCAAGAGGAAGGAAGAAGATGGATGATGAAGACCACGGTGAGATTTTTTATCGGTAGAGCATAGCGTCACCCTGAAGATGAATGCCTGGTTGAGAAGAGGCCTCAACTCTCTCTCACTCTACGACCGGGCGCCATCTTCCAATCCAGCGTTGAAGCCATCCTCACTTTTACTCGTTAAACAAGCCATCTTCCGAAAGGAGAGCTCCGCCGACTCTCATCGCGGGCTAGCGACAGCCGTTATGACACTAATTCATTGCGAATTGTAGAAAGACTACTCCTCAAGGATGGTCTCTTGGGGGGGCTGAAGCGGTCGTAGTTATATCACACTTTGTAGGAAATCTTTCAGTCCGACATCTATTGAGCATGTGAGTTCAAGAATGCTACTGCTAGAATTTCACGAAGAAAAAATGGCGAGGGGTATAGGTAGGCGTGTTAGATGTAACGCGCAGATGAGTTCGCTGGTCATCTCTTGCTAACTTCTCCAAATCATGGTCCCAATTCACCCGGAGGGTGAAGTTGGTCATGCTGACAAGATGCTGTGGCTGTAACCCGTAGGTGCATTTCCCCTCATTCTCATGTTGGGGAGCTCACCCAAACTAGTTCAACTCACTACGCTTTTCGTCGACTAGACTGGACTGTCATCGGCTTCGTCGGGGAGACTATGATCCCGTTGGAGAACAAGTGGAACATGCTGTTCAAGTCGGATACTCGGTCACGTTTGCTTACACAGCTGCCAACCCGTCACGGCTTTCTCCTCACTTGATTATCTTCCCAGGAAGACCATAACTGTCTATTCCTTCTTCTCACATTATACAGATCTAATCAATTTCCCATAACCCATGGTTTTATAATGACAGCCGGCATTCGTCTGAGCATCGTCATCTGACACTCTTCTGCTAATAGTGCCTTCGTCGATTTGCACTGGTCTGCTCATATCAAGTACATAATCCTCCCTCCCCCCCCCCCCCCCCCCCCCCCCCCCCCCCAACCACCACAAACACCCCCCAAGCACCGATTTGCATCCAGTATAGTACCGTTCATGGCTAGCGGCAGCGAATATGATTAGGCATGCGTCCGAAGGGGATAACACCGGAAATAAAAGCTCGCTCTCGACCTTTCAGCTACTAGTAATTTAGTTGCCGCGACCCCGAAGCCAAGTCTGCTCCATAATCCCAAGCCTTGAACAGCACTTCTTGTGTTAAATATCACAATTCTAACTACGCCGTATAACAATCGACAATGTCAAGCTTTGTGCTACCATGCTTATACCAACCCGTATAGATCTGCACACTTGCCATTACGAGAAGGTTGCACGACGAATATGCAAGCTTGGCATCACGATCAGGGCACACTATGTACGAGGGTGAAAGAATACCCGAGACATCGATATCAACTGTTACATTCGGGGTAGCTAATGGATGCACTTCATGCGGGGGTGCGAGTTCCGGCAGTTCCTAAGCCGACCAAACTTGTAGACTTCATCTACTTGAGCGAATCAACTTGTAGTAACGGCGGGACACCATGTGGTATGTCTAAGTCCACATGAACACAAATCGTGTATATATCCGAGCCCCTCACGATCAGTTGTCATTGCTTCCAGGAAGGAATCGGGAATACGTCACACAAAAATGATTTCGTGCTTATGGCCTCACTGTATAATGCTCCTATCCCCGCACTTGGTGCAGTCAATACGCACTTCGGGAGATCTGGGGTCGTGAGAGGGGCTGTGTTCAGTCTCCACAGGCCGCGTTGGAGGAATCCGGGGTGCATGAACTGTGGCTCTCATTAGCTTGGATGCCCGTGTAAGCGGGGGAGATGTGTCGAGCAACCGTACTTAACTTACCGTTTGTAGTTGTTGCGAAGGTTGTCAGCCGGTGAGTATCAAGCTACCGAGCGTGATACTGGCAGTCGGGAAATGATATGTCTACCAAGTTTTGCGCCAAGTGAATTCAGCCGGGAGAGTAGCGTGGTGTTGCGTCAACTACCAAGAAGAATCCTCGCCTTCATGAATGACATCAATACGGCCCGTCAGCTTCTCGATATGCCGTGGCCGAGTCATATCATACATCCATTAGGGAACTCGTCTGCAAACACTTCATACAGTCATATACCTACCTAGGCTATCCCCCCCATCGCCATATCGGCTAGTTACCGTGGCCGCCTCCTCCTCTTTAGACTTGATTACCGAGCTTCATATCATCTCTCGTCGTGCGACACCCCGCATTCTTGGCCATGCAAGCCAGAAACTTAACATCACAGCCTACTTTATGCGGACCTATGGGACGTTGTGGCAAGAGACTACGGGTAAATGGGATGTTGTGTACCTATCATATCTCGCTTCTAGATCCATGCGTACGGTTGCAATTCGTTTTTCTGCTTGGGTCGTGAGGGGATGAATACGGCAGGTGGCTCAATTGTACAGTACGTGAGAATCCAAGGGGGATGTTTCGGAATCAAGATTCATTGGCCATCTAAAGCAATGATATACGTGTTCTAGAGGTCTATATAAGGCCGAGCCATGTCCAATGCCTATCACACGATTCTTTGAACAGCATTGCATCCTCGCGAAGTTCACTTACCATTTCTCAGAGGCTGTTGAACAGAATGACAACTCAGTACTCGGGTAATGGTAGCTCCTTGCCCGATGAGTTCGACATCATCGTGGCGGGAGGTGGGAGCTGCGGCTGCGTAGTGGCCGGCCGGTAAGTTTCAGTGTTCCCCAGGCTTGATGAATAGTCCATGTCATCTAGACTAACGATTGTAGTTTGGCAAATCTGGACCACAACCTCAAGGTTCTGTTGATTGAGGCCGGTGAAAGCAACCTCAATAACCCTTGGGTCTTTCGGCCGGGTATCTACCCACGGAATATGAAACTCGATTCCAAGACCGCGTCGTTCTATGAGTCACGTCCGTCTAAGTGGCTGGCTGGTCGAAAAGCCGTGGTGCCTTGCGCACACATCCTGGGTGGTGGATCATCTATCAACTTTATGATGTACACACGTGCTTCAGCCTCGGACTACGATGACTTCCAGGCCAAGGGATGGACAACCAAAGAGCTACTGCCTCTCATGAAGAAACACGAGACATATCAAAGGGCCTGCCAAAATCGTGATATTCATGGCTTTGAGGGTCCCATCAAGGTGTCTTTCGGTAACTACACCTATCCAATCAAAGACGACTTTCTTCGGGCTGCAGAGTCACAGGGCATCCCCGTTGTGGACGATCTTCAGGATCTGGTGACTGCGCATGGAGCTGAGCATTGGCTTAAGTGGATCAACCGAGACACTGGGCGACGAAGTGACAGCGCTCATGCTTACATTCATGCCACTCGAGCTGCTCATTCGAACCTTTATCTAGCCTGCAACACAAAGGTTGACAAGGTGATCATTGAGAATGGGAGGGCAGTTGGAGTGCAGACTGTTCCGACCAAGCCGCTGGGAACCGGTCAGCCTCGAACCCGCATATTCCGAGCACGCAAGCAGATCGTGGTATCTGGCGGGACGCTCTCGTCTCCTTTGATCCTTCAACGTTCTGGCATCGGCGACCCTGAGAAGTTGAAGAAAGCGGGAGTCAATTGCCTAGTCAACCTTCCTGGAGTTGGGCTCAACTTTCAAGACCACTACTTGACCTTTTCGGTCTTTCGGGCCAAGCCTGATGTCGAAACTTTCGATGACTTTATCCGGGGCGAACCCGAAGTGCAAAGGCGTAAGTATAATGAGGACCGACCCAATATCTAAGCATAATGTGATCTGCGTGTACTAACGTCGGCCGCATACAGGCGTGTTCGATGAGTGGCATTTGAAGGGAACCGGCCCTCTTTCCACCAACGGCATCGAGGCAGGCGTCAAGATCCGCCCTACAGAGCAGGAGTTGAAGGAGTTCGAGAGCTGGCCGACTCCTCACTTCAAGGATGGCTGGAAGAGCTATTTCAAGGACAAGCCAGACAAGCCGGTGATGCACTACAGCGTCATATCAGGCTGGTTTGGTGACCATATGTTGATGTGAGAAACTTCCAAAACCTCGGGCATGACTTCATTTCTGACCCTCTTCCGCAAGGCCACCCGGAAAATTTTTCACCATGTTCCATTTCTTGGAATATCCTTTCTCCAGAGGCAGCACTCATATCAAGAGCGCTGATCCATACGAGAGCCCAGATTTTGACTGCGGCTTCATGAACGATGAGCGTGACATGGTACCAATGGTATGGGGATACATCAAGTCGAGGGAGACGGCAAGGAGGATGGATGCATATGCGGGAGAGGTGGAGACCATGGTTCGTTACCCTTCATGGCACCCTTTGATTATCGTCGTGACTAACCGCACACGGTAGCACCCTTTCTTCGACTACGACTCCCCTGCGAGAGCTCATGACATGGACCTGGCCACGACCAAGTCCTACGCCCTTCCCGGTAACTTGTCTGCTGGCATTACCCATGGCAGCTGGTCTTCTTACTTGCCGGCGCCTGACAAAAAGGCTGGCTTCAGCGTGTTATCTTCCAACAGGGTCGATACACGTGAGGAACTCAAGTACAGCGCGAGCGACATCAAGGCCATCGAAGAGTGGGTGAAGCGTCATGTGGAGAGCACCTGGCACAGCCTGGGAACCTGCTCCATGGCCCCCAGGGAGGGTAACAGTATCGTAAAGCACGGAGTGCTGGATGAACGGCTGAATGTGCACGGGGTCAAGGGACTCAAGGTCGCAGATCTTAGCATCTGTCCCGATAACGTGGGCTGTAACACGTGAGTTTCCCTTCTTGGGCTTGTTGATATCTGACAACGTCAAGTGACTGACACTGAGCTAGATACTCCACGGCGCTCCTTATTGGCGAAAAGGCTGCGATGCTGGTAGCTGAGGATCTAGGATATTCTGGCGAGGCGCTGGAGATGAAGGTTCCTACGTATCATGCACCTGGTGAGCTGGCGTTGCAATACCGTCTTTGAACAAAAAGTATTGTTGCACCTCAGATTGAGTCCGAATATTGACCGCAGACTGTTATTCAATGATGCAGGATGTATCTGCCCTGCATCGTTCACTCGTTCAATACCTGCCTATCTTACGTCTTACTCTATTTGTGTATCGTGTAGCTTAGTTTGATGGATGTCTACAGAAACCATACTTCTTGCATTATCCTACCAGAGCTTTTGTTCGTATCGGCTTTACAGAGGAAACGTGTGTTTTCATTAGGAGTTGCTCAGAAATGCCTCTATGCAGCAAACGAGTATCCAGATTCGATTCAACCTCAACCCTACATTCGCCCTACATTCGCCAAACAAAATGCTGTGGTCCTGCATCTGATCGGTGGGGGAATCAGTTCATCACGAGGCATTATATTACTTGGTAGACCTGGACCCCATGCTCTGTCGTTGCAACGTCGTCTCTCGGCCTCAAGCTTGTACTGGGAAAAGAGATAGAGCACATATGCGGCGTGCTTCAATATCGACTTGCCATGCTATAGTTCGTCACCATGTTAAAGTGTTCTTTGAGCGCGTCAACGCTTTCGCTTCGAAGTTATTTGAATATACTGTGGAGAATTAACATCTGCTTCACAAGTGGTCTATCTTTACCCATCCAAGAACTAGAACACTATTTTTTTCTTTCTTCAAATGGGCAGAGATCAGTAATATTAGCACTGCGACTATTGACCTCAATGTACGGCCCACCCAGGCGGTTTGATTCATTGTAGTATTTCCGTGCCGTCCAAAATACTCCTGGAGATAGGTGCAGAGCAGCCAATGGCACTGCAATGCCGTCTTATCCGAAATTACGGAGGAATGGCACCCGCCACGTGCAGGATCAGAGAAGATGCCTCTGCCCCGAAGCCTATCACGAATACGGAAGCTCTGAGCTGACCAGCTGACAAAATCGGCTAGACCCTAAACACTCTGAGAGAAACCATTGAATATTACTGCCGAGCAGTAGAAAATAAATGGCATCGTTTTGTTTTGTTGGAGGTTCATGAAAAAGAGCCGTTCAGAAGCCTCGATCATGGTGCTGCTTAATCTTTCAAAAAGGATGATTAGTCATTCATCCTTCGCCTGTTCATGAAGCTGGCACTTGGTAGAGATAATAGCCACAGGATTGTGGAAGCCTTGTGAACCGAACTTGTCGACGTCTTGTGAAGAATGGTTGATGCCCCATATGGAACTGGTACCTGCATGAAGATTTCGGCTAGATGTGACGGGCATGTCCCTAACCGCCTCTGCAACTACCACTCTGAACCTTCCGCATTGAGATTTGATATCATCTATAATCCGGAGGCACTAGAGAATAACGTTGCATCAGATTCATACTAGTAGTAATCGTGGATGGATTGCATTTACAGCCCACATTATCAGTACTGGAGGTGGATTTGACAAGCTAATCCCTATCACTTGCGCCCTCGTGGTCGAGGAAGATAACACCACATTCTGCACCCATATTCCCTAACTACTCCTAGGATGGAATGTTTCAGTCGTCAACCTGTGTGTTTATTCATGTAACCATGTCAGCCTGCGAGATGGACCTGCCGGGGTGGGTTATCGTCACGTTTGACAGAACACCTACCCAAATGTTCTATTGACAAGATGTGACAGCTGTACGGCTAAATCAGCTGCCTTATTGGCTACGACGAAAGGCGAAGTGCTTTACTGAAACATCATCAGGCTATCCATAAAATTGATATAAAGACTAGATCTGCTCTCTTCGTGACTCCCATTTCAGCAGCACGACAGGCGAGTTCAGAGCTGTCTGCCTTCCTATTCAGTCATTCCTTTCATCTGTTCTACACTCCTTTCGACTTCAAGCAGCCAATATGCCCTCCATCTCTTCTTTCACTTCCGCTCTTGGGCTTCTGTCCCTTCTTCCCGCAGCGCGGGCAGGCTGGAATCAGAACAGCAATGACAACATTGTCGTCTACTGGGGTAATTATCTCTTCTCCTCTGTAGAGGCTGGGGTTTCGATGAACAGAAAGTCGTAATTCCCAAATATTGCCAGAGCTAACAATCAACCTTGGTTGCAGGTCAAAACTCCGGCAGCGTTGGCCAGAATCGCCTCTCATACTACTGCCAGAATGCCCCTGATGTCGATGTCATCAACATCTCCTTCATGGTTGGCATCACTAACCTCAACCTCAACCTCGCCAACGTTGGAAACAACTGCACGGCTTTCCCACAGGCTCCCAACCTGCTCAACTGCCCCCAGGTGGCGGCAGACATCATCGAGTGCCAACAGACCTATGGAAAGACGATCATGATGAGTCTGTTTGGCTCCACGTACAGTGAAAGTGGTTTCAGCTCATCATCGGCCGCCGTGGCGGCTGCCCAAGAGATTTGGGCTATGTACGGTCCCGTTCAGAGCGGCAACAGCACTCCCCGACCATTCGGCGACGCTGTTGTTGACGGCTTCGACTTTGATCTCGAGGACCCCATTGAGAACAACATGGAGCCCTTCGCTGCTGAGCTGCGAAGCTTGATTGATGCTAGCACCTCCAAGAAGTTCTATCTCTCGGCTGCTCCTCAGTGCCCCTACCCCGACGTGTCTGACGAGTCGTTCCTCGACGGCCAGGTCCCTTTCGACTGGGTCAATGTTCAGTTCTACAACAACGGCTGCGGTGTCTCTCACTACCCTGCTGACTTCAACTGGGCCACCTGGGACAACTGGGCCAAGACCGTCAGCGCCAACAAGAACGCAAAGGTCCTCATTGGAACCCCCGCCAATGTCGGCGGTGCCAACGCTGGATCTTTCCCTACCGACTCCCAGCTCTCTGGAGCCATCTCTCTCGCCAAGGGCTCTTCCAGCTTTGGCGGTGTCATGCTGTGGGATATGGCTCAGCTATTCACCAACCAGGGATACCTGGCCAAGATCGTGGCCGATCTCGGCAGCGCTTCATCTCCTCCTCCCCCGGCCTCTACCACTCTTCAGACTATCACCCGGTCGTCCACTGCCAGTACCGGACCTACCAACCCTCCCTCTGGCGGTTCTGTTCCCCAATGGGGCCAGGTGAGTCGTCCTCATAGCATGAAATCAATTTCAGAGACTGGAAGCTAATCGCTCTACTCTATTTAGTGCGGCGGCAATGGTTACACGGGCCCGACTCAGTGCCAGGCTCCTTACAAGTGCGTCGCCACGTCGGAGTGGTGGTCTTCATGTCAGTAAAGGGCTAGAGTGCTCATACCCTTTTATACACCAAAACACAATTTGGGGCCTTTGAGGTTGAGACACTTTGCATCGGCTTCTAAGCAAGAGTCTTCTATTCTGTTATGTAAATATTCACTTCACTCTATATAGTTGGACCGGAAAGATGTATTTAAGTATCTATCCTTCATGTTTATGTCCTCTAGGTGTACAGTTATGTCAAGCCGAATAAGCCAGGAATGCATATCCTTGGCATTTTTGCACATTTATGACCATTGTGAGGCATATGCTCTTTTGAGATGGGTTAGCAAAGCTCTGTCATCCATGGTGGCGCTGGCCCTGCTTGCCACGAGCTCTGGGTCTGGATGGGTAACATCCGTTGCGAATACTAGAATATCCATGTGTTGGTTAAACTCGTCATTGAGAAAACCTTGGCTCCATGATCAAGGCCAGCATGAGACTCAACACAGAGCTGTGCGGTTTTATAAAGCAGCTCCTCGGCTGCTGACGGTACTGCTCTCATAAACGTCGGAGGCGAGTGTCTCAGTAACTGAGTTTGGGAAAGAGCCGAGTGTGACATTTTTCATTTGTCGTTCTTCCTATCGTCTGTGAGCTCCTCATCTAATCGACGTTGGATTGATTACCTTGGTAGCTCACATTAATAGTCTGCTTTGCGCTTGGAAGACGGCCGAGGCACTGGCTTATAGTAACAAATTGCCCGTCTAGGTATGTATCTGGCCTTTTTCGTGCTAGTATCGGGCAGTATCATGTATACAATTCTAGCTATGAAAGTGTAGCTGATATGCTCGGGATCGAGTCGCGATGTTTGTATGCTGACTTCCTCATAGCGATGGCCGGCGACGCACATAACTGGCGTTGTAGACTACTACATCCTTCCCGTCAAGTTCATTGTCGAGGACAGTCATCCAGAAAGCAGCGAAGAACCTACTACTTGGCAGCTGCTCATTATCTAGGATGGTGGGAGATCATGGAGGTCAACGTGAGGGTGGAAACTAGGTGCAGAGTATCAACATTCGCGTTCAAATACCGTTACAGAAGGATTCGCTACTGGTTGGCATCATGCCTAGAAGCAATCGAAAAAGGTACACCCAGCGGTGAGGGCTTCAAGAGTCAAAATTGTCGCGTCTTCCATTCGTAGTATGTGATTGATTGAGTTGGTGAATGCTCAATGCGGAAAGATGCACTTCAAATCCGTAGGAGGAAAGTCCGCGTTGCGGCCTACCAGATGCCTTGACACGGGACCCGGGAAATCTAAATTGCAGTAAAACTTGGCAGCAATCAAAGCGGAGTTTTTTTGTCCCGCCAAGGAGATCTCTTGGCTGCATGCAATTGCCACATCGCCGAGACTGCGGCACACTAAAGAGGGATCGCATCTTATCGGGATTTTGCTCGGGGGGGTTGAGATTTGGTCGTTAATGCTTGGCAAGTGATCTGGTCACGGCTATAGGCCGTTGAAAGACTTCACGTGTTTATGATACTGCAAAGCATCTGGAAGTCTTTCCGTTGCCCAATGCTGGGATTGCTCTGCGTCGCTTAATCTCATCATCCGTCATCAGGTAGTCAGTCATACACTACGCGCGCTTTTGATATCCGAAAGGCATATCTGCACAGGCAACACGACGATCCAGGAACGGAGTTGCACTAGATTCGCCCCCAGTAAGTTGACAACGTTGGTACTTTGCGTCCAGCAAGGAATGGCATCCTGTGGCAGCTTGCCATGAAAGGCATCCTTGAGGCTCACTACACGTACTCGTGCTTCACGTACCGTAAGGTACTAGGCACCTAAACATACCTAGGTAGGTATCTCGGGCTGCGAGGTGTGGCAACACACCTGTATCGCGGCATTTTCTCCAAGCTCCCGGATTCACATTACGCGTGGACGAGGCTGGTTGTTGCGCGAGAGCTAATGGCGAGCACACCATAGGGCCAAAGCTCTGGTCTAGGCTGAAAGAACCAATCAATGCGACATAAGGCCCTTGCTGATGGCATGCAGGATGGTCTTTGCTGAAGAAGCGTTGGCCGGAACTTGTATGTACGGTGTAAGGCACTACCACGTCTTCAACATTTCATGGAGGACCAATTGTTGCACCCTTCTGCTAGAAGGAACTATCTGAGGTACTCACTGATGGATAGGTATGCGAGGACGGACATGGCAAACTCTAGCTAGAGTCACAGAGTCCCGTCGAGGAATCAAATCACCACAGCTGATACTCTTCATGTATTCTCCACGGCTATCGGATATCAATCAGCCCCCAATCCTGTTTGACACACCGGATGTAGCGAGATAAGCCATCACAAATTGGTGACGGTAAGACAGACGCCAGAGCCAATTGGGCAGGCTGTGGTGGCATTTTGATCAGTTGGAACAAGCTCAGCGCTTCCGTCTCGCCCCCGAGCTGGCCAACCTTCCATAACCCTGTTCCCAGCGAACGATCTTGCTAGCCTTATTTTGTGTTGAAGCCATAGAGCCAACAGAGGAAAAGACCCGAAAACAAAGACTACGGTACGAGCAAAGTAACTGTCCAGCTTGGCAGCGGCAAATGGCGCCATCGCGCAAACGACCAACAGCCCTATTGTGAGGCCCTTCGGAACACAGGAGCCGAATCTGTGCAGAGACGCTGCCCTTATATCGACGAATGACCCATAACGCCCCCTAGGGACACGGAGTTTTTCCAACATGATCTTCTGTAGCAGCAGTGGGACAATATGCCAAAACGGCAGCTCTGATCCCCAGGCAGCTCATGACGGCGATCACGCAATTCCACCGCTGTTGGTGTGCAACCACACCAACTCGGCAGGCCCGTGAGGCACCATGTACTATCATGCAGGGCAGACTTTGATCAACGCCGTGGATTGTTTGTCATAAAAGTCCACGTCCCTTGACCAAAGCCTCCATCGTCATCGCCTTCTCTCAGCGCGGACATATCGACAACGAGGACAGCAAACATGGCGGCCAACGATTCGCCAACCCAATCCAAGAACGAGGCTGCGTTCGCTTCCAGTGATAATGGAGTCCAAGTTTCTGAGACGGAGTTCAAGGAGGAAGTGGGAGGCTTACATTTCGACCAATACCTTGCTGGCGGAATGGGACGCCATCTGGGCATCTTCAGCACAACGTCTCTGATGTGCGACTTGGCCCTGCACCCGCACCCTTTGCACTTCCCAAAGCACCGAGTCACTAACAATGCGTAATAGTATCGGACGAATTATCGGCACAGGGATCTTTTCTACGCCTTCATCGATCGTTAATGGGGTCGGATCTTTGGGCGCCTCGATGCTCCTGTGGGTGCTGGGGCTGCTGCTGTCCGTCTCGGGGCTCTGCGTCTGGCTTGAATTTGCCTGCATGATTCCTCGAAGCGGTGGCGAGAAAGTATATCTTGAGGCAGCATATCGGCGACCGAAAATGTTGATCACGACCATCTTTGCGGTCCAAGCAATTGCTCTAGGCTTCACTGGTAGGTTCAGCTTCCGAATCGGCGCAGGCAATTAAAGAAACAATCCCTGACAAGAGTCACAGCGTCTGGCTGCATTGTTTTTGCATCCAATATTCTGGTAGCAGCAAACAGGACAGTCACGGAGTGGGCAGAGCGAGGCATCGCCATTGCGGTCATCATCTCGGTCACCGTCATCCACACGTTTGTCCCGAAGCTCGGTGTTCATGGCATGAACTTCTTCACCATCCTGAAGCTAATCCTGCTCATCTTCATCGTTGTTACGGGATGGGTGGTGCTTGGAGGTGGTGTTTCCAAAGTACCGGATCCTCACGCGAGCTTTCACAATGCGTTTGCTGGGTCCGCAAAGTCCGGCAACCCATATGCAACCGCATTGTTCAAAGTGTTGAACTCATACGCAGGGTAAGATCCATTGCTCCGATCTGGCAAACTCAAGGTTGACTTTGTTTTTCCAGCTGGTCTAACGCAATGTATGTGCTCAACGAGGTGAAGAACCCCGTTCGAACCATCAAAATTGCCGGTCCCCTTGGTCTTTCAACGTGCGGAGTTCTGTATATCCTCGCCAACGTCGCTTATTTCTCTGCGGCGACACCTGCAGAAATCGCAGCAAGCGGAACCACTGTAGCCTCCTTCTTCATGAAGAAAGTGTTTGGTTCAGCCGCCCAGAGAGCTCTTAGGTGAGTTCTGAGTAACATGAAGTGATCCCGTTTGCTATGCACCAGCCTTTACTTACCTCTGTTTCCAGTGTCCTCGTCGCTCTTTCAGCATACGGCAACGTCTTGACAGTAACCTTTGCCCAGTCGCGAGTCAACCAGGAGCTTGCCAAGGAAGGCGTCATTCCCTTTCCACGATTCTGGGCTTCGTCATGGCCCTTCGGTTCGCCATCTGCCGGCTTAATCCTACATTTCATTCCCTCCTTCATCGTCATTGTCGCCATACCTTTCGGAGACGCCTACAACTTTATTCTCGATGTCGAAGGATATCCCGGGGCTGTCATGAACTCTCTGGTAGTCGCGGGGCTATTTTACCTCCGTTGGACGGAGCCAAAGGCACCAAGACCATTCAAGGTCTGGCTGCCGGTCGCAGCGTTCTTCATGCTAGGACAGGCGTTCCAGCTTGTGGCTCCATTCTTGAAGCCCCCAGGAGGCAAAGGCGATACCAGTCTGCCATACTGGCTCTATGCCATTGTGGGTATTTCCATATTGGCAGCGTCTGTTGTTTACTGGGCAGTCTGGTGGGTGGCAGCGCCCAAGCTGGGAAAATATTCGCTAGAGTCGCGAAACGAGCCTCTTGCAGATGGGACGAATGTGCTCGTGTATCACCGCGTACCTACCGAGGATAAAAGGGCGTAGCTCTTCATATGGCCTATAGATGAAGCATTATGATTATGAGAAGCGGTTCCTTCGTGTTATTTGAACAAAGTCTTCCGTGTCCCCACCAACATACCTACTACAATGTCGAGACGGCCAAGAAAGTTCAAACAAAGATTCCAGCAACTAGCCCCTCTGTCCCTTCATGCAAGGTTGTGGATATATATGAGACTTGCCTCCTGGATGGGATTTCAATTTGCCCAACAAGGAAAGTCAAGTAGGAAGGGCTATAAAACCTTTCCAAGCTTATTGGTGGTGATACACGAGGTCATATTGGGCGTTATAAACACCGGTCTCGCAAAATCGGTCTCACTATGGGAATATACGGCTTCTGGTTCGTCGGTTGTCACAAAGTAGGCGCTTGAGTACTCTGCAGCAATAAAGGGACTCTTCGTTTTGATATTCAACATGGACTATGTGTACAGGCCTTAGGTAAATCAAGCTGACTCTTTTCGATCCATTCGTTTCACCGCCTCTACAGATCACGCCGAAAAGACGAAGTTTTTAACGATTTCCCAATAGCCCCGCTGGTCTCAATCAGATTCCATACGCTTCTCAAGTTCACTCGCAGGTCCTCCAGATCGGTTGTGGGGCTCATACTGCCGGCACTTCGTCGTCACAGCAAGCTGAGATTGACTGGCGGCAATATATGCCGACGTGCGTAAGAAAAAAGCCCTCCTCCGGCATCGATGGGATTTTCGTAGAATAGCTGTCCAAATTGAGCGAAAGACGAATAGATACAAAACGAAGAACGCCTCGATTGGCTTTTAGAAGGCGGTTAATCTGGGATTTGTCCCAAGCTTGGACAAACCTGAGCCTGATGCGTGAGGAATTGAAACAAATCACGATTATCCTTCACAGTTCATGATTGTCCTTCATAAATACTATCCAGGGACGGAGAACGACACAATACACCGGCGGAGTGCTGGCTATTGTATTCCTTATAAGACCTGATGTCCATTTTCCTTCACTACAACCTGGATTGGCGGCAGAAGAACACGGGAACCGTTGGAACATTCCGCCGTTTAGAAATCTTCAAGCCTGTACACCTCATATGCCGGTTCTTCATACGGATGAGCCCTGCAAACAAAACTCTGTTAGAATCTTCTCGCCCAAGCGATATGACATGGCTCGACACATACTTCTTCAGCGCCTCGACAGCCTTCCTTGCCACTTCCTGTCCCACACACGGCGCCTCAACACGCACTTCCGGCACAGTCTCCAGCTTATCGACTTGTCCGATGTGCGGGTTGGCTCCGCTCACCGGGCGAAACTGTCCGGTGCCCAACGCCGTCCAGCAACATTCTGTATAGGAGCTGTTGGGGTAGCGACCAGCTCCAGCCGCAAAGATGGCAGCTTTGCAAACTTCGATGTGGCTTTGTGGGACGTAGAATATGAGCTTGAATATCGTGGCCATGGTGTCACTGTTGAGTGGCTCGACAGAAGTCTAGAGAACAAGGACACGAGGCCGCTTGAGATGAAGATGGCGTGAGTATCGGATGTAGCAGAGCCGTACAGTGAGCAGATACGGAATATCTTGCGAAAGCGTCCAACTGGAAGGTGATGAAGTAGGTAGGTAGGCGTCACGAAGCTCCTCAGCAGACCCCGCTCATTTACACAAGCTTAGCCACTTAGAACACCGTACGAAGGCCCACATAAGGAACCTGAAGCTCCAATGCACGCACTGTAAAGGATTCCATGTTCTGTTCGGGCCATGACCCGAGAGACGCGGAGATGTCCCAGGGTTCATTACGAGTGAAGATTGCTTCTATAGGTACCTATAATCTCATGCCTACGCGCTGAGCTGGACCTTTTCGTCTACCGGGTACCTATGTAGTCGATGGGCACAGGGGCAATTGAACGCAGCAGGTAAGCATCGGTAGCTACCTAGGTATCTACGGTAGGTAGGTAGGTAGGTAGATACCAGTCACATACCTAAACTCGTACCCATTGAGGACGTGTACTGATGCTCGTCATCAGTACTAACGATGTGAAAAGTACCTTATGTAGATATATGTACTAATATCACAAGCATCAAAGAAAGGAACATCAGATAATGTCAAAGTTCACAAAGACCTCCGCAGCCCCATGATTTATTATTTAACGCCGGTTTCAATGCCGTCCCCGTATATATATATCAGTACATCGAGAGAGTCTGGGGGGAAATAAAGCAAGATATCAGAAGAAAGAGATGAAAGTTGCAGATGAGAAGAAGGACAAAAGATAAAAAGAAGTAGAGCCAGATGCCTCTCTAATTGGCATAGGGACCATAACGCCATCGCTTTCCATTCTCTTCGACCCACCAGCGGGCCATAAATGCAGCTTCTTCGACCCATTTCGCGGCGTCGACGCCGTGTGTGTTCTCAACGCTGTACATGAAATTCACAAAGTCGAACCCGAGCAGGGTGTGTGCCCCTGTGGGATCTTTCATTAGATTCGTAAACTGCCACTCGACGTTGTCGATGATGGGCACGACGAGATGCCAGTCAGGCTGACGAGCGTCGCGAATGCTCAGCATGGCGCGACCCGGATTGACAACGGTGAATTGCCAGTTGGCCTGGCCGGTTTCGTTGTTGGTCGTATGGACTGGCCGAATGAGCGACTGGCCTTCGTAGTTCTGGACCATATCCGAGGCGGCGCGCGTCTGCGACTTGGAGAGCGATCCGGTTTCACGGAGGAGATCGAGGATCGTAGGAAGGATTTGCGACGAGATGATTGCGTCGTCGACTTGGATTGCCGGTAATTTGGGGTGAGAAAAGACCAAAGGCACGCGGAGAGTGCCAATGTTTGGGTTGTAATAGGGCGCCAAGATGTTGTTCTCAGGCATGGACACTCCGTGATCGCCGACAAACACCACAAGAGTCTCGTCGGCAACGCCCTCCTCGTCTAGGATCTTCATAATCTTGCCTAGCCATCGGTCATCGTAGCCAATGGCGTTGACATAGTGGGAAATATCGTCCAGGCCACTACCTAGCGGTGTGTATGGCTCCTCGGCTGGGATCGCAAACGGATGGTGGCTGGTGCTCGTCAGGTGCGTGACAAAGGCGCGCTCGTTGTTCTTCTTGGCCTGGACGAAGGCGTCTCGAATGTAGTCTTCGACGGCAACATCGGCCATGCCAAAGTAGTTAATGTCTGGCAGGTCGACGGGACCAAACTTTGCGAAACGGCTCCTAAGGTATTCTTTGGAGACGAGATTGTCGGGGGAGATACCCATGGAAGACATAAGAGGCACATATCTATCGTAGTTCTTGGTCACGGATTGCAGAAAGCTAGAGTGCCATTTGAAAGACGTAAAGTCTTTGACGCTTTCCTCGTCCGTATCGGACTCTTCATTTTCCAGCTTGTTGAGGGCGTCGAAAACCTGGGGTAAGCACGGCTGATAAAAGTGGTGAAGGTACTCCAGGTTGAAGTCTGCCATGAGCGGCGTGAGGCCGCACATTGTGCCGACGATGCTCTTGATGGTATAGGTAGCAGTGGTGAGAGCATTGCTGAAGCTGATGCCGCCCCGTTTCTTCTTGCTTTCGTGTTCAAACCCGTCGTCGTAGTCGCCCGTGATATAGTTGGCGTTGGATGTAAGATTTGCGAGCATGGCTTGAGCTGCCTCGGGTAAGGTTCCGTTGCTATAGGAATTGGACAGGCGATTCCAGATAAGGCCATCTTTCTTCAGGGGAAACACATCCTTTCGCGTGCTTTCGAGGAGAATGAGCATGACATGGCGGATCGGTACGTCGGCGAGCTTATCCTCCAGCGCTGGGAGAAGCGAGTCCTGCAGGTTGGAGATTTTGAGGGGATCCGCAGCAGCGTTGTAATGCTTGTGGTTCTTGTACCAGTCGCCAAATCCAGGAACGTGTCTCCGAGGAAGCCAAGGGAAAGAAATGGGATCGGTCAAAGCGGTGCGGTTGTCCCAGGATCGCCCGATGCCGGTGTTGTAGACGGGCTCAAGATGGTCGAGACTGGGAGACGAAAAGGTGAAGTCGACGAAAGGAAGGAGAGCTGGAGTCCAGGATAAGAAGTTCAAGGCGCTCTCGTTTGGCCGAATGAGGATGAGGATGACATGGGTAAGAAGTGCGCAGCCGATGAAGACGTAGAGCAGCCGCCTCAGAATGGTGACTGACGTCTTGCTTTTCAAGTTGCAGAATTCCTCCTCGTCCTCCAAATCATCAAAGGTGTTGGCAAGTTCAACGTCAAGCTGGGGAACCTGAGAGTAAGTGGCTGCCGAGGATCCAGAGCGGCGCAGAGCAAACGAGATAGGCCACTTGAGAATGTCGGTAGCTATACCCGCCGCCAGGTAGCAGATGTCTTGCATGATGCAGGCGACGAAGAGCACGGTGAAGAGCACCAGGACCAGCGACGCAAGACCGGAGAGAAACATGGCGAAGGACGAGGCATCGCCCGCCAGGCCAATGTTGCGCCAGTGTATTTCCGAGCCGCACACGGCGAAGAAGGTTACTGTCACAACACCTACGGTGATGAGATATGTGATGATGATCGACGCCAGGCTCATCGTCGCAGTGCGCAACCAGCCAGAGCCATCCGTCAGCCAGGGGTCAAGCAGCAGCCGGACAAGGACCAGCAGCGTGACGTCCTGCGCAAAGAAGGAATACCCCCATCTCACCAGGTGGACGAGGGGTAATGAAGATAGATGTGTATAGATGTGGACGCCCTTGGCGCTGAATATAGAGACTGTCGCGACGGCAAAGGCAAAACGGCGGTTGGCGAAGCGGGAGACGAGATTGGCGACGTATCGTCGGCGGGTGAGGCGAGAAGCAACGGCGTGTGCGAAGCTGCGCGTCACGCCGAGATGGTGTGAGGGAGAGGGCGAAGCATCGAGCCGACTGCCAGCGGGCGGCTCCATGGCGATATCGAGACGGGGTATTCGAAGTCGAGGTCGTCGCTATTGACGGCAGATGGCAAAGCAGCCAAGGTGAGATGGTCCAGGAAGGCGACTGCGACGCGATTCGGGTGATGGCAATGTGAAGAAAGGTGATACCAAGAAGAAAACCAAACGGGTCGAAAGATAATTGTTGGTTAAAGGCAGTATGTCGCACCGCAGCTGGCCTTGGCGGACAGTTGCTGGCGTTTGAGGAAGCGATGCAGACGAGGCTGTTCGCAAGCGTTCATTAGGAATAGGGCAGGGTGCCAAGGAGGGGGGTTGAGGGGGACAAGGCAGATTGAAGAGGTGACAGGTGAACTGCAGACGAGACGAAGAGGACGAGTAGAGGATCGGAGAGAGGGACGATCGAAAGGGGACACGCCGGAGAGAAAGATTGTGACGATGCTCCGGTCCTGGTCGATAGGCGAGATTGGAAGCGGCTAGTCGGCGAAGGAACGAGGCCGGCCGAGCAAGGTCGAGATCGCAGAGGAAGCCTGAGCCCAAAGGAGTGCAGGGCAAGCGGCTGCTAATGCGGGCGAAGGAGAGTTGAAAAGCACGAGAAAGGGAAAAAGGAGAGTCGAGAACGATGGAGGAACACGGTTGGTTGGATCGTCGCCAGAGGCGGTTGGTTGAACAGGTGGTCGTGCTCCAGAGTTGAGCAGCCAGCCCCAGGAGATCAACGGAGGTACCTGTACCTGGAGCCAGGCACTAGGGGGGCGGCTGCCGCCTCTGTCGCACGATTGGGGGCGAATCAGAGCCCTGCGTGGCGCTGATATTGCGGGGCAGCTGGCCGCTAGGGGTGATCCGTGCGCTATAAAAGGGCACTCCAAGGCACCTCCAAGGCACCCAGGCCCTGCGGCTGCGAGTTTCTGCGAGTACCGGTACTCGGCGTGGGCGCTGCTGCTGCGGCGCTGTGGGCGCTGTAACTTGCACTGCGACATTTGGCGTCAAAGTTCCATCCGTCCAAGGTTCCCCCCCCCACCGCCCACAAGAAGACCATATCCAGCGCTCCACCTGCATGCTCCGCTAGCTTCGAGAAGTTGAATTGAGTCGATGGGGGCCGAGGCTTGCCAGCACAAGGACATCAGGAGGCGGCGCAACGGCGGATTGGAGCGGCGCTGATTGGGCCAGGACAGCAGGTCGGTCGCGTGCTTTGCCCTGTGCTCTGGCGCCGTGGCTTGGATGAATATGTGGGATCTATTGTGGTCAATGGGGACTGGACATGGAGCTCAGGTTTTGTTTCCTGTGGCCAGAAAATGGGATGGGATTCCCACACCGTGATTCATTGTGCCCTTGTACCATGGCTTCCATGTTGGCTTTCTGTTGGATCAGCACTGAGAATACAGTAATACAGTACGAAAGTCCTAGGATATCCATCTTATCGTGGACATGTCGAATGACAGGCCCTGCGGTGACGAACGAACAGGTATCTGAGACCTTAGTCAAAGATTACCCATTACCTTATGTATAAGGTAAAGGTAGGAGGTATATATAGACGGGACTGATCCGCTACCAGCACATACCTCTCGAGGTAGGTTAGTAGATACACATGTGCACCCATCCAACTCATTCTCCTAGAGCTTTGATCATTTCTGGTACAGTAGTCCGCTGAGGCAACTTTCCATCTCAAAGAAGATCATCCATAGTCCTAGAGATGTGTCTTGATTTTGAGCCCTCCAGTCACAGTGCCACCATACAGTACATTGGGGGACATTGCTGCTTACAGTCTGGAAGAAAGTAGCCCATTTCTTGTCTTCAATGCTTCAGATCTTCTGATAGTATCCTGTATTATCCGATAAAATCTTCGGCTAAGGATGCTCATTGCATTACCAGCCACGCAGCTGACCATATAATTAGTAGGCTACTCCATATGTGAAGCCATCCCCATTTGCCCATCCAGCCCCTCTACCCCGGTTCTTATAGCGCCCACGGAGCCAGGTGCCGCCGTTGGATGGCATGGACTGGATGGACCCGTCTCGACTGTAGCTTGCTCGTATCCCGCCAGAATGATGGCGGTGTCGGGCCTTCGACCGAAGAAAACAGCTAAAAGGGGCTGCCTGGACAGAATACTTGGGCTCTGATTACTCGTACAGATGCCCTCCTTCCGAGATCTGCGACTCAGTCTCGAACAGGCATCTGTTCTTCGAGCTTTGCAGTTCATTTATATGAATCGCCGCTCGTCCAACCCCAAGAAAAGGGGTCTCTCAAAGATGCTTCGCTTCGCCAATGGAAAGTTTGTCGGCCATCTGCCATCCTTACCTACCTTACCAAGCTTACCTTACCTGGTATTACCAGACTTTGTCCCCGTGCATTTTCGCCTCCCGCCTTTTGAGACCACACTGACCAGGCATCAATTTAGCGCCCGTCTTGGCTCCGAGTCCCTTGGTTGGAGCTGAGTTGAGACTCTCATTAAGATTGAGATAGAGTTGGCCGCCAAGCCCGATATTTTTGGAACGATGTGCCTCGCCGTTGAATTTTGTTTCTCATCTCCTCCCAGGGTTCTCGCCTGGTGGCTTCGAGTGAAAGCCTTGCCTGGAGGACATAGTCACAGTCGCTGTATTTGTGAACGCTTCTACCGTACAGTACAGTACCTTATGTTTCCTCGATCGTCGCGCCCGTTCCTGCTAAATCTATTCTGTGCTGACTCAAGTTCAATTTCCGGCCCATCAAATTGCCTCTCCAGAGTTCTCTTATGAACCAGGCGCCAGTCCCATATTTTCAGGCGTTTTCCCGTCAGACCGTCCCCACGTATTCCGTCATTGCAATGGTTCGCATCCTGCTTCAAGCGATGATCCCCAAGCGATCCCAGCGTCTCAGAGCGCCAAGTTCGAGCCACCCAAGTTCGAGCCACCCAAGTTCGACCCCAACACGTCACGCAACAAGTGCGGGAATTGATTCGTATTCTGCATGTACTATGTACAGTGGTGGCAGACCCTGAAAAATGCATGTCACACGTTGAAAGCCAAAGCTGAGCATGAAGCAGCTCCTTTTGTGATTTGTAGTTTTTGCTAGTCGCACGCGGCTCAGCCTCACCCTCAAAACGCCCACACACACACACACACCGAATTTAAACATGTACTAGCGACGGCTGCTGGAGGCAATACTGCGCCTCGCCCGAGTCTCGAACATAATCAAGCCGTCGCGTGGGTGAAAAGCTAAACACTGCCTTTACGAAAATAGCGATAGACACTCAATAAAGTGGCCGAGCCTGCCCTGCAGTCGTGCCGCATGCTGCCAGAACGTGTGGACAAGCCTGGGCAATTTTGCCTCATGAAAGAACATGACCAGAGGCCAGACGAGCTGAAGATGCAGTGAGGCCCAGCCGGCTCCCGTCACCTTCAGCTCGGACATGCAGTCCACTCTAGCACATGTCACGATTGCCTCGTGCCCTTTGAGCAACCAACGCTATGCAGAAGACGGCGTTTATTGGTTGTTGCATCCTTCGGTGTGTCATTGGTACCTTAGCAGGGTAGAAAGCACCCATCCGACGGATCCTCTGCTTGACTGTATTGCCTCCGAATTCGAGGGGATTGATGGGCTATGTGAAGACATATATGCGAAGCCAGCAGTGAATGGAAGAACAATGAACAAGCTTAGTAGATACCTCAAGTTCTTTGAATAGGTATCCTGCCTGTCCTGATCACAAATAGACACCTGTTGCGAATGCAACCGTAGTAGAGATAGATGTCGCTATTACACCACCTGCAGGTGAAATATCAGCTTGCATGTAGCAGCATCCTGTAAAGTACATGCGGCATTCTAGCCCGGACTATGGCTGCAGTCCCCGTGCTTTTCAGGGATTCGAAAGTGAGTTTTATGCCCATGACTTCAGGGTAGCCATATTAACCTGTTTCAAGGGATATGTGTTCATCAGCCTTTGGCAAGTTGGAAGCAATGTCCATATCAAAATTTTCGGTGGTTACCTGTCATTCTACGACCTTCCTAGGTTGGGTAAGTTCTGCATGCAATGATTTCGCTGTATTTGAGCGCCTTCAATCGCAAGATGCCGTCTCTGTGTGGCGACCTAGTCTGCGGAAAGTCAGAATAGCTCAACACAAGGAACAATACTCCGCATCCCACTATCAATTTCTAGGCATCCATAGTCAAGGGCAATTGAGGGATGGCTAGATCAACTCGGGGATATTCCTCTTCTCATTACGAAGTTAGAGCCCACAACATCTTGATACAACTGTGCAATCAAGATGGAGTACCAATATAGGCCGCTATCAGCTACTTCTCGCGGTATTTTCTCCATCCGACTGCTGCATCTCATGCCTACGCGTGATGTGGGAAATGGCGACCTCTTGATCTGCCGTCTGGTGGAAACGGAGATTCCCGATGTCAACCCTGAAGAAGGCGGGCCTACGGAGCCGAATCCCAGGAGCGTCAAGTATCAGGCCCTCTCATATACGTGGGGATCACCGGTATACTCACATTTACTCTATGTTGTAGGCGACGACAGACTGAACGACAGCAATGCGCACCTGATACCGAAGCCCTCTAGTAGCATTATTCGCATCACCGAGAACCTATATGCTGCACTACGCAATCTGAGAAAGCCAGACGAGACACTTGTTCTATGGGTTGACGCTGTTTGTATCGATCAAGAGAACATCACAGAGCGTAATAGCCAGGTCGCCCATTTCCCAGAGACATATGCCGGAGCCCAGAGTGTTCTTGTCTGGCTGGGGCCTGATGATGTCTTGAGCCATGGAAGGCTGTGTCTCGATTTCTTCGCCGATCTGGCTACTCTGATCTCCGATGATCCGCAAAGTGAGGACGACAACAGTCATCGGTCTTGGAGAAAGAGGTTCAAGATAAACCAGATAGTTTCTGCCTTTCTAGGGGGCAATGGCACTCACCCTCGACCTATCGAGTCTCTGCTTGAGAGGTCCTGGTTCAAGCGAAGTTGGATCATACAAGAAGTGGTACTGGCCAAGGATGTATGGGTGCATTATGGAACGGCAAGCATACATTGGAATGCCTTCGAGTCGGCCTTTGTCGAATTATCTGATCACGACGAGGGCGGCTTCAGCGAGAAACACCGCACTATTCTGCGGACAATGTCGCGGATTCGGAACGCGAATGCGAGGGGAAAGCGACAAGCGCCTCTCGATACTCTTGTCGAGTTCGACAGTTTCGAATGCTCCAACCCACGAGACCGCTTATATGCCTTGTATGGAGTGATGCAACATTGGTTTCCAGACTCTGCCGGCATGCAGCTCCTCGTCGACAACATTGACTATGGCCTTCCTCTCCGCGATGTTTTTACGGACTTTGCGATTCTCATGATGGGGATAGGAAACGACTTTCCCCGCGATACCAACTACAACTCCACAACTCACGTACTGCAGCTTGCTTCAGCCATGCGACCTGCGCGGCGCGAGAACACGCTCAGCCAGACCATTCCATCCTGGGTACCAGACTGGAGGGGTACAATGTACAACAAGCCTCTACACCACTCCCCAAGGAACAAAGACGCTTCGTGGGGGATACCAAATCATCAATTCAAAGTATTGACCCTCGAAGACAACAGACGTGCTCTGGTCACCGTTGGTCTTATCCAAGACGTCGTCACCGCGGTCATTCCGCTGGACATCAAAAGGCTGTTGGGAGCTGTTCAACAGGCCAAGCATGCGCTGAATGACTTTCTATGCTCAGTTGCAACGAGCTTTGACGAGACTGCCTTTTCCCCTTGCAACTCGGCCGACACTTATATGCCTACCGGGCAGCACATCATCAGCGCCATTGCTGTGACTTTGGTGGCCGACTGGGAACATACTCCTCCAAACTCTTACTTTGCTCAAGACGCCCGCTATCCGCAGCAATTTTTGGAGCAGCTGCGTTCTTCGAGGCATCACCTGCCCGAGATATTGCACAAGTGGCCTGCATACGCCGAGCTGATTACCATCACGATGCGCGGGCGCAGCCTCATGCTCACAGAGTCGGGTTACATCGGTATCTGCGATGACAATGTTCGGACAGGCGACTTCGTCGGCATCCTGAGTGATACACGCCTTCCATTCATTATCAGAGAAAAAACCTTTGCTTCCTCGCCTGTGATGAAAAAAACCTGTTCTCTACCAAACGGACACGGGGTTTTCGAACTACTTGGAGACGCATACGTTCACGCACTGATGAATGGGGAGGCAGCAGAGCTTCTAGGAAGCCAGGTGAAGAGCTCACTTCGGACTCTATGCATATTATGAAGCATCGTTACATCAGATTCACTGAATCATACGACTCCCAAAAACCTTGCAGAGTCATATATCAGCGCTAATAGTGCCACTCCTTGCTACCAATATCCTCTCTTACCTTGTAATGGCTCTCTGCCACCTCAAGAGTATCCAAATCGACCTCACTGATTATACATCCTTCTTTTTCAGCTCCCAGCTTACCAAGAGACCCAAGTACCGGCATCGTAACTTGGCTATGGCCCCAAGCATTGCAAAAAGCAACGGCACAAGTATTTTCGTACGCTCTAGCAACAGTGGCGCTGTCCAAGAATACAGCCTCTGAGTCTGGGCTCAAAGCCAAGAGTTTCGGATTCACCTTGTTTATGTGCCAGTACGCAGGAATGATGACGAGCTTTGCACCGTCTGCGACCAATTGCCGTAAAGCCTCGGGAAAAGCGAGATCCCAGCAGATGAGCAGGCCAACACGCACGACATGGCTGCTCCCGGGAAAAGGAACGTCGAAGGCCTTATGCGGCGACTTCTTGTCCGCTGTAAGGATACCGCGCTCGACATGCCATAGATTCTTCTTTCTATACGTTCCTAGTATCTCCCCGGTAGTCCCAGAAATGAAGTAAGTTATGTTGTGCAGCTCGACGACCGGATCACCTGGCTTGACGTTCTGTTCCACAGTGATGGTGTCCGAGGTATGGATAACGACAGGCTCAACAATCGTCCCCGGAACAATGTGAATGTTCAACACTCTGGCTAATTCTTGATATTGATGCAGATACGTCGCAGAAGCTGCACAAGCATCCGTAAACGTAGGGTCCTCTGGGGCCCATGATGTGAGGTGGTATTCAGGTAACACGACAATGTGGTTGCCTTGGGCGGCAGCAGATCGGATCTCTGAGGCTGCCCGCTCAAAGTTTTCCGAAACACAGAGGGGCTATTCAGAGTGAGTTGTTAGCGAAGGGGTGATGATGAGAAGAGATTGAACGAGTAGCCCACCTTGGCCTGAAACTGGACCAGCGCGATTCGCAATGTTGGGGCCATTTCGATCTACCTTCACGAACGAATTACCTGAATCGTAGATACCAATTGGAACATTGAAAAGCGCCTCAGTGAAGGCTCCTTTGCGTTATATATCCAGCTGCGAGCAGGAATGCATTCATGGCGACCACTTGGCGCCTCCGCCACGATCACGCCTGAGCTGCGCCTCGGTGGATGGCGGGTCTGTTTGCGATATCTAATACATATCTATATGCTCGCTCTCGATGAGATGAAATCGAGTAAAGACGTGGAAGACACTTGTCGAGGCGAAGAATTTGGGGCTCACAATTAGGCTATTTTCGTGTCCATGTCCTCGTCAAGGCTGCTATACTTATTAGCCAGCAGGCTCTGCTCTACGCACAGTTCAAAGGAAAGAATATGTAACTGCCTTTGCATGTAATGTTTCCATTGCATGAGTATAGGTAAACTGACAGGCTCACTAGCATATAGGAGGCCACCCCTTTGGTAACATGTCAGGCAGTCTTCCCGAAAGCCTCCCTCAAAGCCTTGCAAAAAGCCTTGCATATCGTCGTCGTCCAGGCGGCCAGGGGATCTCAAAACATGACTTCCAAAAACTATGGACTAGACCTAGGCTTTCATAACACACTACACTATGGAGCCTTACTTGTGTTGGCGAAGCATGGCATACCAAGCTCCAGATCCTGGGCCAAAGTATGGCTGTAGCTTGTTGATCTCTTCCGCGAATGCATCTGTTTGGGTCCCATCTTCATGCAGCTAATAGCATCTCAGCAACTATGCCGCAAATGCAGCAATAATCTTGCCATTGGCTTACCTCAATGCTCTCCCATCCAAGGTAGTAGACCGCAAGCCTTCTCTGAGATATGGGTACCGTTTCCTCTGTTGGGGCACTGCAAGGCACACCTGCTGTCTCATTTGTGTTGGTTGCGTATGCCCAGTGACCTCCTGTAAAACCTTGTATCTTGTAGGTATCAGAGTATGTTTTTTCCATCGATGCTTGAAGCGCCTCATTGTCTAATGAGGCATCGTCTCTCAATCGGATGCACGCCTGTTTTATGCTCGGTTAGCATACATATGGAGGCAACATCAAAGGGAATAAGAAGAGAGCATTTGCCACATACAAATTCGCAGATTGGAGCCTCAAGAGCAGAGACTAGATGTTTGCATTGAGCATCAGTAAACTCCAGGACCAAAGATGTCGCATCGGCAACACCGGCCTCAGCCAGTCCCTTGGCCACGGCAGTTCGATCTATCAGCTCGCAAGGCCACTCTGGTTTCCTTAGACGTCAGCCACATGACTGCACACATCTACAACGGGATGACAACCTCAACTTACGGAGGACCCAGCATACCTCATGGCGTTTTCGGGGAAGACTCAACACTTTTGTGGGCGCGGTATAACCATAGTATTGAGTTGTCGCGCCTGTCGCAGCAATCTGTTGGCGCAACTTCAGGAATGATGTCGACGAGACGGTGGTTCCGGAGGGAAAAGTAAAGCGGAGTATCTGAGACAGCATGATTACTATTATTAACAAAGTTCGTTATTGAGTCGAAGGTCTAATGGAGTGTTTGAGACTACTCGTCGAGGAGAATTGTCAAGGTTCGTATATTCATATATCTCTTATGGGCCAGCCATCCTAGGCTTGGCCGTTCCATGTAAACATTTCCAGCACCCCATCATTTCTTCGTCGCTTATTGACGTATGAAGTAGTGAATTCACAAAGTCTTACAGGACTGGGGCGGCTCATAAGTGTAGTAGCAATACAACAAATCGAGCTGCTGCTCATCGGCGTGAATTTGCTACCGCAGCCTAACCAATGCGTCACCTCATTCGTAATCAAGCTCTCTGTACTTCTGGAAAAGTGCGTATCTACATGTAGTAAGCAGGGGGCTGCCGACATTCTGTCCTGCGGAGTTCCGCGTCCCGCCTCTCAATGCGTGAAGCGTGAAGATTTGTGACAGCGACACTCCAATATTTCACGTCAATCACATTTCTGTAGGGCAGGTCATATGTGCGCTGTACCGGATCACTGTGTGACTGTGAGGTCTTTCTAGCTTGAGTGACTTTGCTGAATTTAAGGAACTGTCGATGCACTTCTAGCACTCATCTGACTTCGAGAGAGTTTGATCAAGGTTGGAATAGATGCCGAGCATATGTATGACGGTGGGGTTGCTTCGGAGCTCCAATCCAAACAAGTGATTCTTGCAAACAACCAATGACGACCGAAACAGGGTCGGTATACGGAATCTCCAAAAGGATAGAGGCAACAGGCATCTATACATACAGGCCAGTACTCGAACCGCTTATTCAAGATGCTCCTTCGTGCTGTCATTGAAGGAAGCAAAGCCTGGAGCAACCGGAGCTCCTGGCGCTTGAAGCACTGCTTGTATATTCCAACCAAAAAGGCAGAATAAATCTCTCAAGTTCATCAACTACCGAACATGTCGAGGGCAGGGCTCCGAACTCCACAGATGAGATTACGCTATGCTTGATGCTAAATGGATGTTGAGAGCGTGCTGTCTCGTCATCAAGCGGCAATATAAACTCCGTAGCCGGATTATGTTCGTCCAACTTCGAAAGGAGCCATATCAAACGTAACATCTCCGCGGAATCAAGCAGCTCGAATAGGCAAATTACTTGAGTAATGGGATGGAAGCGTTGTTGATCCCATAAAGCTAATCGGCTATTAGCTGCTGAGTCATGTTGTGAGTCAAATGGTGTTGCCGACTTCCCCTACCTTAATACTAACCCTACCAACCCAATAACCTACAAATACTCTCGCTACGCCGGATTACACACGCCCTCATTCGACGTACGCATATCTGTCTCACTCTCAGCTTAGATATACCATACCTTCCATCACCTTTCCACACTCAACATTTGAAGTCATGTCGACAACGACAGAGACGATGGCTGAAACGGCCTCTTCCCAAGGCCCATTTACGCGAGATGACATCGCTTTGACCCAACGGCATGCACCATCAAGAGCAGAAGAAGAACCCGCAACCGAGCATACAGATACTCCCAATACGCAGTCTTCGAATCGGTATGCTTCTTGAGTTCATGTGCTCCGTAGTCAGCTTCGTCTGCAGATCGGTTACGACAACCCCTCCCATTGCTAGGAAAGCTGTCCGTAACTCCTTTAGTAGGCAAACCATCATCATTACCATTGCCTCCTTCACGATCGTGTTTACTTGCTGCGGCATCAATTTTGCCTTTGGCATTTTCCAAGCGGTATTCGAGACGCTTTCGCAACAGCCAGACACCCCATTTACCGGAGCGTCACCGGCATTGATCGATCTCATCGGCACCATGTCCATCTCCCTCATGACCATTGGAGCGCCATTTGTTGTCGCCTGGGCAAAGCGCTTCTCGCCCAGGTTGATCTCGCTCATCGGCTCAACTATTTTCTCCGCAGCGATGATACTGGCAAGCTTTGGACAGTCTTTGTGGCACTTCGAAGTCACTCAAGGAGCCCTTCTCGGATTGGGAACCTGTATGAGCTACATGGTGGCTGTGACAATTGCCCCAACCTGGTACACCACACGCCGAGGTCTCGGATTGGGCATCATAACCTCGGGCACAGGCATAGGAGGCCTTGTATGGGCACCTGCACTCAAGGCAGCCGTAGACTCGATGGGTTATCGGAATGCCCTGCGACTTGCTGGAGGCCTTGCCTTTGGACTCAACATCGCAGCTAGTTTGGCTATGGAATGGGAACCCGAAACGAAGGCTCGAATCGACATGGAAAACGGCGCAAGAACCAGTCGCCTTGATGGCCTCTTGAAGGTGCCCATCGTCAACTGGCGAATTGCTCGCACACGCAAGTTTGCGGCCCAAGCTCTGGGCGCCATCTTCCAATCCGCCGTGTATTATCTGCCGCTCTTTTTCTTTGCTACGTACGCCAGGACCTTGGGATACAGCGACACTGCAGGCGCCAACTTCATTGCCCTGAGCAACGCCTGCAATGCAATCGGGAAGATAGTCATTGGTTACGCCGCAGATCACATCGGGCGACTCAATGCCTTGGTTGCAACGACCCTCATCAGCGCCATCGCGACCGTCAGCTTTTGGGTGCCCTCGACCTTGTCTGGCGATGCGGCTGTTTCACAAGGTCTTTTCATCACCTTTACCATTCTATACGGCATTTTTGCAAGTGCCTACGTAGCTCTCTTCCCTGCAAGCTTGGTCGAGCTGTTTGGAATCCACAATTTCGCCTCCGTCAACGGTGTTCTCTACATGGTCAGAGGAATGGCTTCTCTGGTCGGCACTCCGGTGGGTGGTGTCTTGATCCGGAGTCACTCATTGGGGAGGCCTGCGCAGTCGTACGAGGGCATGTCCTTGATGACGAGCGCGCTGCTTTCCGCCGCGTCGTTCGCAGTCATGTGGGTAAGGATAGAGGCCATGGTCGGGGTGGATGGAAAGCTGGTCATGAAGTGGAAGATGTAGATGTTGAGAAGGCCCCTGATGCTTTTCCGGCTGTTCCGGAAGCCCAATCTGGTTGCATGTAAGCGTCGAATGGTTATATGGAAGTGGTCATACGATGAAATCCTGACGGAGGATGGCAAAGAGTCTCGAAATGATTATAGGATCAATCATGGAAGAATGCGATCACACGGATGTTGCCGATGGGCATAGAGTACAGAGAAACTGGGGCTAGATTCATATGTTATGGGTCATTCCTTTCGATGGCAGTTGAGTCAGCCCATGTGATGCGAAGAGGCTCATTCATCCGGGCTGGATCTCATTAGCAACGGCACTTGGCGGATATGTGTAATCACAGCGACACTTCGGCTGGGCACTCATTTCCGATGGCATGACTCGCCCCGTCCTCGGCACATATCCAACTATGACCTGGAGACAAGGTTGTCGAAGGCTTCGTCGCGTTTGGGGGCGTGACCTATAGTGATCATTCTTGTTGCAACGGAGGGTAAGCATTCTCAGCTCCAGAGATGACTATATAGTGCTTCCTTTAATATACAAGTCTGCTCACGAAGACGCCCGGTGGCGCTGTGTTCCCCAGATGTAGGATCGAAGTTGACGAGCAACTAGCAGAGGTGCCGAATATTATCAAGATCGGTAATGCCATTGTACGCCCATCTCATGTGGAAGAACATCTGCCACTGTGCTGTTCAGCTCGACAGGCAGCGCATGTGGCGTCTGAGCCCAGAACCGGTTTGGCAGCTTTGGCTTATGAAGTGGCAATTGCACATGCGAGATAGACCAAACACGTCACAAGCACTTGCTAACTGCATGTAAGATATCCCCAGACAGCGCCTAAGCTTGTTGTTAGTGGCGGATCTACCGGATGGGCGACCTCTCATGTGCGGAAGCTGTCGGCAGATGGGAGAACAAGCTCATGGTTATGGACAAGTGCTTAGGCAAACATCTACACCTCCGTCGCTCTTCACCTTGCCTTGAGAATTCCCATACAATGATTTGCTTATTGACACCACCTCTGGACAAGCAGTCACTGTGGCTGGTGTACAAGTAATCCAACATGCTTCTCAGTCGAACCCGATCAAACGCGGCCGGCCACATCGCCATTGACGATGGACTCAAGAAACAGATCACATCTGTCGGGGAAGACGGCAGATTCGAGCTGTGCTTCCACGATGATGCTGGAAGTCTTGCGACATGGTGCAAGAACCTACAAGAGACGTCAAAACGAGTGCAGACCAATCCTTGCTCTGTCCCAGGTATCTGTAGACGAAAATCGACCGGTGGTTTTTGCCCACCGTTGAACATTGCCATACTCATCGTCGGTTCTCGTGGGGACGTTCAGCCGTTTATACCAATTGCTCAACTGCTGTCCAAGCCGCCCTATGGACATCGAGTACGTATCTGCACGCATCCCGCCTTCAAGGACTTTGTCGAATCCCAGGGTGTCGAGTTTTTCAACATTGGCGGCGATCCTGAGGCACTGATGTCGTACATGGTGAGGAATCCCGGCCTGGTTCCCAGCCGAAAAAGTGTCAGAGCGGGCGACATAGGCAAGAGGAGGGCAGAGATGTGGGAGATTATCAACCGTGCTTGGAGAGGTTGCATAGAGGCGGGCGACGGAATGGGGGATCCAGTCAGGGCCACAGATGTCGAGAATGTCGAGGATCTTTTTCTTGCAGATGCAATCATCGCCAACCCGCCATCTATTGCCCATATTCACTGCGCCGAGAAGCTGGGGGTCCCGCTGCATATGGTCTTTACTATGCCATTTTCTCCCACCACTGCGTTTCCACACCCGCTGGCTTCAATGAATTACAGCGGCGCGGACGCCAAAACGGCCAACTACCTTTCCTTCATCATGATGGAGCTGTTGATGTGGCAAGGGTTCGTCTTACACTGCTCAAATGCGGCGCGTCATCAGCTAATGTTTCTCGGTGTAGTCTTGGAGATCTGATCAACAAATTCCGGCGCCAGAAACTCGGCCTTGATCCCATCAGCGTCATGTGGGGGTTCCAGCTCCTATCTAGGCTGCGCGTGCCTTTTACATACCTCTGGCCTGAGTCCCTCATACCGAAGCCTCCCGACTGGGGCAAACATATTGAGGTTGTTGGATACTCATTCCTGCCCCTAGCGAAGTCGTACACGCCCCCGCCCGACTTGACAGCATTTCTCGAAAAGGGGCCGAGGCCAATATACATCGGATTTGGGTCCATCGTCGTGGAGGATCCCGACGCTTTCTCGGAACTCCTCTTCAAGGCTGTCAAGATAGCGGGTGTCCGTGCCATCATCAGCAGAGGATGGAGCGGCGTTGGTGACAAGTGCCGGATAACGGAAGATGTCTATTTGATTGACAACTGTCCACACGACTGGCTCTTCCAACATGTCTCGGCAGTCGTTCATCACGGTGGCGCTGGAACAACCGCCGCCGGCATTGCGGCAGGACGGCCCACGGTCATTGTTCCGTTCTTTGGCGACCAGCCCTTTTGGGGACAGATGATTGCTCGCTCTGGAGCCGGACCAGATCCAATCCCGTTCAAGTCATTAACGGCAGAGAATCTGGCCGAGAGCATATCTGTTGCTCTGACACCAAGCGTACAAGAAGCCGCAAAAAGAATGGCAGAGGATATCGCTGATGAAAATGGTGCGGAAGCCATGGCCAAGAGCTTTCAGGAGCAGATTGGCTTGGACCAGTTCGAATGCGAGATATGTCCAGGTCGGTTGGCGACACACCGGCATAAGAAGACAGGAACTCGTCTGAGCGGCCTTGCCGTTGCCTGTCTTGTTGATCGTGGAGTCATACAGCCTGCAGAGCTCGAGCTTATTCGGCGCAAGAATTGGTACGTCGACGAAGGTGCTGAACATCCCCTCGTTGGCCTAGCAGCTGCCTTCACCGGCCCTATGGGGGACGTCGCGACAGCCACTTTTGACTACTCTCATGCCTTGCGATATCGGCCCAAGCATACAAAAGTCGAAGATAGAAGGCCTTCATGGATTGATCCATGGGCCACGGACAATTCGACGAATGGTTCAGTGGGAAGCAACGTAGCTTCACCAAATCGCCGGATCAATCCAACCACCTTCTCGACGAGGGAAATGGAGCTATACGCTCACAAAATCGCACGAAGGTCGCTCAAGACAAACAATGCCGACATTGACACGCTGATTCGCCAGCCGTCGTTATACGACAAGCAAAAAGCGGCCTGGCATGCGCGAGAGAGAGGTAGAAACGGCCAACTGTTCTATCTGACGCGAGCAACCGGTCGGTACGCGGTTGAGCTCACAAAGGTCGGCCTGAAGGCCCCTGTAGCATTCTTCTACAACATAGCCAACGGATTTCACAACTATCCCTCGTGCGGCTACGCTGGCGTTGAGGTTCGTCGTCGCGACCAGATCATCGACTTTGAGACTGGTCTCGTGGCGGCCGCGAAGGAGTTTACGCTGGGCATTTGGGACGCGTTCAGTGGCGTGATAATCCTCCCTTACAAGAGCGTCCATGAAGAGGGCGCGAAAGGCCTGGGCAAAGGCGTCTGGCGTGGCTCGAAGGGATTCTTCTCGAATCTGGGTGCATGTAAGTATGATCCCACCGTGCTCGCTTGTCTAGCGATGATGACGCTTCGCCGTGACTGCTTCTTGAAGATAGAGTGGACGTGTGATGAGAATTTTTGACTGATGACTCGTAGCTGCTTTTGGTCTCCCAGGTTACGCACTAAAAGGAATGGAAAAGGAACTGCAAAAGCATCATCTCACCAATTGCAAAGCTGAGATGATCCTCATCAGGTTACGCCAAGGAATCGAAGCCTTTCGCAGAGCCACTCCTCAAGAAAGAGACGAAGTAGTCAGGCGGTGGAAAGCACGCGGTTGTACACAAAAGCAGTCATGATTGACTTGGATTCAAAGAACGATATGAGCTGGTCCAGGCTGAAGGGCCTCGTGTGTGCAAGGGGAAATGTGTCCCGTCTCTTTTACTATTGGAGATTGGGCTACATCCGGTTCTGGTCTCCGACATCACCTACACAGCAAAATCTCTCGACATATTACCCACCAAAAGTTACCTCGGCGCGGCACTCATTCGCGGTCCGGTCCGACCCCAGCGAGCCGGACTACATATACATGCAATAGTGGTTTGCTACATGCTTTCTCCTTGATTGAATTGGTATTGTGCAACTGCCTGATACACCTTTTGTAGCATAGAATGATACCTGATTGATGTTTGTTTACATGAACGTCTAGGTCAACGGCCCTTTACAATCTGTCATAGGGCATAGTGCTCCTTTGGCCATGTGAGACAGACGACCTGGGGTTAGAGCGTGGTTATTGGGCACACTTTGCAACACTGAGCTACATCTTCTGGTCCCAGCAGCAATCCTATGCTTCGAGATTGTCATGTACAGTAGCCTGGCCTATATGATATGACTTGAAGCCATCAATCTTCAATTCGCTGCTAATGTCACTGTGCTCGTGTCCTCCAAACATAGCGTTGGGTGATCGAAATGAGGCTCTCATCATACTTTACTGAACCTCGTTGGATTAATCTGGCACTCTGACTTCACCGGAAATCTTGACAAAAACGACTTCGCCACGACATTCCGCCGAGTTCAATAGGAGGAATAGTAGCCGCCAGCCCCGGAATACCCTGGATTGCCGCACATTTACTGCATCTAGCGCTGTATCTAATTCATCAGTTGTGAAGAGACAGAATCTGCGGCCGATCATGCTAGAACTTGCCGCTCCACGCAGCCGCGACATGAACGGCGATCATCGGTGTCTTGGCTGCATAGAACCTTGTCATCCCGCCAAAGCTCAGTTGCTCATGAGGAAACAAGTGTGTTCAGCTGTCGAGGTGCATAGGTAGGTAGCTTCTACAAGGCCATGAAGTCCAAATGCACAAGGACCAAGCCATTCAACTTGTCGGGACTACTCAGAGAGCGCCTAAGGTAGCCTTGGCCATTACCAGTCTGAGTATGAGACCGCCTCTGTCCGCACATAAGAAATTCTCATTATATCTTCACACTGAACCAATTCTTGACATCATCCTAATTTGCTAAGACTTCTTATACTGGGAACTGGAGTACCGCTTCTTCCCTTCACAGTGTATCACACAACGACACTATGATCGGAGTCGCCCTTCTACGACATTACTGCAAATGGTGTTTTGCTGCTCCGATATATGGGTGCTTTCCGAAAGCGGGTGAGGTATGATTCAATGTCCCTCTAGGCGACCTGTGCGTTTCGAGGGCCATGGCCGGCTCTCACAATCGGTAATGATTGATGTCGTGCTTGGGCAGGGGCGCCGCCGCCGGGCCGCTTGTGTGGCTTGTTGGAACGTCGGAGGCTCGGAGGCTCGCAATATTCGGAGCGTCCTCGCAGCTGGGTCATAAGCCATACCTTTGTCTTCACCACCGACATCAATCTCGTCAGAGAATACCACTCTACTTTTTAGCGATGCGACTCGATTTGGCTCTCTATGAGTTTCCACAAGTGCGCAGAATGATTCTGTCTTGCGTTTAGGAATAAGAGAAAGTAACTGCTCTCCATTGAGTCCATTCCACTAAAGGACGGGGTGGATCCTTGCCGAGGCAAATGCATCTGCTATCAAACAGTTCTCCCCTCTGGCCTGCTATAGTATGAGATCGACGTGCTGGAGAAGGCTATAGCTTCGTCTAAGTTTAATGCCTAATCTGTATCTGATTTTGTACTCCATGGCTCTCCAGCTGTGTGTGAGACCGTGTTTGCAGTATCGCAAGACTTCCGTGCTTACTATTCAATGTCACCACTGCCGCACTGCATCGAATGAGGCAAATTTGTCTCGATTCATACTTGGTGTCAGCAGGGTGACCATAAACTTCAACTTGAGCTCACGGCATATTCTAAGCCTTCTGATATAACTCATTGGTGCTACTACTGCCATCATCCTTGGCCATGAGGCACTAGAACCTCGGAGGGGGCGGGAGGATGCGGAGTATGGAGAAGCTTCCCTAAAGTCCCGAGATCCGCGTATGGGAATCCGCAGGGAGTGATGCATCAACTTTCCCGGGGAAAGAAAGAGAACTAAGAAAAAGGGTGCCGACCCACGGGAGCGGACCCTGTTCTCTTGGTTAACATTCATTGTTTCTTTCGGGTTGAGAGCACTTCTCCTCCTTTCCTTTTTTTTTCTACAGAATCGTATCACCCGTGCTGCTGTTGAACTTTATTGGAATAGTCCGTTCACAATGGCACGACGACGCGCAAGCAAGGCCTGCCTCCACTGTCGCCAGAGAAAGGTCCGCTGCGACGTGACGCTTCGAGGTGTTCCGTGCTTGAATTGCCAGCTCGACCACCAGTCTTGTGCAGTCCAGGAGCGAAAGTCGAAACGGTATGGCAGCTTCCATAATCATAAACAGTGGTAGGAAAATGTAGATGAAGAAACATGTGTCAACTAATAAGAGCCGTGACTCAAGATCGCTGTCAAACGCGAAGCACACTTTTCACAAGGACGGTGGTTCGATCAGTGAGGGCATATCGGCAGAAAGGGGGCACGACAACCCGTCTGGCATAGACAGCATCGATCAATGGGCCAAAAGACTGAGTGCTCTTACACCAGTGAGCTTGAGAGGGTCGCCAAACGCCACTTTCAATGCTCTGCGAAACGATGCGAAATCGGGTCACAGCCCTTGTATCAACCTCGATGGATTCTCACCCAGAACAGCATGCACAATCTCAAGACTACATATCGGGAGTGAAGGGACAGGAAAGCCAAGCGCCTGCGCTGCATTCACAGATCAACCAACGCCCACGCTTGACGGCGTGATTTACAGTAACTTTGAGACTCTGCCCTTCATCAGGCCACCCGATCTGCTGCACGTATCAGCACTGGATATCCGTTTCATGCAGCTGAATGGATGCTTCGACCTCCCATCTATGCCCATCCTCAACGAATTTATTCGAATATACTTCCTCCACGTGCATCCCATTATACCGCTCCTTGACGAGGGAGAGTTCTGGGATTCCTACTCGTGTGCCAACGAGAAGAGGATATCATTGCTTGTGTTTCAGGCGATAATATTCGCCGCGTGTGCTGTGAGAACATTCTATTTTGGAGCGCCCAAGTACAATACCTTTCTAACAGCAGTGTAATGACCTAGTTCATTCCAGGAGCCATCGCGGAGGCAACAGGCTTTGACTGTCCCAGAGCGGCGACGGCGGCATTTTATAAGAAAGCAAAGGTATGGAGTCCCGCGCATGTGTGTCCGTCTAAAGGCCGACTACTGATAGGATACAACTAAATGATGCACAAACCAGATTCTTTATGACTTCGAAATCGAATGCGATCCCGTCTCTCTCGGTCAGGCCGCACTATTGTTCACATTCTGGCCTGGGTCTCTACGGCCAGGGCCATCAAAGCAAAATAGTCAATGGCTAAGCAAAGCAATTGGACACGCTAAATCCCTTCGAGCTCACCATTTGACATCAAACACGGGCCGGGACAAGTTGCCACAGATTCCGCCGCAAACAAGAATATCTCTCAGACGCTTGTGGTGGTGCTGTTATATACGCGACCGAATCATTGCCTTGGGTCTCCGTAGAACGCTGCGAATACCTGAGAAGTACCCAACGCTCGAGCTGGGGGATTTTGAGGATGAAATTTATCGTTCCCGTGTCTACAAGGCAGAATCAAAGCGGCGCTTCTTCGACATCTTCATGCAGATATCAAAGCTATGCATCGTGGTTACAGACTTGTTGCAACTGTGCTCAGTCTCGGAACATGGGCTCGAATGCGAGACGAACATAAGCCCCACCGACAGGCATGAAGCCATAGCGAACTGCACGATCCAGCTGCAGGAGTGGTATGACAGTGCTCGGCAGCAGTTCCCAGACGATGCAGAACAGCCGGGCATCCGGCCACATTTTGTTATAATACAGACCAACTTGATGTTTACCTATTATTTGTGAGTGAGAGAACCCGATTCGACCCAGTGACCGGCGCGTGAGGGCTGACGGACGCCTTGGTTGGAAGTGCCGCCAAGTTGGCCATCTTCCACCAGGAGATATTTTATGCGGTTCGCGACTCGGGAAACGCGAGTGGAGAGGGATCATATTCAGCGTTGGCCGGTAAAAGCGACCAAGTTCGTGATGCTGTCGACAATGTGATCAAACATCTCGCGAATCCCGTCCGGCTCGGGCTCGCTCAGTATCTGCCTATCAGTGTGTAAGGGCTCAGCATTCTATCGCGCTTCATGTGTCTCATTACTCACTTTGAATGGTGTCCAGGGTCGCATTTGTCGCCATGCCCCTAATGATGCAAATTATCAACGCCAAGATCATCGCTCGGGGTGTCGCGAATACACGAGCAGAAGTGCATCGGCAGCAATTGCATTCCTTGATCACTCTGATCAAGCAGTGTCATCCTCGGCTCGACGGCATCGACGCGGTTTGTGTGACAATTCGACGGCTGACGGATCTGGCCCAGGCTCGCTTCCTATCGGGAAGTGCTTCTCAGATCACAGAGTGTCTGGATCTTATAGACCACAAGCCACTCGAGTACCTGCGGTTATTCCTGAACCTGGACTTGAACTTGAGTAACGCCACAATGTTGGATAATATTGAGTTCTTGGAAGTGAGGGAGGAGCTGCTTCGCATCAACAAGGAATCGCTGGGAGCTGATACTCAACAAACACCATCCTCGACCATCGATTCAAAGTCGTTCTCAACGCAACCAGCGGCACCTACAGGGCAAAATATTGTTAATGAAAATTTACCAGTGGCTGAAGTTGACACTCCGGTTGACTTCGATGACTCGTTACTAGATATCGACCAGCTATTAGGCGGAGATGGCCCACCGGAAGCCGACTCGGCTTTCATGGCTTTAGAACCGGAGTTTCTGATGAACCAACAGATGGAATGGGAGATGGATGCCTGGCTTTTGGGAGGAACCTAGAAAGCACGTCCGGTACAGCAAGCAGATGGTGAGCATCTCTCACTCAGCTATACTACCTGGTGACGAACCATTACCTTTCCCCCCCCCCCCCCCCCGGAGACGGTGTTACATGCTTAATTTTTTGTCGGCGGCGAGGAACGGTGGCAATTAAGGGATGAACAATAAGATTTGATAGCACTGACGCTAAAGCATACGGTCGTTGACCGTGCTTCATTGACCAAACAACGTAGCGCATTTGACGCCATGACATGGAACAAAATAGATGGCTCACTCCCCAAATGACACAGAAGCAACGTCAACTTCGACTGCTTTTCGTGCCGAATTGCCCGATAGTAATATTCTCCCAAAACCTTCTTCTTCAGCACCGTTCAAGCAAGCCAGGAAAGGGACTGGATCAAACGTGCCTTCGACAACAGCTCTGCCCACGCATCACACCACCCTTGCAAGAGATGGAGTGTTGCATTTAGCCGGACCCTTTCACCGAGGATGTAGTGAAAACGTGGGTATTTACAACGGTAGGGCACCATTTTCAAGGCAGCCCGGACTCGGATGTCCAGTCCGGAGGGAGGCAGATGACTCGTCTCTCTTCCTTCCAGAGCGCACACTTGGATTAGCGGCTGTTCCCGTATTCGATACGTCTCCAGGTTGCTCCATATCTGCTTCTATTGTGTAGTATACTGCCGGTTGATATAGCCGGCCTTGTGGGAAGAATCCCGGACGCCGACAAGGCTTCCCCATTCGCGTCTTTGTGGGTTTGTGGGGTAATATTGCCGCAACTTGGAGGACTGCTGCTATTCGCCTCGCCAGCTGGGGAAAAGGTCGGAAATCGGTACTAGTAACCTTGATTTAATGCGTTCCTGTGTGTTCTTGAGAGATTTCCCCCCCTTTCAAGATTCAGCTGTTGTCCGCCTCATGATCATCTTGGCCTCAAGGTGGACCATTTATCAAGTAGAGAGTTGTGTAGAGGGCGGCTTACTTCTCGTGTAGTATCTGTAACCACATGCATCTCGCCTCCCAACCTCGTTTCCTCGTTATCTTCACAGACAAGGGGCCAGCATGACCAACACCTTTGCCCTCGGGGTTAATCTGGGGAGAGCAAAAACGCGCCACACACGTCGCGGCGGCCACTAAAATCGGACCGTTAACAGGTTCATTCACACTGTCCCTCTTGATCCTGTAGGACCAAAGAGAGCGCTGGTCCCCTGTCAAAGTTGGGGCCCCGGTATATACCCCAATAGCTTGGGGTTGGGGGGCCTTTCGGCTCGAGCCAGTCGTGAGCTACGGAAGATTTCAAGGCTGCGGGCTATTCAGGCTAAATAGCACACAAGAGCAAGCACTCCTTGCCGCAGCGCCGAGAGTTACACTCTTGTGGACGAATATTATCCAAACTGGCAGCGTGTTGGAGCTTGGGAATGCTTTGCCGTCGGGAACATGGAGGCGACATGAAGACAAGGTGTGGTGACTGGCCTTGACTGGGCTGGAGACAAATCATTTATATAGTCGTAATCGGCCGTCCTGCTCCCCAGGGTTGCATTCCGGGATGTGACAGAGCTCGGTTGAGAGCCTGCCTTTTCTTGCTTCTTCTTCCTCTTCTTCTTCTCTCCCTCTTCCTTCTCGTCTTTCGTCTCATTGTCGTCTCTTGCCTGCTATACCCAAACTTCCTCTCTCGTAGAGCGTAACGGAAGACAAACAGGCAATCCCGTGTTTATCTGTCTCTCCTCCTCACAATGGGCGCGCACACCGACAGCGGCGCTGCCATCTATGATGCGGCGTTGCATCGTCGCCAGGCCCTCATGGGCGCCAGTGGAGCTCGCGCTCTGGTCAAGAACTTTCGAGTCTTCAGCCTGGCTGCCTTTGCCTGTATCGGCGGTGTCTTGTATGGTTACAATCAGGGCATGTTCTCTGGCGTTCTCGCCATGCCCTCTTTCAAGCAGCGTAAGTCTACACTCTTGGAGTATAACGTGAGTTGAATGTTCAGAAACGCGTCTAACAAGCGGCATCAGACATGGGAGAATACGATCCTTTCGACCCCAACGCCAGCCAGACCAAGAAGGGTTGGTTGACGGCCATTCTCGAGCTCGGTGCCTGGTTTGGAACTCTGTTTTCTGGCTTCATGGCCGAGACGATCTCTCGCAAATACGGAATCATTGTTGCCTGCTGCATCTTTATCATTGGTGTTGTTGTTCAGGCTTGTGCCATTGATGCTGGTCCGAATGCCATTCTTGGAGGCCGATTCGTCACGTATGTTTGGCAGAAAATGAACCACGTCTGGGAGCATTCTCGTATGTACTAATCTTGATGATAGGGGTATGGGAGTCGGCAGCTTATCCATGATTGTGCCCATCTACAACTCCGAGGTGGCCCCTCCGTACGTCTTGATCATCTTGAACCTCAAGTTCGGACAGAAATTGAACACAAATCAACTAATAACATGCACAGTGAGGTTCGAGGTGCTCTCGTTGCCCTGCAGCAGTTTGCAATCTGCTTCGGCATCATGGTCTCCTTCTGGATTGACTAGTACGTTATCTCAAACAGCGATATAGTCTTCCTCAATGACTCTTCTAACAATCAATTTCTCAAGTGGCACCAACTATATCGGCGGCACCGAACTTGGCAAGCAGAGTGAAGCTGCCTGGCTCGTGCCCGTATGCCTGCAGATCGCGCCCTGCCTCTTCCTCCTAGTCGGAATGCTCTTTATGCCCTTCTCGCCTCGTTGGCTCATCCACCACAACCGCGAAGACGAAGCCAAGCGCATCCTGTCGACCCTCCGCGGCCTGCCCATGGACCACGAGCTCGTGGAGCTGGAGTTCTTGGAGATCAAGGCTCAGTCTCTGTTTGAGAAGCGAAGCATCGCGGAGCAATTCCCTCACCTCCGTGAGCAGACTGCCTGGAACAACTTCAAGCTGCAGTTTGTTGCCATCAAGTCTCTCTTCCAGAAGAAGAGCATGCTTAAGCGCTGCGCCGTCGCCGGTATCACCATGTTCTTTCAGCAGGTATGAATCTTCTAGCTTTCCTTGACCTTGATGATGACAGGAAGGGCTACGCAACATCATGACTAACATCGCTCGCAGTGGACAGGAATCAATGCCGTTCTCTACTACGCCCCGACCATCTTCCAGCAGCTCGGACAGACCGACAACACCGTTTCCCTGCTCGCTACTGGCGTCGTCGGCATCGTCATGTTCGTCGCCACCGCCCCCGCCGTGCTCTGGATCGACCGAATCGGACGCAAGCCGGTGCTCATCACCGGTGCCATCGGCATGGCCACGTGCCACATCATCATCGCCGTCCTCTTCGCCAAGAACGCCGACAGCTGGCCGGAGCACAAGGCGGCCGGCTGGGCGGCTGTTGCCATGGTCTGGCTGTTCGTCGTACACTTTGGCTACAGTTGGGGACCTTGCGCCTGGATTCTCATCGCTGAGATCTGGCCCTTGAGCTCTCGACCTTATGGTGTTTCTCTGGGAGCTTCCAGCAACTGGATGAACAACTTCATGTAAGTCGACTGCAGCATATGGAATATGCGATGTCAGATGCTAACAGTCGACTGTTTTCGACAGCATCGGACAAGTGACTCCCGACATGTTGCAAGGCATCACCTATGGCACCTATATCCTGTTCGGAATTATAACATACCTTGGTGCCGCCTTTGTCTACTTCTTCGTCCCCGAGACCAAGCGTCTCACCCTGGAAGAGATGGTAAGCGATGCGCCATTCGAGCATTATGTATGACCGGCATCAAAACTAACTGTGATCCAGGACATCATCTTTGGCAGCGAGGGCGCCGCCCGTGCCGACTTTGAGCGTATGGAGGAGATTAACAACGAGATTGGTCTGACCGCAATGGTCTACCGGTCTTCTCCTGACGAGGTGGTGACTGTTGAAGCTGAGAAGGCCGCTTGAATAGCGGAAGCACCGGGGCGCTTCTCTTTTTTGTAATCGAAGGACAGAGATTGATAGTTAATGAAGGCTGGGCAGAGTAATCAGATTGATACCCTGTTTGGCGACCGGGCCGAGACCAGAAATATGAACATATCATGAGGCTGCTTCCTATCAGCTAGTATCAACCCCTGGTAGACCCCGTTGTCAACCATGATCCTCGAATGCCGCCGTTGGCGCCCAAGCAAACGAGGGACTTGATGTCCCATCGAGTCACGGATCTTCTGGTTAATTAAAACAGAGTAAGGCATGCTCAGGATAGGGCTCGGTCTCATAGCCTCTCGCGTAAGCTAAGCTCGGAACGGCTACTAATCCTCATATGGGACTCAAGCTCGATAACGATTTAACTCTCTTTGGCAAGCTGAGAGAAGAAGTCTCGACGAGATCCCGTCGAGAGGCAGCGTCTTCCCCACCACTTCCGTCTTACCGTGAGGGGAAGACTCCACTCTCCACATCGAAGACGGCTCTTATCAGCGATCTATAACCTGCAGAATTCCAAAGGATGCTGATGGTTAAAACACAGGTACGTAGTAACACAGGACGAGGTTCCTAACATGATGGAGGTCTTTGCACCGTTTTGTGCGTCATAGCCAGTATTTCGAACTTCAGGGCCAGAGAAAACCTTTTGTTACGTATAGGGCAGCTGTAGGGCTGAATTGGACACCCTATGGCGAATTGAAATCTGAGCGTAATCACTAAGGACAAAGTTTCGAGTAGCTTTGGTTTGTCACGTTCAGGTAACGCGAGACTTGGATATGGTTACAAAATAATTATAGGTTGGGTGCGGTTCTCCGCGGCGGGCAAATTGCATTGAGGGGCAACACGTCAGATTACATCAAGGTCTCATGCGCCTGTCCAAGTGATATATAAGAGGTAACCATCTACTTCGAAGTCCCGGGGTTTTGTTTCATTTCGCTCACCATCACATTACAGTTCCTTCTGACATTCGATATGGCCGCTCCTTTCAAGGTGTCTCTGCCCAACGGGCTTAACTACGAGCAGCCTACGGGCCTGTTCATCGACAACAAATTCATTCCCGCCAGCGGCGAAAAGTTTACCGTCTACAATCCCACGTGAGGCATTCCCCCAGATGCAAGCTAGCAATCAGATCAAGAGGCAGGCTCGTGCTTACAGCATCTATTCACAGTAATAACGAGGAAATTGCCACTTTCCAAGGCGCATCAGAGCAAGACGTAGACAAAGCCGTGGCTGCTGCCCGCCGCGCATTTGAAGGAGAATGGTCCGAACTTGCAGCGGTTGACCGAGGAGCCTTGATCTATAAGCTTGCGGAACTGATTGGCAGGGACTTGAAGCTGCTGGCAAGTATCGACTCTCTGGACAATGGAAAGTCCATTACCGATGCCACGGGGGATCTCACCGAGAGCTACAACGTCTTCCGATACTACGCCGGTGCTGCGGATAAGATCACGGGCAAGACGATTGAGACATCACCGAAGAAGCTGGCCTATGTCTTGCAGGAGCCTCTCGGTGTCTGTGGCCAGATTATCCCTTGGTATCCGCTACAACTACGTCTTGTGCTCCCAAAAGTGCTCCCGACTGACTGAGTTGACAGGAATTATCCCTTCATGATGCTTGCGTGGAAGGTTGCCCCAGCCCTTGCATGCGGCAACACCGTCGTCCTCAAGCCTGCAGAGCAAACGCCTCTCTCGGCTTTGTACTTTGGCAAGCTCGTTGTCGAGGCTGGCTTCCCACCGGGAGTGGTCAACATCATTCCCGGTCTTGGATACATCTCGGGTAAGGCTCTTGCAAGCCACATGGACGTCGACAAGATTGCCTTTACCGGCAGCACCGCCACTGGACGATCCGTCATGAAGTATGCCAGCAGCAATCTGAAGAACATCACCCTGGAATGTGGCGGCAAGAGCCCGAGTATTGTCTTTGAAGATGCGGATCTTGACCAGGCCGTCAAGTGGTGCCACAGCGGCATCATGGACAATATGGGTCAAGTACGTCCACCAACACTCATTGTACCCAGGACAATACCCTAATACTTGTGCTTTAGGTGTGCTGCTCAACGTCTCGAATCTATGTGCAAGACACCATCTACGAAGACTTTCTCGCCAGATTCACCCAGAAGACCAAGGACAACGCAGCAAAGATTGGCGACCCCTTCCACGAGGACACTTACCAAGGACCCCAAGTTTCAAAGGAGCAGTTTGACAAGGTCTTGGGCTACATCGACGAGGGCAAGAAAGCCGGCGCCCGGGTCCTTCACGGCGGCGCGAAGCACGGCGACAAGGGCTTCTTTGTTCAGCCCACAGTCTTTGCCGATGTACGGCATTCTCACCTTTCCCCTTCACAACCATTGTTTTGAATCCTTTTCTAATCACTGCAATAGACCACCGAAGACATGAGCATCGTCAAGGAGGAGATTTTTGGCCCCGTCGTCGCAATTTCCAAGTTCAGCACTGAAGCAGAAGTCATCGCGAAAGCCAACGACACATCTTATGGCCTGGCCGCTGCAGTCTTCACTGAAAAGCTGGCAAAGGCGCACAAGGTTGCCCGCAAGCTACAGGCCGGAATGGTGTTTGTCAACTCATCGGGCGACTCGCACTTTGGCATTCCGTTCGGCGGCTACAAATCGTCGGGCATCGGGAGGGAGCTGGGGCAGTATGCGCTGGACGCGTACACGCAGTCCAAGGCGGTGCATGTGAACTTGGGGACAGAGTTGTAGTATCATTTATCTGTAGACGCCAAAAGTAGCGGAAAATGGATTGTTGCTACACAATTGAAGGATTATTGCTGGACCAAATTGTCATGAATAGTAAGGTACGAAGAGTCCAGTGATCCTCCTTTGCCCGCGTCTACCCGCAACAACAAACATCAAAGGGAAAATGAATTCCGAGCAGTCAATGGCAAGATGAACAAAATAATCAGCACGTGATAGTTTCTCTAGCTCCTCGCATTGTCCATTCTAAGTAACTGTTTGGAGAAGCCCTATCAGTCTCACCTGCTGGTCCCCGGAATCTTATCAAACAACCCCCATCGCGATACCCCTCCTTTTCCCTGACATGCTGAGGGGTAATAGCGGGTGAGATATGGTAATAGCGCGCCTGGGATTTCCTCTTTTGGCAAGCAATTCCCAGACGAAAAGGTGCCGGCTTCTCCCACTTATCGACACAGGGGAGCTCACTTGACCAAGCCTCTCGGCTGGGTGACCGGCGTTGGTCCGAGCCGTTATAAGCCGGCCCGTATATCCTTCTGTATCAACATCTTCTTCTTCTCGCCTTCATCACTTCATCGACACGACGAGAACTCAAGCAAGAACACATATAGCAAGCAGAGATGGGTGACAACATCAAACAAATCAACATCTGGCAAGACAAAGCAGCTTCCGCCGCAGCCCGCCGCGATGCCAGTCTAGCCAAAGTCGAGCCCAAGTTGGAGGGCATTCCCGATGTTCTACCCCTCAGTTCCCAAGAGCTGCCAAAGTCCGTCCTGACGCCTCGGGAACTCGAGATCACGGAAAAGTATTCCGTCACAGAGTTGCTCAAGGTACTTCGAGAGAGAAAGATCTCGGTCGAGGAGGTGACACGAGCCTTCTTACGCAGAGCAGCGCTGGCACAAGTAGCGGTATGTACACAAATTCCGTGACCATTCTTCAGGCAGCCTTCAGCGCTACGGATCTTTTCATATCACCTTCCAATACTACATACGCGTGGCAAACGTGAGTACTGACAGCATAGACCAATTGTCTCACCGAGCTACTCTGGGATCAAGCCATCGCTCGTGCAAAGCAGCTTGATGCGCTACCAGAGCCCAAAGGTGCCTTTTTTGGCCTCCCCATCTCCACAAAGGAGCACCACGGCATGGTGGGAGAAAACGTCGTCACCTCTGCCTCATACGCCGCCTGGGTCGACAAGGGACATGGCTCAAACCTGCTCTACGACATTTTGTACAGTGAAGGTTGTGTATTCTTTGCCAGAACAACGCAGCCGCAAACGATTATGCACCTCGAGACCAGCAGCAATGTGTACGGCCGGACTGTAAACCCGTACAATCGCGATTTGACGCCCGGCGGAAGCTCTGGCGGTGAGTCTGCGCTGGTTGGCATGCGTGGAAGTCTCCTGGTAAGTGAAATGACCGCGACAATCATCCATATAACTATGAGAACAATAACTGAGTCACGCAGGGCGTGGGTGGTGACATCGGAGGCAGTGTGCGGTGTCCATCCGCTCATGTCGGCATCTACGGCTTCAAGTAAGTCAAGTCAGCTCGCATCTTTCGTCTCTTCAGAAATTGCTGACAGCGTCCAAAGACCAACGGCGAAGCGAATCTCCGTCTTTGGACAGAGAGCCAACATGGCTGGCAAGGAGACCATCCTTTCCACTCCAGGGCCGATGACCGTCGAGCGCGATGCGCTTGAGTTGTTCATGAAAGTCGCCGTCGCTGCCGAGCCGTGGCGCATTGATCCCTCCATTACAGCCAAAGCATGGACACCGTATCGCTTCACAAAACCACTCAAGATTGCTGTTCAGTGGTGGGACGGCATTGTCCAGCTTCATCCACCCATGAGGCGCGCGTTGGAAGAGGTGGTGGCCGCGTGCAAAAAGGCTGGATTCGAGGTGTTTGACTGGAACTGCGAGTCGCTCGGTCATGATGAGGCCTGGGATATCATTTCTGGGCTCTATTGGCCCGACGGCGGCGAGGAAGTCATGAACCTGATGAACGAAACAGGGGAGCCCATCTTGCCCCTGACAAAGTTCATCATCGAAGAGCAGCCGAGCGTCAAGAAGATGACTGTGCAGGAGCTTTGGGAGGTAAGCATTGTGCTCGTGCCATCTATTGCTAGGATGCTCACTGACTTCTCGCAAGATTTGCGCTCGACGAGATGCGTACCGTGCAAGATACGCCAGAGCCTGGACAGACACCGCAGCCAACGGCGAACGAGAAGTCGATGTCATCCTCTGCCCGCCCTCGTTTGGCGCTGCCGCCCCTCATGAGCAGTCTCGGTACTGGGGCTACACTTCACAGTGGAATCTCCTGGACTACCCGGCTGTCGTCTTCCCCGTCACCACTGTCGATCCGGCCAAGGATGTCAAGGACCCGAACTACGTGCCGAAGAACGAACAGGATCGATTCGTGTATGAGATGTACAGCCCGGAGAAGTATGTCAACGCCCCGGTGAGCTTGCAGATTGTTGGACGGCGACAATACGACGAGAAAGTACTGGCCGCCTTGGTGGAAATTGAGCGGGCTATGGGGAGGCCATAAGACTCATCGATCTTAATGCCTACAACACTAGAGGCGATAGGTGCTTTCGCTTCGCGATAGACTGCTTCTAGACGAATAGACGACGAGCTCTATGCTTTGATATCGCTCTATCTGTCTCACACTATCTGTTCAGGGATATAGCTCGGCCTGCCTTTCAAGCACAGCCGGATGCCTCACAGAACCAGGCTTGATCCGTGCAAATTCCATATTGACGCCTTCTTCCACGTCAGGAAATGGTCCCATAGGGGTGATGGCTAGCGGATTGATCTTGGCATGGCTCTTTGTGTACTGCGTGCAAGTCAGCTTCTTACTGCTCCCCGCCTTGTCCAGATTATTGACTCACATTCTCTTTGATGTGCTTGAAATCTGTTGTCTCCTTGAAGCCCTTGACGTTCCAGTAGAGATTCTTGAGCCACTCATGAATAACGGGATAATTCGCCCGAATTGTTCCTAGATTGCATTTGAAGTGCTGCACATAGATCACATCGAACCTGATGATCGTTGTGTATGCGCGGATGTCGAGTTCCGTGAGTTGCTTGCCCAGTATATACGGTCCTCCGTTGCGGTGGATGAGGCTTTCGAGATGGTTCAAGGCAGCAAAAACAATCACCACGCCTTCGTCATAGGCCTCCTGAGTCTCTGCAAATCCGGCCTTGTAGACGCCCGAGTTGAGATCCCGCTGCATCCACTTTGTAATTGCGTCGATTTCGCTCCTCAAATGTGTCGGATAGAGATCTAGTTCAGATGCAGACCCCTCTCGAGGCAGAACATCATCAAAGGCTGTTGGTAACCAGCGCAGCAACTCTGCGCTTTCATTGTTCACAATGGTTCCCTCTTTTGTATCCCATAAGACCGGGACGCTGTATCTCCCCTTGTATTCGGGATCCGCCTTGAAGTAGACCTTATGTAGGTAATCCGATGCAAACAGCTTGTCCACAGTCGCCCCAGGATATTCGTCGTTGGAAGCAGGAAATCGCCAGCCTGGCCATCCGCGATCATCGCCCTTTGGAAAAGGCATCACGACCGACACGTCAATGAGTGGTTCCAAACCCAGGAGGGATCGCACGAGGAGGACTCGGTGGGCGAATGGACAGAAGAGGCCGACATATAGGTGATAGCGACCAGGTTCGGGAGGAAATTGGGTTCCTGACTGGATAACCCCATGCCAGGAGTCGTCGGGACCTGCGTGTACGTCTGCCATAATGACTGCATGATGAGCTTCGCCCATGGTGAATGATGAAAGATGTGCGTTATGATGTAGAGAACTTGTTCTCTCTTGAAGATGCCTCTCAAGTGAGTGAATGCCCGGCCCCCGCATCTAATAGTAGGTTCATGGGGCCACTCGACACACTACTCAGCAGCTTGCTGAAAAGAATGGAGACCCGGATTACCAATGCATCATTATTAAAAGCACAAGCACGAGATTTTCAAGAATCCGGTGATGTTTCAGTCTTCAAATCAACCAAGCACTTATAAGATAGCCTCACGAAAGTGTCACACAGCACAGCATCATACTAAAAACCTCAATATTGAATAGTCAAGTCATTTACAATAAACATCAAACTCCGTGTTTTTGTTTTCCATCCACCATTATACGGGTATCTACCAAGCCTAACCATCCATGCATGCGATCCGTCATTCATATCCTCTCCTCACGCCTTTGTTGAGTGATTGACAGTCTCCTCGACTGCAACCTCGCCCTGCTCAGACTCGGCCACAACTTCATCCACCTCCTTCACCTTGACATCCGCCATTCCGTAAATCACAATGCTCACGATTCCGATAATAGCGGACAGAATCGAAAACACAAGCGCAACAATGCCCCGCGGCGTGAAGCCATCCGGAATCCAGCCCGGTTGCGCGTCTTGGCCCTTGAGGTCCAGGAAGTTGGTCGTGTCGGCCGCAGCATTTCCCTTGGACGAGACTCCAGCGGCTTGGCAGACATCCAGGTGGTCCTGAGGAATCTGCATGCGCTCCTGCATCTGCTGCGGCGCCTCAATCAGGATCATCGCCAGACCAGAAGCAAGATGCCAGTCGATGTGGCAATGGAAGATCCAGACGCCTGGGTTATCCGCAACAAATCGCAACACAACGTATCCCTGCGGCGGCAACACAAATGTATCTCTCCGGGCAGGAAACTTGGGAAACGCCGTGTGATTGCTAGGATCGTACGGCACAGGGTCGCCGTTCAGGAAATCGTTGAAGTGCGGTCCATAAGGCGGCGCACGATTAATGACCTGGAAGTTGTGCCCGTGGAGATGGAAAGGGTGCGAGCCGCCGTCGGCGTTGTTGACCACAATCTGCACGACATCGTTGTGGTTGAGGATCATTGGGTGCGTGAACTCGCCGTAGATCTCGCTGTTGGCGACGAGGTCCCCAGACGACATCGCTGTGTACAGAGAGGGCACCTTGGGCTTCGTGTACGAGATGTTGTTCAGGAACGCGTAGCTGAAGCCCGTGTTGAGGTTGTTCATGATGACTGTCACATTAATCTCCATGTCTGGCTCGGGGAGGAGCTCCATCTTGTCAGTCGGCACCAGCGTGATATCGTCAAAGGGGACGAGCTCTGTACTGTCCGTCACGTTGATGGTTGCCTGTGGATGAGCGGCGTCTTTGTTGTATTCCAGCCAGTTGGTGTTGTTGAGCTGGAGATCCTCCGGGATTCCATCGAGGAGGGTAGAGTCCGCGACCGTGACAATGGCATAGTTGACGTCCGTCTGGTTCTTCGTCGTCAGGAGAATGGCATATCGCTGAGCAACGGCAATGTACAGCGTGTCAGCCTCGGTAGGCTCCGTGTACACGCCGTCGATTTCCACAATCTTAAAGGTATGGCCCTCAATGTAGAAGTACTGCGCGACAAAGGCGCCAATGTTGACGAGCCGGAGGAGGTATGTCTTGTTGGGCTCAACGGGGATGCTCGAGTTCATCGTGTCGTTGAAGAGGAAAGCGGAGGGAATGGGCTCTGCGCCGGTGGGATTGTAGACCGACATGAAGTCCGTCGACAGGTCTTCTACCATCTCGTGGTACCAGTCAGACATGGTGATTGTAAACTCCTCGTCAAACTTGAACGGCGCATGTTCGTCGTGAACAATGAGTGCTTGACGATAGCCATCCGGGTAGCAGTAGTCCGTATGGCAGTGATACCAGTAAGTGCCATTCTGGTTGACGGTGAAATTGTAAGTCATGCTTGAGCCCGGTGGGACAGGGCACTGGGTGACCATGGAAGCGCCGTCCATATAGTTTGTGTTGTTTTGGAACATGCCGTGCCAGTGGATCGAGCATGGCCGATCCCCCAGACCGTTGTGCATGTTGACGACGAGCTGATCGCCCTTGTCAACCTCGATGAGCGGCAGAGGCCATTGTCCGTTGATGCCCACGACCTTGCGCTCTGCCAGTCCGTCGGGGTTGGCCGTGACCCAGGTGACGTTGAAGTCGTAAGTAACTGTCTTTGCCCGGCAGCCCAGCGCCGCCAGGACCAGAAGCAGAAAGGACTTCATCATTGGCACAGCGACGACACAGACTTGGCTTCTCTCCTCTGTCAGTCTTCCGACGAGTGTGGGTAAGTCAAGGTTGATATCTTTTTCTGGCCGTAGCAGAGGACTAGAGAACTAGGGCTGCTCTCCTTTCCCTGTGGTCGAGTGCTCGTCCATCAGATAATCAGTTGCTACACAGATCCCAACGGCAAACGAATCGGGAACAGGGCAGAAAGCAGCTAAATCATCCCCGCAGGCTCGATGAAAATTTCAACAGCAAAAGTTACCGATCATCGCAACACCAGATCCTGGTTGTCTCGTCCCGACAACGAACCAGGCCCCCGTTTTGGACTCACCGCGAGCCCCTCGCGGCGTTCAATAGCTCTGCCGAGCTTCCGTGAAAGCGGCATCAGATAACCATATGTGAGCCATTTTTGTTTGTGATCAGATAATTTTTTCCTTCCTGTCATTCGGATCAGATAACCCAAAATCTTCAAATTCTCATCAGGGCCTTGATGGTGGGCCACCAGTTGCCGTCTTAGCCGAAGCGCCGCAGCTGGAGATGCATCAACAACATCTGACTGGACGATGCGGTTTATCTGATCATCTGATTTGGCTAAAGCTGTGAAAAGAGTCGAGCCGTGTTGAGCCATGTTCCACTTTGTGTGCCTTGGATCGGTCTTCAAATCGATCCGTCGGAAAGTCAATTCGAGTTTTGATGACAGGATATGGGTTGCGATTCCGGCCCTTTTTCAGCTGGAGGGGTGAGATGAAGCAAAATTTCTCCCTAGTGGTAATAACTCGTGCCGTTGCAGTCCTGACCTTGTCTCAGTTCCACAGCCATGTGTGGCTGATTGTACTTTAGATTGCCCATCACCTCTCCCGATCGAACCTCTCCCCGTCTCTTCTTCCTCCCTTTTCTGGCAGTCGACTCAAAGTTTTGCTAGTTGGCGTCGGATGCCTTTTACACCATGTCCAAGAACGTCTTCGCCGTTCAGGTCTTCTTCATCGTCTTTAGGGAGTGCCTAGAAGCGGTCATCATCATCTCTGTCCTCTTATCCTTCCTCAAGCAATGTCTCGGAGGGCCAGGCCAGGATCAGGCCATCTATAAGCGCCTCGTCAGGCAGGTATGGCTTGGTTCCCTAGCAGGCATCGTCATCTGCCTCATCATCGGCGGCGCCTTCATCGGAGTGTTTTACGGCCTGGGAAAAGACATCTGGTCAAAGTCTGAAGATCTGTGGGAGGGCATCTTCTATCTGATCGCCACCATCATCATCTCCTTCATGGGACTTGCGTTGCTACGAATCAACAAGATGAAGGACAAGTGGCGCGTCAAGATTGCTCAGGCTTTGGCTGAAAAGTCCGCTCAGTCTACAAAGTCGACTACCTGGCTCGGCGATTGGTCTCGGAGACACGTCATGTTCCTACTCCCATTTATCACGACGCTGCGTGAAGGTGTAGAAGCGGTCGTCTTTGTCGGCGGCGTCTCTCTCAGCTTGCCGGCCACAGCCTTCCCTCTGCCCGTCATCTGCGGCATCATCGCCGGTCTCGCTGTCGGCTTCTTCATCTACCGCGGTGGTAACATGATGTCCATCCAGATCTTCCTCATCGCGTCCACCAGCGTCCTGTATCTGATCGCCGCCGGCATGTTCTCCAAGTCTGTTTGGAGCTTGCAATACCACACCTTTGCTCAGCGTGTAGGAGGCGACGTGGCTGAGGAGGGCGATGGCCCCGGCTCCTACGACATCACCGAGACCGTCTGGCATGTCAACTGCTGCAACCCCGAAACCGACAACGGCTGGGATGTTTTCAACTCGATCCTGGGCTGGCAAAACACAGCCACATATGGCTCCGTCATCTCGTACAACGTGTACTGGGCATGCTTGGTTCTGACTGTCTCTTGTCTCATGTACGAAGAGAAGACAGGATCACTACCTCTGAAGAACCAATTCTTGAGCTTCGTGTCCAAGGTCCCAGGGCTCGGTGGATGGGTTGCGAAGAAGCGTGCGAAGCGGGACATCAACGAGCATGAAGTCTTGCGACAGGTGCAGGCGGCTGGGCTGCTCAGGGAGTAGAATCGCACGAAGGTGAAGAAAAATGGGTGCAAAAGCAAGCAATGGGAAGGGTAGCAGGTTGTCACGAAGATGTTTTGTAACGAAGTTTAATGTATCCAAAATGGAGGGGAAGCCTTCAGCTTGCACAAAGTTGTTGTGACAAAGTCTCACGATATCGATATTACGCATGAGAAATCACACACGCTCCGCCTGCAAATGACATTGATGTCTACAAAGGGGTTTCTATTCGGCGTAGTCATCAAACATCTATATCTACAACCACCCAATCCTGCGAAACATGAAGCTTCCCCCTCCAACAACGGCCGTTGCTCCAGTGAAAGCTATCAGAGTCCCATATCCACTGCCATATCCTCCCGTAGCTTGTCCTTGCCACGGCATCCCCTTGAGCAACGCCTCGCTCAATGGCCCCGAGACAACGTTCCCAATACCTCGCCCAGCGGACAGCAGACCGACCACCATCAGGGGATCGTAACTGCTGGGGCTCCCATTCTCTTCCCTAGATCCACCGCCGATTGACATGAGGTGCTTCATAATCCCCGGCCAAGTCGATGTATAACAGCCCGCGAACAACCCGTACGTGACGCAGAATACGTACAGCGAGGCCAAGTTCGTTCCCAGTCCCCAAAGGAAGAACGTGCCAATCGCAGTGCCGATAGTGGAAATTCCAATACACGTCGTCACATGGAGACGATCAGTCAGAGTACCCATGACGATGCATCCAATGACAGAGCCGACATTGAGCACGAGCAGCGTCAGCGCCGACGGGAAGTCACCAGCGCCGAAAGTTATTCTCGCATATGTGGGCAGATAAATGCCCGGAAGAAAATAGCCAACACCCTCCACAATGTTGGTGAGCTGGTACAAGCCAAAGTACCGGTTTGCCAGGAACTTGAGGTTGAAAGGTCTGAAGTGAGCCGTAGCGGAAGCGGGCAGCCGTGGCTTGATGAACCAGACCAGCGGCGCAGACAAGACGAACATGGTAAGTGCCCATATCCGCAGCGTGGTCCTGAATCCGTACCGGTTGAGAAAGTATTCGAGGAGGAGAGGAATGACGAATCCGCCGAGTCCAGTACCGGACCACATCACTCCATACGCAAAACCCTTGCGTTTGACAAACCATTCGTCCATATAGAGCATGCAGGGGCAGTAGCAGATGGAGCCGCCAATGGCATAGAGGACTCCTTGGGTGAGGATGAGGTGCGTGACATTTTGCGAGAAGGAGGAGATGGCGAGGGCAATACACAGAAACATCAAGCCGACCACGGGTGCGTATCGGGTGGGCTTAGGATACATCCGTTGAAAGGCCATAATGATTGGAATATCGAGATACATGATACCCTGTTTGAGTGTTAGCATTGCCTGGTGAACTGGGATTATCTGGACACAGCAAGTACCATTGCAGTGGTGCCGATCACAGCAGTCTTGGATGACCTTGAGAAGGGTTCGTGTGTACGATAGTAGTCTTGAAAGACACCAAAGGAGAATGGGAACCCTATCAACGAAGCTCAGTTTTAGTGATAGTCAGTTTTCAAGAAAATTTCTACTCACCCCAGACCAGCGCCTCCAGAACAAAGCACGCCGCTAAGAAAAGCCAGGCATCCTTCCCCCTATCGACAGGCGGCAGAAAGAACTCTGCCGTGCCATCTGGAGGTATCTGGTCCTCCCCGGAGATGAGTCCCCGGTCCGAATTGTAATGGCTTCGAGGGGTGTTCTGGCCAGAAGTCTGCCTTGATGCATCATATATCGGGGGAGCTGGTGTTAGCTCGACAGATGTCGATGGTTCTGCCATGATGAGACACAGTCTCGGTTGGTCTCGATTGGTTCAATTGGAGTTCTATTGGTATCGAGACTCGATGACTAGAGGTCGATCATCATATGAAGCAAACATTAATTGAGAAACGAAGCATATAAGAGTTTTACACCTACTTAGCGTTGATGGGCGTGATCCACCATACTCCGTACCGACATCGATCTCGGCTCTTGTTGCGCGCCCTACATGTCAAACCCTTAACTGCCGTGGTGGGTCTGCAGACTATACACGCACTGTACCCTGTTCCATAATAGACAGCAAATACAGTGTGAGAGAGGTTTTGCATGCTGCTAGCTTGACTAGATGTAAGCCCTCGGGCGCCAAAGTAGGGAACTTGGCTGCAGAACAGAACCTGGGTTACCGCAACAATGATATTGTTGATACATATACAGAGGGCGTCTTTGGCATCTGTGGGTGGATCGTGGAGCATCATTCCGGTAGCTTGAATGAGCAGCAGCCACGTCATCCATCTGTCGAGGATGCTTGTGAATTCACCTTTGGAACAAATTGATTCAGGCTATATGACGGAGCTGACCTATCTACGCCTCATACGGGGGGCGGGTTGCAACTATATACTGGAACTTCCTATCGTTCATACTCCCAGCCAAAGCATTATGGCTTGAAGTTGACGGAAAGGAACTGAATCACCTGAGGAGAAATGTCAATCTGCGAGCCAGGGCCAGGCCACGCATGGCCGGCTCCATCAATCTTGACATGGCGCAGCAAGCTGTCAATGCCCGCACACTTCCACCTCGTATCATGAACCCCAGCGGCCAAATCAGTCGTTGTGGAAGTGGTGCACTGGTTTCGTCCCTGCCACCGCGATAACCAGTCAGGAATCGAAGGCAACGGGCCACCACGTCCCGGTCCCGTAGGGTTGTACGGAATTGTCGTATCGGCAGTTCCGTGAGTCTCGAACATGGGCAACGGGGAGCGGGCAGGATGGCAGTTGTCGTTGCCGTTGACGTCGGTGTACATGGCGCCCGACACGGGGGCAAAAGCCGCAAACTGGCCGCCGTGGTCAGGGCTGCAGGCAAGAGTGTTGACGAATCCTCCGCCGTTGGAGTGGCCGGTGGCGTAGACGCGGGCCTCGTCAACGCAGTAGTTGTCCTTGATGCGGTTGACCAGATCCGTGGTGAAGACCTTGTCGCTGACGCCCGGTGTCGCATACGTCGGGCCTTGCCAGTTTCCCTATAAACTTGTTAGGGCCAATAACTGCATGATTCGCATCTCACATGTGCTTGATGCGATTAGGCGATAGTCTAGATAGACGAACGTTGATGCCGGCCGGGTAAACAACAATCATATTCGGGTTGACAGAGGGATCAGAGAAGCGGGTCGTCTTTTCAAAGTTGGCCGGGTTATCGCCAGAGCCGTGGTAGGCAATGATTAGGGGTTTGGGAGAGCCTGGCTGATAGTTCGAAGGGAGATGGATTCTGTAGCTGCGAGTGCCCCCGCTGCTAGCAAAGCTGAACTCTTTTGTTTGGCCGGCCCAATCATGAGTTCTCGAGCATCCTGCCGAAGCACGCTTCACAGTGTCAATGGCAGCGCCGTGAGCAGAGCCAATGAGGCCGGCAAGGGCCGCAAGTGCCTGGATGGAAGAGGAAGAGAATAGCATGCTTGAGATAAGCAAGTGTTGACTGTTACGCTCTTCGAGGAGATTGATTCGATACAACAACAAGACCACGACGGGATACTTATACCACAGGATCAGTGGAGGCCCTTCATCCTCCGCTTCTTATGGATAATCCATATTCCTCTCATTCCCAACTCAGACTACCTCTTAGGTCACTTTCCAGATGCTTGAAACTCTCTAGTGGCATCTCAAGTGGCACGAAAAACGGCTTCGGTTCAAGCGCATTATGCTGACATGGTATGAGCCCTTCATAATGCTTGGCAGCGCCGATGTAGTTCCGCACTTACCATAAAGGAGTATTGGGGTCTTCACATCCAGGTAGAACCCCCGGATCGAGTTGAAGGCTAAGGAGTAGGCACGGTGTCTAACCCTGTGCTGCTATGTCGCTCTTGCTTGTTGGATTTCCATTGGCCAAGCTCATTCAGAACTGCTTTCCCACTGTACTGTAAGTCTCAATGCCATTCAAGTCAAAGAGCTTGATCAAGGCTTGTCTATTTGGGTCATTCGTGTTCCGGAGCGGCTTCGGGCCGAGAACTGGGAGGATCGTCCATGGACAAGGGCACATTAAGTCGCTAACAATCATGTATATACTATTTTAGCCACAACGGGCGTCGTAATCCACACTCGGACATAGGAACTTGTCTCCTAGTTTGCTCCGTAGCTACAGATCAAATAAAGTCAGGCGATCAGATTCTTCCAAGGCATATACCCCATGTTATCAAGCTCGTTATCAAGCTCATCATATATATTCTGGTAATCATACAGCATCTCCAACCATGACCACGATAAAGCAAAAATAGAATTTGAGCTTCTTTTCCTGATCATTATGTTCTATCTTGAAAAGATCTTACATCTCCGGGAGCGGTTCATCATGAGTTACAGCGGAGCAATGCCGTTTCTCCTAAAGAGTTCATGCGGAGTGCATGTGCAGTGAGCTAAAGTCCTGAACGAAGCTCCACCTCCTATATTTGGTCTATAACCTCGTTAAGACATCTTTTAGCTCGGTTATAGACCAGGGGGGCAGACAAGTTAGAGCTTTCTGAAAACCTTGTTTTTCTTGTAGCTACCTACCAAGACTTAGGTATGGGGAGTCAAGTTCTCTCTGGCTCGGCATCTGGAAGTTGCCGGGGTCGGACTTTGAATGCGCATGGTCAACTCCACATCGGGTTGGTCAGTTGCCACTCTATCAAGAGGTAAACTAATGGAATGTCAAATGAGCCTAAAGTATTGAGATTATAACAACGACGTGAGGGTATACGAATGGGAAATAGAACCATGTTAGATGCTCTGTCCAGCCAAGATCTACCAATTCATACATCCTCTATTCTTTGCAATTTTAACTCTTCGACCAAGACGCTTGCCAGGAGATGACGGTTTGGCAAGTTTCACATCAACTGGATGCACTTCGCTAGCATGCCGCTCAAGACAAATTAAGTATATAGAGCTCCCTTTTCTGGCAACAGCAGCTTTTATAATTCGCCCGAACTGGCCTCGTAAACACCCGAACACTCCACATCTTGCTCCGATAGTTTGTCGTGATGCGAATGGCATGGCTTCTCACCATCACACTACTGTCGAGCAGAGCCTATATATGTCCTCTTATCAGCTTCTACGCCCACTCCTGCGCGGGCACCCCAAATTTGACTAAATCCACTGCAAGTGGGTGCTCCTGGCACGGGAATTGCCAGATTGAAAGAGGCCAGCACGGGGAAGTCCGAAGTCGTACACCTTCGCGGGCTACGGTGTCTACCTCTCAAGATTTCGCGTCAGAAGTCTTCAGGCTCCAAGTATGGGAGCCTATAGTATCCATACTGACCTATGCTTTGTTCCGGGAAAAGCGTTCATCCGACTGCTTGTTTGAAAGTGGGTGACATAGCATCTCTTGATGCACCAAGGCCAGCTCGTGGGTAGTCTTCATTGAGATCCATCTTACCGTGAGCATATGTGGCAGAAACATGAGCGATAGGTGAGCCACCGTATGATCGAGCGTGAGTCTCTCTCTCACACATATGATTCCTAGCCTAGAAGAGGGGTGAGGTTCCCATGTCCCCGATCATACTCTTCCGTCTCATGAGTAGCAGCTCCTTGATTCTACTCTGTGGAAGTCTTCTGATGCCTCTAAAGTACCATGATCATGTTAAGTCGAACTGACTTCACTGCCCCTCAGCATTCAGTTGTGACACATTGCACAACAAACACGGCTTGTGGAGAGCCAGTGATTAGTAGCAGCCTTGCCAAGGGACGATTCCGCAAATAGACGCAGCCACTTCACATCCATCCAAAGGGCCATGCCATCGCCATAAACCAAGCTCGCAACTCGTCCACAGCATATGCATCGCGAGAACACACCACTCTACACGACACACGCGTGCAACTACCCTCCCGCCCCAACTGAGTACGTGCGGGGGTATGTGCGACCTTTGCTCCTCAAACGAGAAAGCCTAGAACGACCAGAAAGCCGGCTTAGTCGAGGCGTGCATACAATATTGTTTTATGTCCTGCATATGTGGCTTGCCGCGTGTGACTCGCGGCTCCTGATGAGGGGCAACGCTGGATGAGGAATCGCCATGCCGATGATTGCGTATTGGCAATCCATTTGTTTTGCTAGTTGGCACAATATGTTGCCACAATAAGTTGATGTGATGTGTAACTGTTCAGTAGGCTTCACCTCTTACATGGTCTCAAAGAACGACCTGTGATGCTGTACAAGTGAAATGTCACACTTCGTTCCGGTACGCTCATACGGGTGAACGTTTCGAGAGCAGATTTGAAAGAAGCATAGACCATCAGAGCAAGAGTATCCATTGGACTCTGGAGTCATAGTACACTTGAGTCATTGATTGGGAATGCTCATCCTGAGACTATATGAAAGCCACCGTTCACCTCAACCCAATCAACCTCCACTCAAACAAAGATCAGAAAAGCCCATGACCATGGCCCGCCTCAGACGCTCAATCTCTTTGCTAATTTGCACAACTTCAAGATTCTCATTGGCGATCTCATGCCGCATCCCCGCTTTCTCTCAGCATCACATCAGAGCTGTAAACAAGGTGGCTGATCGGATGAGAGCTGAGCTGTCCGCCCACCGTAGCAACTTCAATATAGGGACGAACGATCACCAATGGCATCAATCCACATAAAGAGTCTGGGCGAGGATCAAGACGCGTACAATGTGTCATATTCGGAACGAGATGGGAGTATCTGTAACGTAAAAGAAGCAATCAAGGAATCCTGCATGTCAAGTTTAGCAAAGCAATTGTCTATAAAGAGACCTCATGCTCCTCCAACTTCACCACCAGAACCGCACTCACAATCATCAGCATCACATCGTTGCATTCTAATTGACAATCACTTTCCATCAACTTCATTGCCAGCATCGTATCATCTCAAGATGTCTTTCAACGAGGGAACCTACTTCATCACCACCGCCCTCTCCAGCCACAAGGCTGTTGACCTCGACTCGTCTGAGGCCACCGGCCGCATCATCGTTTAGTACGTCTTCATTCCGAACGTCGTCCATTTAGTCCTACTAATACAATACTTTGCTTCAAAACAGCGAGGGCCATGACGGCAAGAACCAGCAATGGCGCGTCTCCAAAATCACCCACGACGAATGGAGCATCCAGAGCGTGGCTACCGACACCTACATCACAGCCTCAAGTATTACACATCTCCCCACAATATATAGAGAGCCAGAAGCAGCATCAGTTAGCATAAAACAGTGACTAATTCCAATCTCAGGTGGTGACGATGCCGCGGTCCACGGCTCCAAGCTCCTGCCCGAGTGCAACAGCGTCGCTCGCTGGAAGATTGTCAAGGCCAACAAAGGCGATAATTATCAGTAAGTTTCCCAATTAACCTCAGCCCACGAAGCTTTCGCTCATGATGCGATATAGCATCTACAGCGTGGCGCATCCCCGCAAGGTCCTCGATGTGACGGGCAGCAAGCAGGAGAATTCGACTCCCATCATCGCCTACAACTATCACGGTGGCGCGAACCAGCAATTTATCTTCAGCGAGGTGTAATCCTCTGACCTGATTTCGTCCGTCTATATAGTAGTCGACGGGCATGAAGGCCGATGGGCGCCAAGATGCAGCGGACTGGATGTTGCAGACACAACAATCTCACACTCATTTACTTGAAGGAATATCTTCACTCGTTTATGATATTGAGGACGTGCTTGGGAATTTGTACCCTCAATCAAGAGAACATTAAATGGAAAGTTAGCTATCATGTTGCCAATTCACAATAGTTACTTTCAATCAACCATTCACGATCGTGTGCCCATAGTAGCTGCGTCAATAAGCGAAGAGGTGTTGAATCTCAAATGTTGGTATTTTCATTGCCGAAGCCCAAACGCCGGAATCCTACCCAACCATAAATGCAATGCAATAGCCCTCCAGAGATCGGAATTGGCCCGTCTGTAGCCCTCAATATGTCCGCTGATGCATCAATACCTCAATGTATTAAAGCCCCCTAATCCTGATCCCTTACATATCCCCGGCGGCTTCGGTTATCCATATTCATCGCTTTCCGATGCAAGCCATTGACGAATCCACGATCTCCCCCTCGTTCTCGCGCCTTGTCATCGGCCTCTCTAGCGGCACGTTCGCGATCCTCCAAAGCCGCCAGTCGGGCCTCTCGGTCGCGGTCAAGGTCGGAGGCAGCCGACTGCATGGCAGCCAACTTCCGTGCCTGTTCAGCCGCCCTTTGATCGTCTTCCGCAGCATCGTCGCGCTCTCTATGAGGACGAGGCGAACGCCTGCGCGAACGCTCTTCTCTGCCATTCTGATCGGTATGTCTGTGGCGACGGTCGTCCCGGTCTCGGTATGAATCATGGCGGTGCGATCTTGATTCGCGCTCTTGTGAACCGTCCCTCCGGCGACTTGAGCGATGCTCCCTGTCTTGAGAGTGGTCGCGTCGTCGTTCTCGGTGACTGTGACGGCCTTCTCCAGAGTCTGAGTCGGAGTCGTCTCGGTGGTGTCGGTGATGCCGTCTGCGTGGGCTGCGAGATCTGGAATAAGAGCGGTGACGCCGTGAGTGGCGGTCGTCGTCGCGGTCCCGACTCCTATGCCTGCGATGCCTCCGTGAGTGCCCGTCACTATGTTTGTCTTTTTTCTTGCCGTCGTCGATGCCCATGGACGAGAGCAGCTGGCGGCGTCTGATAGGATCATTCATCATGGCCTCGTACGCGGCCTGTTCCTGGCGCTTAATGGCCAGCAGAGGGTCCTCGCGGATCTTGGCCGCTGTGTCGCGCGCGCTGTTGGCATTCTGCAGCGCAATGAAGCTGTCCTGCCCTGCGGACTTCTCGAGCTTCTTGTGGTCGTTTCCCTTGATCAGATTGTCGATCCTCCGCTTGCCCAGCAGGTACGCTTCTGTCTCTTCTGTCGTGCCAGCCTGGCCATCGGTAGGGCCCTGGTACATCCAGTCGACGCGATCGACCCGTTTGGTGCCTCCCGCAGCCTCCAGCTGCCTCTGGATCTCCTCCTTTGCGCGCTCCTCCTTGATTTCATTGATGCGCTGCTGGGTGCGTTTGCGCTCGGCGAGGGCCTTTTGCTCTTCGTCGTAGACGGCCTGCTGGTTCCGCCGCAGACCGGGATGGAACGACTTTTTCAAGTTGAGATCGCCACCACCCATGATTGCGGCTCGTCGGGGAGTCCACTATAATCTCGATAAAAATAGACTTAAAAAGAATCAGAAGCCGTAGGATCGCGATGTCTTCTGGGGGTGGCTCTCGAACTGGCGAACGTGAATGACCGAGTCGCAAGATGCAGGATCAACAAAATAACAGAAGGCGACACTGCCTAGCGGCGAAGTAGGAGCGCCACATTTCAGCCTCTGTTGATTATGTAAGCATTTCTCGTTACAGCACCTCGACACATCACATGCAGTCTGCTTACCTAAGTATTTGGTCATGCGAACTTGATGCTCTTCGTCGAGAAAGATTCTTCAGCTGCTACCACATCGCTCGTAGTTATGAGGTGGTACTTGTTTGAAAGAGAGTATGATATTCTTATTTCAAATACAAGTCAGATACAATAGCCATCATCATTGCTGTCATTGCTGTATTTGGGGAGATTATGCGAGTAGCATCGCTCCAGTGAGAGCTTCAGGGTAAATGCACGATTCGAACAAACCTAGCTTGATCGAACCGTATTTAGATACCTAGCAGCTGGCCTCCTAGCTACAGCGTCATACGATTGATTGCTGCGTACGAATGGTCATTCATTCACTTGTAGTTGCTCGGCAAGGCAGATGGTTATGTGGCTTATAAGTGCCGCGACAGCATTTGCGTGGTGCAGATACAGACTGCGGTTCTTCCGGCGCATACATGGATGTTCGGAAACCACGCTCATCAGATACAGATGTCAGAAGGGGCTGTTATGTAATTGTTCTCTCCCTTTTCGTCGAAACAATTGTCTACCAATACCCGCAAAAAGAGTTGGCCGTATCGTACACATACAGGTTTATATACAGATAAGTTGCAAGATCATGATTTGAGTCGTAAATAGGAAACACATTCTACCAGCTCGCCCTCTTGACGCCCGGAAGATTTCCTGCCAAGGCCTCCATTCGGAAATTGAACTGCCAGACAGAAAGAACATAATGTCAGCTTATGTTATCGAGCCAGGTGAGGACCGTGGGAAGAGAGATTGGAAACGCACTCTGGTCATCTTGAATGCTCTCAGCACACCGCGGCCCTGGCCTCCCATGATGCAGCGGTTGCGAATCTGCGTCGGTCGGGTATAGCAGTGCATCTGCGAGAGCTGCAGCTGGGCAGTGGCTCGCACTCGGGGCGGCAGCGTCGTGTTGCGGATCACGTATCGGAGGGCTTGTCTAAAAATAGCAAACGAGGACGATCAGCACAATTATCAAGACTTGAGAGCATAGAGTCGAATGGAAATGAGGCTACCTCTCCGTCTCGTGCTCCTCAAAGACCTTGCGCTTGGTGTGGTCGCGAATGGTGCGGGCCTTGACGAAGCAGCCCAGATCGAGCTTCTTCGCCCGGAACATGGACATGGCGGGCAACTGGTTCTGCACGATGCGGGCGAGCGGCCGAACCGTTACTTTCGTCTCGTTTCGTCGGTTGGTTCGTTAATTGGCAATGGCGATATTGAAGCTCGGGGTCTGGTCAAAGTTTGATGACGCCAAGCTGTGGCAGCGTTTAGCCGGCGAATTGCCGATATTTTCCGCATCGCAATTTCGACAACCATAAATGCCGGTACCTGTTCGTCCAGGCTCTTGGGCTTGTCATCGCCCTCACTTTTTACAGGGCGCGCCTATGCAAAGATGATATTCATTTCTGCCAATGCCTCTTTCTTGCTTCACTCCTTCCAGCGTCTCTGTCTTTTCTGTGTCCTGTTCCTCTGTCGTTCCGCCATCTTGTTGCTCATTTGCCGATTCGGATCATCGGCTGCTACACCAAGCTACTCGTTGCGGACTTTGAACTTGAAGAGCCGTCCGACGACTCCACAAAAGTGCCTATAAATGGGAGCGCGTCTGTCCAGGGGCCTTGGAATCTACGGTATTTCGTACGAGAATGAGTCCAGCTTCGCAAAGCTACTACGACAGGAAGAGCAACTCTGGACTTGGTAGCTGCCGATCCAACCGTTGACAGCTTCTCTCTTTGGCATTTTTGCGGAGGCGCAGTGCCAATGCTGGTTTGATTGCAAATGGATAACCCGGCATCGACAAGGCAGAGAAGCAAATCGCATCCATGCCCTCACGTTCCCATTCGGCGAACCAGGTGGGCGGCCAAGAAGCCCCAGGAGGTTCCAAGAGGTCCCAGGAGTCCCCAAGAGCGCCGGCGACTCCCTGCGCTGGAGCAAAGAGTCGACGTGACTGTTTCAAGCCGCTGGATCTCCCGAGCCTCGCGCGTGCATGCGGCATGTACTCGATACCTGCGCGGCGTTCGATTGGAGCCGGCAGAGCAATTAAGATTGACTGATCCCTGGCCGAGCGACACGACTGGAGCGTGAATGGAGGCAAAAGCGCTCGAGAGGCTGGTTGTCAGTGCTTGTCCGTCGTGTGGCGTTGGGTGTTCCCGGCGTATCGGCTACCTGTGTGCCCCATACTGTCAGCTGCACGGGCGCAGGTACCGGATACGAGCGGCCGCGATCAATGCGCTGCACGGCTCCATCTTTCAGGGGAAATACGCCCCAGCGCCCCATTCCGGCTTGGGCCTAGCGGGCTCGGCGCGCTGTGCCGGATCGGTGCCTGGCGTGGTTTTGTTTCTTGTTTGTCGGGCTTTGTTTTTTTTCCATTTGTTGTTCCTTTTCCGCCATCACGGGCTTCAAGCCTCCATCGGCATGAACATGGAGCTCTTGGGTGCCATAATCCAGCCAGAAGCTTCCGGCTAGTACCTACTTACTACCTAGTAGTAGTGCTACCTACTTTCTACAGTACATGTAATACCTGAACAAGCCCAGATAGGTACTGCTACTGCACGTTACAAGCATTATCAGCACCGCTAGCCCCCGATCCAAGCAACCACTGAATCGGCCCCTGCGTCTGCATCGCGGCCAAGGCGTGTCACTGCTGCTTGCCGACCTGCATTAGCTGTTCCATGTGCGTCCGTTCGTGCACATGTTACGGCGACGATGAGTGGCTCACCGACCATGGAATCAACATATCCATTCCAGCTGCTGTGCTGGCCATCAATGGAACTCGCTGGACCTCAACTCCTCTACATGTACGGAACCTTGAAGCCTCCACTGGCTGCCTTCTCGGGGCTGGGGGCTTCCCGGGGTGCCAGTGCTGGCTCTTCTGGGCGTGTCAGGCGCTGCAGGCCGCTGGAAATTACCTCCAGCCCAGCCCCCCAGCACTTGCAGTTCTCCAAGACGCCTGAAGAGCAGAAGCCCCCCTCGCCCCAAGAACCCCCCCGGAGACCCGCCAGAGTACCCGGTACCTGCCGCGCTGCCCCCCCGGCCAAGCAAGGCCTCGTACCCCTTACACAGGCCTCGGCGGACCCCCTCGGGGCTTGTCTGCATCAAGCCAGCTCGAACCTGGAGCCCCTAATCTGCAATCTCCAATCTGCAATCTCTCTTCTCTGCTTCTGCTTCTTTTGCTTTCCGTCCTTTTTCCTTCTTCCTACTTTTCCCTCGTCGCGATCCTATCCTTATCTGCTCACCTCTGTCCTTCCTTGAAAGAAAATCTGCAAACAAGAGACCTTCGACATCGCGTTCAGGGGCCCTCCCGTCTCTGCGCTCACTGTGAGAACATCGTCTCGTCCTCTCTCTCTCACCTACGGACCGTCGCATCTTCGCCGCTCACTCTCTCCGGTGACAGTTGCTTCGTCCTGCCTCGAAAGGGATTCATTGACAACCGTGATTCTGATCCCATCAAAACACTCACTTCGGCAAGAACAACCAGCTTCGCTTCTCTGCAGGGCCAGAGGAAGCTCACCACACTCACTCTTACAACAACACACGATACGCTGTTGATGCATAGACGTATCTGATCTTCGCGCATCCACAAGCATTGCCATTTTAGCCTTTGATACCCACGCCTGTTGTGTGTTCAGCGGTTCCATTTCTTGTCCTATAATACCCATTCGTTCTCTTGCAAAGCTCAACCTACCACACACGCCTCAAAATGCGATACTTGCGCGGTCTCCTTGCGGCCGCCCCCTTGCTGGGGCTTGTCTCGGCCCAGGTGTCGACAAGCTGTAACCCGCTCAACTCGACCGACTGTCCCACGGACCCCGGCTTCGGCACCGACTACACCTTCAACTTCAACACCACGCCGTCCTACGAGCTGTGGGAGACCACTGCTGGGTCTGTGTCGTACGATGCGGAGACCGGCGCCGCCTTCACCATCAACAAGCAGGGCGACTCGCCCACCATCCGGACCCTCTTCTACTTCTTCTTCGGCCGCGTTGAGCTGCATCTCAAGTGCGCCCCCGGCGTCGGCATCATCAGCTCTGCCATGTGGCTGAGTGACGACCTGGACGAGGTCGACTGGGAGTTCCTGGGCGTCAACAACACCGCCGCCTCGACCAACTACTTCGGCAAGGGTCTCCAGGACTACCACAACGCCGGCGTCTACACCACAAAAGACAACCAGGCCGACTACCTCAACTACACCACCGTCTGGACCAAGGAGGGCATTGACTGGTACATTGACGGCGAGCACGTGCGCAACCTGACCCCCGACGCTGCCAACAAGACCCGAAACTACCCCCAGACTCCCATGAGGCTCTCGCTCGGTATCTGGGCCGGTGGTGACCCGACTCTGCCGGAGGGTACGCGTGAGTGGGCTGGTGGCAACACCGACTACAGCAAGGGCCCCTTCACCATGTACGTCAAGAGCGTCCGCATCACCGACTTCGGCGGTGGTTCTGAGTACGCCTACGGCGATACTTCCGGCTCATGGGAGAGTATCAAGGTCACTGGGTAAGTCTACACTACGGAATCATGATAGCCCGAGCCTTGACTGTATACTGACGCGGCCAAACCAGCGGAAACTCGACCTTTTACGAGGCCCTCCACCGGGCGCCCAAGCTGACCACGAGCCAGAAGTGGAACAACCTGCCGGCCGGAGCTCGCATCGCCGTCTACGCCGTCTCCGCGGCTCTCGGCGCAGCCCTGATCGGTGCTGGCATCTGGTACTGCATCCGTCAGCGCCAGTCGGGCGCTCGCGAAGCCCGTCTGGCCACCGAGATGGAGAAGATGGACCGTATGGAACTCGACAAGCTGAAGCGCGAAGGCGTTGACCCGGACGCGTATACTGACTACGATTCTCGCAGTATGAGAAAAGAAGGCGTCCTCGCAGCGGATGCGCCCCCGGTCAACGTCAGCCCTCTCGACAGCAAGGGCTGGACCGCCGTCAACATTGAATCGCCCATGTCGTCGCCCGCCCCGTTCCTCAACCAGGGAGCCGGTGAGACTCCCGGTAGCCCCGGATCCCCTGCCCCGTCGCATCCCGGCCCCAACCGGGCCTCCAGCACGGCTCCCATCCGGACCTTTAGCGCCAGCCGCACGGGTTACCAGGGGATCCCCGGCGGAGAAGTCTAACTGCTGCCTGCTACATGTACATACACGGGAAAACAAAGGGATTCAGCACAGACGTCATGAAGTTTCAAGAAGAAGAAAAGAAGAAAGCGGTGATTTACTAAATAAGCTACTTTTTCTTTTTTTTGGCGGTTTTTATACACTCGAGCAAAGAGGGAATACACATATAATGGGGGCCATGCAGCGCGTGAGGACGAAGCCTTTTCTCTTGCAAGTCTTCTCTTTTCTCAAGAGAATCTTTCAATGACTTGTTCCTTCGTCTTTTGACTTTTATTGCCTCCAGACCCTTGGATGGCGTTTTGGTGTTGAGCTAGAGGGGATGTATGGCTTTACGGACACTTTTTTTTTTTAACAGATACATATATATATTATTTTTGAATGCACACTGCTCATGGCTTAATGTGAGAAATGCTTGGGCTTTGTTCGGATATGTGCTGTAAGTCTGACCTTGGTGGATTCCTAGATGTGTAATTGACCGCAGAGAATAGTTAGTAGTAGAAGCATTTCAAATCTAGATTCTCAGACCCTCTGCCCATACTAAATACGCTCTCTTCTACCTTGTCGCGGGCGTTGCGCATCATCTGGCTGAGGGCGGGAACTGCTTCTTCTTCCTCTCATCTTCGTCAGGGAAATAATGTACGTGAACCATCTATGGACTTCAGGCAACTCTTCTTGGTGTAAAACTCCCGCTCCCATCTCTTCACATGACTAAAATTGCAAGCCGTCACTCTTTTGAGTACGAATAAGTGACACAATCAACCCAGACACAGTCCCCAGTACCAATGGCACAAGGATAGGAGTGCCTATGTGATCATTTACCCTTATACCGCAATGTCAGACTTCATTGCTAAGAACAAGAAGAACTGATGTGACAACATCTGATTGATGCTGCCAGACTCTGCATTCTTGCTGGGCTTCAACGTCTTCGCCCCCCGTCAAGGACAACTACCTGTTGTAGGATTGACCTGGCGCAATGCCCGCCGTTCCACTGCTGGCTGTCAACATCGTAGACTTGCTTGATGTATTCTAATTCTCGTTCTAATCGCCTCTTCGGCCGTTGGCCGATTGTATGGGAGAAGTTCTTGTCCGCAAATGATGTTTGTATGTTGTTTGGTGATCAGATGGATAGCAGGGCGTGCTGAAGCATCAGCCATTGGTTGCATAAGGTAGACTTAGAAGCGATTTGACAAAGGACTGCTGGTATAGCATCCCTACGGCCATTTGCGCACGAGCATCTGCCAAAGCTCAACAGCCGCATTTGACGTGTGAAGTAAGAAGGGAAAAAAAGGCGTGATGATCAGATGGAATTTGCGAATCATTGGATATTGTCTGCTCCCCTGCCAAGGCACCCAAGGTATCTTAACCTTTGGCTGTTTTTAGGTCCTTCATCTCGTGTTGGTGGTTTGACACCAAAAGGCTTGCTTCGTGGTCGCTGACGTCATGCCACGCGCCCAGCTTCCGATTCGCCAAACTGGATGAATGATGATGCGTCGCCTCTGGTCAGTTGCTCCAGATGAAAGGCAGGAACCAAGTTGCGAGCATACCTTACCTTACCTTACCTTAATTTGCAGGCATCACTCTAGAGATAGCATCATCCAGAACCCTGCACATATCGAGGCAGCACCGCACTTTTGTTATTTTCTCTTTCCCACCCATCTTCACCATTAGGACATCCCGACGTACGCACACTCTAAACGCCATGGCTGCCAATGTTCCGGGCATCATTTGGAGCGCCCTCAGGGCCCTCAATCTCAACGAAGTGACCAGAGATACCACAGCCCAGCAGTCCTCGAGTGAATCCGGTGACAGGCCTTACGAGCCCAGCCTTGTTGACATCGCCTTGGTCAAGGCAATGCTCATTCGGGCAAAGAAGCTGCCTCCCGACCTCGTCGATGCCGTATTAGACATGGCCGAATACTGGGCTCACTCAACGACGCGGCTGGATGAACGCATCGGCATCCTTGGTGGCAACGAGGAGAGGGAAAACAGATTTCTGGCACGTATTTCCTCTTACATGACCGGGACATATTCGCAAGCTCAATTACGCTTATACAGTCCCAGTCTTTGCGTTTGCTATGGCTAACCGTGAGGGTTGCAGCTTCGGTCATATCCCCTCGGCCTGGTGGACGCCGGAGTCCGTCAAAACGCAAACGACCAGCCATATACCACTACCCTTCCTACACCTCGGCCTCTGGGCAAAGCTCTCGACGCCAGCTTCTTCGCCAAGTCAGCCAAGTATCCTGTGCCACGCCTCGCTCATCCCGCGCGAAAGATCGTCTTCAGGATCAGAAGTCAAGATCAAGGATACGTGAGCAATCCAGAGGACGCCAAGGAGCCTTACTCCAAGTCATGGACCTGGTTCGACGTCGGACTCGAGAGGTTTGATGCTGATGGCGCAAGTGAGCACTTTCCACAACCCCTCTTCCATCGGTGCGCATCTGTGGGCTGACGATCATTGTAATCAGATGATGGATCCGTACCTTCGGTCAACTCACTTCGGCCTGTCCAGCCCCCAATTCGACAGACTTCCTCTGACCCGGTTGGCTATAACTACACTCATCAGCTGCTGCACTCTGCAGAGTGGGAAATCCAGAGGAACCAGACGGCCCTCAAGAAGTGGCAAGATCACGTCATCACATGGTCCTACCTCGACGATATTGATCCTGATTCTGAGGCGGGGAAGGCTCTCGAAGAAAAGGGCAGAGGGCGCGCCACGGGGAATGGAAAGTTCGTGAGAGAGTTGCAGGTGGGTGACGTGATTACGGTCTGGGGTAAAGCTCGGTTCCCCGGATGGTGCAACAGGGTCGAGTCTGTCCAGATTGATGTGTATTGGGCGGTGTGATGCTTTTTGGGCCGCGTGTTTCCTCCATTGCTCTCTTTTGGTCAGTATGGTATGCGCATCATGTTGAAGCTTGCATAAGCGATTTGAGTGTACTGAGTGTGACCTATGAGTGTTGGCGCATCACTCGATTGTATGTTTTCCGAAGCTCCAAAAACAAGGAGTCGCGAACAAACGAAAGATCAGAAGCAAGAATGAGAAAGAGTGAGATTATGAGATTTACGATACACAGATGCAACGATGCCGCACTGAACTGAATGCCTTGATTCAGCAGCCGATGGCAGTGAGATATCTTGAAGCTGAACGTTGACGTCATACGGGTAGACACATCAACTATTAGCATGAATGAGCTGTCTACTGCCTGCCTTTTCCGCCTCACCCAGTACCTAAATATCAACGACTCAGAACCAAAAAACCACCACCTCCGCCCACGCCCAAATTCCTTCAACGCCCGCACATGTTGTCCAGACAAGCATTGAGCAGCTACAGACTCGCCTCATCCGTGTTTTGTCGCCTTCATCATCGCACAATGGCCTCCTTCACGACTACTCCCCACAACATCCCCGTTCAGCTACCAAATGGCCTCTCAGAAGACCAGCTCAAGTCCTTCAAGCCATTCACGGTGGGTTGAGTCAGCGTTGCTCGATTGTTCATACGTGATCACCGTGTACACAATTTTCTAAACAAGATGTTTCCTCGCAGACCTGGCTCGACACCCTCACCAAGTCCCTCGCACTGCAGGCAGACAAGTCTCACCCGTTCCACCCCGATCCATACGCCTTGCGCAACGTCACCGTCCAGTCCTATGATCTATTTGGTGGTGGCCGCCTCGGCTTCATCAAGCTCACGGCGACCGTGTCAAATGCAGCAGGCGAGACGCTCCCCGCAGCAGCTCTCCTGCGCGGGCCCAGCGTCGCCATGCTGGTCATGCTCGTGCCGGACGACGTTCCTCCCGAGTCAGACGAGCGCTACGTCGTCTTGACAGTGCAGCCGCGCATCCCCGTGGGCAGCCTGAGCTTCGTCGAGCTGCCCGCGGGCATGGTGGACGGATCGGGCAACTTCAAGGGCGTGGCCGCGAAGGAGATTGAGGAGGAGCTCGGCATCACCATTCACGAGGACGAACTGACGTGCCTTAGCGACCTGGCCGCGGATGCAGCTGCGCAGCAGCATCGGGAAACAGCGGCAGCTGGACAAGGCGAGAATCTGGCGGCAGCCATGTATCCGAGCGCGGGGGGATGCGACGAGCATATCACCATCTACAGTTACGAGCAGCGCATCCCGAGAAGTCAGTTGGCTGAGTGGGAAGGCCGGTTGACGGGTGAGCGCTCCCATGGCGAGAAAATCACGCTGAAGGTGGTTCCTATGCAGGATCTGTGGAAGGAGGGCGCTCGAGACGCAAAGTGCCTCGCCGCGCTGGCGTTGTGGCAGGGTTTACGCCAGGAAAAGAAAGTGTAGCTCGAGCGTCTGGGATTCTCCTTGCCTTGCCTTGCCTTACCCTGTTTAACCTTCTATCCGTCTATAGTATTCGTCTATTCGTTTCCATGGTCATTATAGCTTCAGTCTCTGGGCCAGCAGGATGCCCTCGGCAAACGTGCCTACTCGCGCATCAATGGCATATCCTTCCGCCTCCAGTCTCTTGCATTCCTCCCAAAGGTTCGCCAACGGCACGGTGAAGACCTCGATGAACTCGTTCTCTTCCAGCTCCGGCTTCAACTCCTGATTCTCTGGCAAATCCATATCGATCGTGACGTGTACCATGCGCAGGTTTGTGCTGCAGAAGCCCGGGTCGTTGTACATGATGGGGGTTGTCTCCGAGACCACACCGACATATCCCGTCTCCTCCTTGAGCTCGCGGACAGCAGCCTGCTCGGGAGTTTCGCCCTCGTCAATGAGTCCGGCGGGGACCTCAATCACGACCTTGTCTACCGGCGGTCGGTACTGCTTCTGCAGGATAATCTCCTTGCCCGTGGGCTTATCGAGGATGGCAACGATACCGACCCCATCGACGTCTGCGGTGGAGGGGCGAGTGCGTCGTTCGGCGGATTCCCAGGTTCGCTCAACGCCCTTCGGATCTTTGTATGTGATGCTGGGAGGTTGAAGTGTGAGCACGAATGAACGAGTCGGACACGCGAGCGAAAGGGCTTCGTCGGGAGTCGTTCGCATACCTGTTCAGTGACACCCATCGCGAGTCTTCGTTGGACTGCAGACAGACGTGAATCAGCAACGGGACGCTCTCTTCTTGTCCAAGAGGACGATCGACCGGTGTATCTTGGAGAGACCTACTAGTGGCACTACTGAAAGCACCTTGGCATCGGTAAACGACATGGCGAGACGGAATTGGCACGTGAAAGGGGCCGTTGATGAAGAGGGCAGAAGTGACACCGGTCAGCACAAAGTGCCGGTGCAAGGAGTTGAGGCCGATGGCGGGGACGCTGACGGAGTGTGTGGCGCCCGAGTCAGCTAGTACAGGCGGTTCCTGGCCTGTAGAGCCGCTAAGAACCGGAGGCTCCCTGAAAACCGCTCCACTGCGGCCATCTGAGCTGAACGATGGATGGAACCTTGAGACTCCAACCTCGGGCTCTCGACTGTCGTTGTTCGTCAACAACACTAGATTCCCAGTTTGCTTATCTCTGAACTCAGGGGATTCGCCATGATGAAACTCAGAGTCGCCATGACGGCATCCCATCCGTGCCAGAAATCTGCAGGTTGATCTTCAGAAAGTCTGTCTATGGCGTCAAGCAATCGTCAGCACGGGTACCTCAGCCATGGACTCGACAACCTATCAATCGAATGATGCTTACGGTGATGGGCCGTCAGCAACCGGGGATTGAGTTTGACTATGTGGCCGACCGAACCTGAATTCTAACTGGCGATGAGAGCAAATGCTCATCAACCGCCATCCGTGGGCTCTCGCTATCAAGGACTGGATCATGGCACTTCATCTCACCCATGAGAACAATGCCGATATGCTCTCTTCCCCTTCCATGGCAAGACAGAAAGCAATTCTCTATTCTCCAGGTCAAGGACAGCCTGATGAAGAAAACCCCCATCTCCACCCCCGCCGAAGCCATCACCATCGCGATGGAATCCGTTACGATGGACACGATGTGCGGACTTGGCGACTTCATTAGTTGACTGCTTGCGCGTCTCCGGATACCGTACCCCACTGTAAAAAGTTCCCGGGACTATCGGTTCAGGTCCCCGAACCTTATCTCAATGGTCCTCCGGGGTTCGAACTGGGGATTGGGCTTATATTCGCGGCTTTCTTGGTGTTGTTTCGTGTGCTGGCGACGTGGTCTCGCATCTGGTGTCGTCACCTGCAAGATGGGGGACGGTGGGACGGTCATGGACTTACACTCCCCCAGGCTTAAAGCATCGAGTCCCATCGCCACCATCACCACCACAAACGCCAGACGCAGTACAAGCTCGAGAAGCCATAGCCCATCATGACACGTTACGATGGCACCGAGGCCGTGGACACGGAGCCCTCCGGCATGGGCGTGGATATCGAGGCCAACCACCAATACCAGAGCCTGCCTCGAGAAGAAAACGACTATGAAGCCGACGAGGCCACGACACTGCTACAAAACGCATTTTCGCCAGCCGAGGTTGTCACACCTTCCAAGTCGTTCCGCCGCTTCGTGCTGGGAATGTGTGTGCTGTTCCTCTTCATCATCGAGGCCAGCCAGTACATCCTTACGCCCGCCATGGAGCAGATCATGGAGGACATCATCTGTCGCCATTATCACCCGGATCATGTCCTGGCGGTGCCGGGCGCTCACGACAACCGTTGCAAGGAGACGGACGTGCAAAAGAGGCTGGCCATGGTGCGGTCCTGGTCCATGTCCTTGGAGATGATGTTCCGTAAGTGGCCTTGATAGGGTTGCCAAGTTACTTCACAGGACAAAGACATGCTGACAACATCACCAACAGCCATTTTCGTCCAAATCTCCTTTGGTGTCGTCGCCGACAAGTATGGACGCCGTCTCGTCATCTTCCTCGCTCTCTTTGGGGCCTCCCTGCAGCAAGCCTGGACCGTGGTTGTTTGTATGTCCTGTGGCACCCCTCTCTTCTTCAAGCTCTCGTTGCTAACCACTTGCCCAGTGCTCTGCCCTGACACGTTCTCCATCTGGAGCATTCTCTACGGCAATGTCTTCTACCTTATCGGTGGCGGTGGACAGATGGTCGTTGCCATGCTCTGGACCATCGTTGCCGACGTCGTCCCTGTCGCCGAGAGAACCAGTGTCTTCTATCGCATCTATGCCATGAATCTCCTCATCTCCGTCGCCATCAACCCAGTCGCTGGATGGCTCCTTAGCATTGATCCTTGGCTTGCCACATGGGTTGGCTGCGGCGTACTGGCCGTGGGCATACTGTCGTCGGCTCTTATACCGGAGACGTTGAAGCTTCGTCAGGAAGCCGACAAGAAGCGCCGCGGTGACCAAGGCACCTCTTCTGCTCCCATCGTCGGCGAGCCCGAGGAGCAGCCTATGAAAATGCTGGGTGTGAAGGAATTGGCGCGCCGTGCGTGGTTTTCCACTAAGGATGATGTGTCTCATGTGTGGCGCTTCATCTTCGCCTCCAAGACGGTTGTGCTGCTGCTGCTGGCATATGGGCCGTTTTACCTCATCCGGCTGGCCTTTGTTCTCGACATCCTGCAGTACATGACGCGCCGCTTCAACTGGGAGTGGTCAACGGTACGGGCGCCCATAGACTCTACATTTCGATTGAATCTCATGGCTAACTCTCGGAAACAGGCTACCTATGTCAACACCATCAGCAGCCTCACGGCTGTCTTTACCTTGCTGGTGGTGTTACCGATATCATCTGCCATATTGACCAAGCGATTCGGCTTTGGTCCTCTCAGCCGAGACCTTTTCCTGGCTCGCGCCTCCATCGTCGTCTTCATCATGGGCAGCATTCTGACCGCCTTGGCTGACGTGCCGTGGCTGTTCATCTGCTCCATGGTAATCTCCTACCTTGGATGGGGCTTTACCACTCTCTGCCGAGCACTGCTCAACGCAGTCGTTGAGCCTCATACCATTGCCACTCTCAACACCACCATGTCCACCATGGAGACGCTCATGGGCTTCATTGGCTCACCGGTCATGGGATGGCTGCTGAGTCGCGGCATGGAGCTTGGTGGGATGTGGATGGGCTTGCCTTATATCGCTACAACGGCGCTAGGATTTGGGGTAATGGTGGCCATTTATGCTGCTAGAATTCCTACTGGTGCTTCTCAGAGCTTTGCAGCATAGATAATTGAGAGTCAGAAACGTAGAAGTTAGAGGATAAAGCGCAGGACGCCAGAGGAAGACGGGGATAGATGATGTAAGCATCGAGGCGTTGGTTGGATTTTTGAAGATATGTTCTGATTTGCATAGTAATCATAATGCCAACAATAACGAATTTGGGAATTTACTTGCTGGCTTCTCATCAAGAAGATTACCTGGGTGGCTGAACACCGAATAAGGTATACCGCAATAATTATCCGTCTCCCGTGAACGAATCTCCACGGCTTAAGCAGCATACGAGTACAGTAGTACCTACGTGGAAGTGCTAGGTAGTGCCACCTTATCGATAAGCCCCGCGAGCTGTCACCTCAACACCAAAGAGCTCCACCAGCTCGAGATGCAGCACTGCGAACAAACAAACGAACAACAAACATACCCGACGAACCCATCGACAGCTCATCACTACAGCGCCTCCGCTTGTTTCCCTCAATCTACGCATCGCACCCCTCCCAGCATCACAAAGCCGAGCCAAAATGTCCGACGATGAGGACTTTATGCAGGAGTCAGACGAAGAACAGTCGGTGCCGCCTCTGACATCAGTCCTGATAGCTGCTGCTGCCTGAGAGTCGCGAGCTGACGCCTTTCCTGCAGATACGACTTCGAGTACGAAGAGGATGACGAGGAGGAGGCCGGCGACGTGGATATTGAGAACAAGTACTACAATGCGAAGCAGCTGAAGCTGAGCGACCCAGAGGAGGCGATTGCCGAGTTCTTGGGGATTCCGCCGCTGGAACCGGAGAAGGGGGAGTGGGGGTTCAAAGGCTTGAAGCAGGCGATCAAGCTCGAGTTTAAGCTGGGAAAATATGACGAGGTACGTATCGGAGTTCGGTGCAATAGCCTGCAAGCTCGTGCTATCCGCTCGTGCCATTGAGTTCACGGTCAAGATACTGACCGTAGTAGGCCGCGGATCACTACGCCGAGCTGCTCACATATGTCAAGTCGGCCGTGACGAGAAACTACTCGGAAAAGTCCATCAACAACATGCTCGACTACATCGAAAAGGGCGCCGATGAATCAGCAGCCGTCCACAGCATGGAGAAATTCTACTCGCTGACGCTCCAGAGCTTCCAAAGCACGAATAACGAACGGCTATGGCTCAAGACGAACATCAAGCTGGCGAAGCTCCTACTGGACCGCAAGGACTACGCGGCCGTCTCCAAGAAGCTCAGGGAGCTGCATCGGGCCTGTCAGCGCGAGGACGGTACGGACGATCCCGGCAAGGGAACGTACGCGCTCGAGATTTACGCACTCGAGATTCAG